CGTACCGGCTAAGAAGAAGTAAATTCAGACGTCTTAGCAGTGCCGTCTTAGACCTATTGGAGGCCCTGGGCATATTAGGATAATGGAGCCCCTATGACTTCCGTTTGGTGATTTAACAGGAACTAGGGACTTTGTATTTGATCTGAGGGGGCCCCCTATCGTTGGTGGGGCCCTGGGCACTTGCCCAAAGTGCCCACTGGGAAAGACGTGTCTGCGTCTTTGGCGTTGTCTTCCTTTGTTACATTAACTGCGTTAATAACATTTCCTGCGGAAAGCGTTAAACGAGACCCTAAAATTCCAGCACTGGATGTTGTAGGTAGCTATTCAATTTATAAATAAATCATTTTTTACAGTTGCGATCACTGTTCTGCTTCTTATTCTTTGCACTGGCAATACTGGAGATACTTTTGAAGCAGACACTGCCGTTCGGCGCTTTGCTACCGCAACCGAAAGAGGATAGCCCTGGCAACACTGTCATATTGGTGTACGTGTTGTTTTTGACGATGGTGATTACGGAGGCATTCGTCCTGATGTACACCTTCTATTTAGCAAAAGCGATTTGGCAGGTCAGTAGCATTTAAGTACACACCAACTTTTTATGACGATGATAGCAAACTAGGAGAGACTAAGATGTCTCCTTCACCGGGTCTATGTACCGAATCTGTTTTACCAGACTTTGAGAGCATATATAATGAAATGAGAGCTTCCTCACTGAGCAGTTTTGGTACAGAATCTCTACCGCGTAGCACACCCTGTACCGAGTCCTTCCGAATGTTACCGAACCATTCAACTCGCCAGTCCCGCCAATCCCGCCACTCCCGCAAACAAAACCGTATCAATCAAAACGAAACGAATACTGCACCGAAACCGAGCCGATCAAGAATTGTTCGGTTCGATCGGTAGAGAATCCGTAAGAATTCGGTACACAGCTCCGCTCAGCTTATCTTCAATCTGCTTCACTCCGCTCAGCTCATCTTCACTTTACTTTACTACGCTCAGCTCATCTTCACTCTGATTCACTCCGCTCATCTCTACTTCACTTAGCTCCGCTCGGCTCCACTCCAGCCAGCTACATAGCTTCGCTTTGCACGGCTCATCTTGATACTTACCTATTTACTTACGCGGCTTCGCTTGGCTCCACACAGCTCCGCTTCTGTGAAAACGCATCCTTACATTACACCAGGAAACAGGGTTGTTTTGCCATTAATAATTTTATTTATAAATTGTTTAAGGAGAAGTCGTCAAGTATAGTAACCTACCTGATAAGCCGGACGCTGACATGGCTGGCGGAGGTGATAAGCCTCATATTATTGTGCGTCTTCCACAAATTGCTTATCGGATGGTATTTGGGATTTTTGTTTTTCATTGGTAAGCCGAAGTGTTTTACTAACTTAAGTTGAATCAGTGCTATATTTACTTCCTGTGCTTTAATTTATTATAAGCTAGCGAGCGCATGCGACTTCCTGTTTAATCACATCATTCCATCTTTGTCAAAAGTATCATGTCAAATAGAGATAGAACGAGGCTTACACCTTATTAATAAACGAAAAACCAAGTGCGCGACGGACTCGCGCACCGAGGGTTCCGTACAAACTCAATTTAATACCTCTACGCGTTAATGAGAAAAGAGGTAGTAACTTTAAAATTTTCAAAAATATTTTTTATTATATGATGTTACTAAAAATTTACGGCTTTCGTAATTTCTCCTTTATCTGTACAAGACGTTACTTCGTACCAAATTTCAAGATTTTAAGTTCACGGAAAGTACCCTTTAGGTTTTGATTCCCGTGCGTATGTATCTTTTGATTGCTTTGGCTTAGAAGTTTGATTTTTTCACAACTCCAAGGGACAGTAGACATGAGTATCAGATATGAATTTCAGTTCTCTCAGTTTCACGAGATCCTGAGAAAAACGGTCTTGACAAACGGACGGACGGACAGGCAACAAAGTGATCCTATAAGGCTTCTTTTTTTTTCCTTTTGAGGTACGGAACCCTAAAAAGAAGCTTACATTAGTTACTCTATGTTTTGTATCTGGCAAATAGCATTTGAGTGATGAACAAAACACGGCGTATAATGCGATTCAAATAAGAATAGGAAAACCTCTATCTGTCAAATGCCGCTTGAAAAGTACGGTTTGCAAAAAAAAACTTGGGACCCCTTTTTTAGCATTCCGCTAATTAAAGAATAAAAACCAAGCATTTGTAAACAAACAATAACAAATATTGATAATTAATATCGGTTGATATTTTTTTTCACATATTGAGCTTTGGCCATGAATGGTTGATAACCTAAATCGTCAACCAAATGTCACTTTAAATTGCGTTCAGAAACTCGATTTCAAACTTTTGTTTACATAAAGGATGCATGTTCGTATGTGACCTAGTAATAGTGCATGATTATTCATAACTACTGCGGCGGTAATGCAGAGATGACCGGAAAAGAAGAGCTAGATTCTGATTAATGTTTTTTCTCACAGTCTTAATAAATAAATATTATTAAAAATCGGTAGTTTCTTGTCTCAATCTTAGTAAATAAATGTTATTAAAAAAATCTGATGCTTTTCTCACTTAATCTTAGTAAATAAGTTTTATTAAATAAAAAAACTTTTTTTGCTCACTCTACCTATTTGGTTTGAATTGACAGCTATGACATCACAATATGGTGCCCAGTCGGTCCTATTCATAGTTGAATCGCATTATAACTACTCTAAGCTTATTCCTCGTTTACTAATCAGGGGGTATTAGATTAGCGAACTTTGGTGTAAGCCAAGAGCGTCTCAAACAAAATGGTACAGGCAAATGTTTTACATGTTTTCATTGCAGTTCTAGAGCTTTATGCCTGGGTCGTGGTGTACAGTTACTATTGTGAGTTGGAGGAATCTAAAGAAATCGTATGCAGCGATATGTGCGAGTAAGTAACTCACAATTATCATTATTTTTAAGACGAGTCCTGAGTGTAGCGAGGGATTTAAGTTCACCCAAGACTAAGACAGCTTTATCAGCGAGGAAAATACTCTACTTTTCGTACCATTTGCAAAAGATTTAACATAATAATAATATGAGATAAGCATTTATTAAAAATAATGTCAATTTATTTAACCAAGTACTCACTAGGTGTTAGAGTCTGTGCAGAAAGAGAATGGGATTTAGATTGGAGGGCGCTGTAGTGCTTTTCTACCGTATTTGTAAGGTTTTACCCCTTCTAGACATGATTAAATACAAAAAACCGTAAGAAATCACAACAACAAACAAATCTGTATCAATACAAAACTTTGACGTTTTACAGATAGCTGGGTTTGATTGCCAAATAAAAATCTTAATGTTATAATATATTTTTTTCATGTAACTGCTTGATGATGTTTAAATCTAAAGAAAATATAACTAGTAAAAATCCGCGCGGACCAGGCAACAGACGGGACTCGAACTAGCGAAGGGTGCGGGTTCGAGTCCCGTCTGCTGCCTGGTTCGCGTGGCTTTTTTTCTAGTTATATTTTCTTTAGATCTTAATGTTAGTTCCGTTTTTCGCCACGCCCATTCTCTTTCCGCGCAGACTTTAGCTTTTCGCGCATATAGCGGCCAGTATATTATAGGTAAACCGCTTAACTGAGACCTCGCCTGCCTGCCGGGTACAGGGTAAGGGTGCGGCCAGAGTGCACTCAGATTCAGATTCAGATTCTGAAAACAAGCGCGAGAAATAAACAGTGTAGTCTAAGCAGGTTGCCTGCTTTTTCTCGCGCTTTGTTTTCTGAGTCTGAATCTGAATCAGGAGTGCACTCTGGCCGTACCCTTCGACTACACTGTTTATTTCTCGCGCTTGTTTTCAGAATCTGAATCTGAATCTGAGTGCACTCTGGCCGCACCCAATGGGGCAGGACAAGAACGGGGACCATGAGAGGTGCAGGCGGCGGGAGCTTGTAATTTTGACAAGAATGTGACTGCCGCCCGCACCTCTGTGCCATGGTCAGACCCGTCTTTCCCAGTGGGCACTTTGGGCAAGTGCCCACTGGGAAATGCCCAGGGCACTTACCATGGTAGAGCCATGGTACACTTTTCTGTTGCATCAGTTATCTTCGTCACTAGAGTTCACTTTCACTTAACATCGGATGAGGTGTGGTAATCTAACTAAGTATCCGTAGTTTGCTGCGCTTTAAAAATAAAACAGTATCTGTAATAATTATGTGCGTAGAAAGAAAGAAAATGATGAGGTGAAGAAGAGACGAGGAGCTCGATGGCGCAAGTGGTAAGCGCGTTCGGCTGCGATCGTTGAGCTTAAGCAACTTTGGCAGTGGTCGGTCATTGGATGGGTGACCAAAAATTACTATCTCGAGCTCCTACATGCTTCGGAGGGCACGTTAAGCCGTTGGTCCCGGCTGCATCTGCAGTCATAAGCACCCACCAATCCGCACTGGGCCCGCGTGGTGGGTCATGGCCCAATCTCCCTATTCCATCCATAGGGAAGGCCTGTGCCCCAGCAGTGGGGACATTAATAGGCTGATGATGATGATGATGATGATGAAGAAGAAAGGCAATAGCTGGAGACCAATCTATTGTTTCTTTTATTCTTCCCTACAAGTTTAGTTTAAACGTTAAATTATTTAAATAGTAAGTAGCACTTACTAATGTAACATCCACAAGAACTACAGCCGACAAACTGCCGTACAATTTGGCAGTCATGTACCCACATAAAAACCGAAATGCAATTCGATATGGAAAATAAACAAAATGAGAATTTAAAATGAAAGAGTTCCGCTCTAACAATGCACTGGCCATTGAAACTAAAAGTTCATTGGTTACCCAGAATCATTATCAGTTAGTCGCTCATACTTTTGATAAAGAGATAACGCTGTTGCGTGGCTCACCGATGCCCCTGATAGTATCCCCAAATTATTTAATACTATGCTTATGTTGATGTAGTCGAAAGGCTTGTGTGATCTATTAAAAAACTTTGATATCGTTTCAGTGTTTAAAATATTGTGGCTAGTGAACAAAGTGATAAAAGATGGCTTTGCAACTACCTAGATTCACGAGATGTTGTTTTTGCCTTTCCTTGAGGACGGGTTCGTTGATCGTCGGATATATATCAATTGTGAGTGAATGAATCTATATGTGCCTATTAGTGTTTTGTGTTTGCGTGCGGTGTATTTTGAAATAATTTGAAATGAAATGAAATGAAAAGTCATTTATTCAATCTAGGCTGCTGTTACAAGCACTTGTGAAGGTCAGAAGCTACGCTATCGGTTCGCAAAACTACGGCGGGAGACCTTGTACTGAGAAGAACCGGCAAGAAACTCAGCAAGGGCTGCTTTTTCTCCCTATATTGATATATACAGAGTCGTCAAGTTGAAAAATGACTTCAGAGATACTTCTGAAGTCACCTTCCTTTACATCATTTAGGATATATACAGTTACAATAATAATTTTATATTTAGTATATAGGAAGCGGCATTAGATAGGTACCATATTACTGTTACAAAAACTGAATAATACCCATCAAATAACAAAATACAAGAAACACTATGTCCATGCATTACGATCTTTTAGATAATCATTAACTTTATAATAGCCCTTATTCATAAGAGAATTCTTGATCTCAGATTTAAATTTGGTTAGTGGAAGCTCAATCAGCTCTTGGGGAACTTTGTTAAACAATGCAATACTACAACCCAGAAATGAACCTCTTAGAATGAATTCGTAGATATAGAGCAGTATAGTTCTATCTATAGATCTACGAATTATCTTACTAAATAACATGAAATATTTAAAGTTTTGCAATCATACGTGTTTGAATCTGTTCCTCTGTTTGTGATTTTTGTGTGATTGATTCGATGTGTGTTTAGTGATTTTTAAATGTATTGACTCAAATATCGCATTTTTAAGGCTTATTTAGAAATAATATGTGTAAAGTTTAGCTAATAATAATGCGTGGTGTACAAAACTGCATCATTTTTAGCCAAGTCCGACTAAGTCAATGAAACTATGACAGGTGATACAATTTTTGTATGATAAATAACTATTGTACGATAAGTGATATTACATAGTGTTAATGCTTAACATCAACACAACTGTAGAAAATAAGGCGATTCGATACATTCTGATAAAAATAACTTTTTATCAGAATGTATCGAATTGCCTATTAGATTATATAGAAAGATTTTATTTATATTCAAAAAAGTTTAATATAACTTTCAAATTATTTCTGGGATAGCAATTTCAACAATTTTGAAGATAAAAGACTTGAAATATATATTCAACTAACGTCAAAACAACGACAACAGTCCGACAAGTACATAGCAGATCAGTTCAGTGAATTAGTTCCATTAAATATCGCGGTATTTTTTGTGAAAAGGACTTTTCCTGTAATTTCATTTTCGTTTAATTTCATTCAACTATTTCATTCAATTTGATAACCTACACAGAGCTTTGTTTCGGTGTCTACGATAGCCCTACGAAGGGGCTACTTTTGGTGTGACAACCAGAAAAAGATCTGACAGATTGTTATCACCTATTAACTATAACCATTTCCGATGCTGCTGTGTCCGTTGATGCTCGTAAAATAGTAATCCAAGTACAAACATCTAGCGAGAAGTATTCCTATCGCCATGCCATGTCAATGTTTCTATGGAAAAAGCCACTTTATTCTTACCTCTGGTAAGGGAGTTGCTTGGTTTCCATAAAATTTTGACTCTGGTAAGGGAGCTACTGGTAGGGGACAAAGTTTCTATGGAAACCAAGAAGCTCCCTTACCAGAGACAATGTTTCTATGGAAACTAAACAACGCCTCTATGGACGTAAGAATAAACCGGCTCCTTCCATAGGAAATTTGACGCTACGATTACGGATCTGTCAACGTTCGAACTTGGGTTACTGTCATAGAGGTATAAGAATAGAGTGGGGAAGGCAGCTCTAAAAGTGTCCGTCTAGTAGAAAGAGAAAGAAGATGAGAGACGGCTAGCCTTTTCTCTCTAATCGCGAATGCGCATTGGATGAAAAACCTACGGATGAATACCGAACAATCAAACGACTGCGCAGCGTCACAAGAGAGAGAGATAGCTAGCTGTCTCTCATCTTCTTTCTCTTTCTACTAGACGGACACTTCTACTTGTAGTAGAGTACATATCTCCCCTACTGTATTCTTATACCTCTATGGTTATTGTACCTTTATCACGAACCAATATGAAATTCGAATAGTTTGCGAGTGCGAAATATCATTTTCTGTCTGTTTATTGCAAGTGCTGTAGTTGAGGTGTGTCTATGGAATTGTTTATACATACAATTATATTTATTATTGAATAGAGAAATATGATTTATTTTAGTGGTATGGAATGCATTTTTATTTCACATTTGCATTGCTATCTCATCTGTACCACAAGCAAGAACTTTGACAGCTCTAACTATTCGAATTTGACATTGGTTCGTTTTAAGGGTACTGCCCTGTACTGCCCTGAAAAGTTAGCAGCTGGCGTAGCATTCTGTTTTACTTTACGCCTTTATAATTCAGCATATTAATCTAGTGGTAGATATCTTGTCTTAGTTTATCAGTAGTTTGCATGTTGGCGCGATTAGTCAGAATACAAAAAAGTATTTTTTTTATAAATTCATTGAATAATGATTTCATACTGAATCACACACACTTCCGCAAATTTCTTGCATTTTAGGAAATAGGCAGGTAAATAATACATCAGGATGCATAATACATCACAAATTTATAAAGTCATAGCACTTGTATTTTTATTAAAACTGCAATAAGTATTTAATTAGTACAAGAAATTAAATTCGACCAACTGAAATCGAGGAGCTCGATGGCGCAAGTGGTTAGCGCGTTCGACTGCGCTCGTTGAAATTAAGCAGCTTTCGCAGTGGTCGGTCATTGGATGGGTGATAAAAGAGTTCCTCTGAGTATCGAGTTCCTCCGTACTTCGGTATGGACGTTAAGACGTTGGCCCCGGCTACGTCTGCAGTCGTTACTACCCATCTATATGCACTGGGTGGGAGGGTTTATGAGTACAGATGATGGTTACTTTATTTATTATAGGACAAAAACTTCACAGGATAGTGTAATAATCAAAACAGAAGAAAAGGGCCCTAACTGACGACCTTCGTGGCCGAGTGGTTTGTACGCGGGGTTTCAAGGTGTCGCTTATAAGCGAGACCTCTATAAGCGGGACCTCTCGTATACGAGGGTTCTAATCCCGTTTGGGGCAGATGTTTGTGGCATGAATACGAGTATGTAAAAGGAGATTTTTAATTATTTGTGTTGCCATAAATTTAAATGTTTGAACGACATTTTTATGAGCTACATGTAGGTACCTAATTATTTTATTTTACTATTTATTTTTCACAACACTCACACCAATTAGCCTAGCCCCAAAATAAGCACTGGAAGGCTTGTGTTATGGGATACTAGGGTAACGGATAGAATACATATATTGTACATATATAAGTATAAGTATATTTATATAAAAATACATATTGAATATCCATGACTGGAGTACAAACGCTCGTATTCATCACACAAACATCTGCCCCCACCGGGATTCGAACCACGGAGGTCGACAAATGTGTACCTAAGTCATGGATACTTATATGTATTTCTACATCCGTTACCCTAGTATCCCTTAGCGAAAGCCTTACAGTGCTTACTTTGGGGTAGACTAATTGGCTAATTCAGATTCAAATTAAAAAATTATTTATTCAGTTTAGGCTTTTACAAGTACATGTGAAAGCCGAATACTACGCCATCGGTCGCCAATTAAAAAAATATTTATTTATCTCCAGGTGGTATCGCTATTGTTCATGGCGGCGATATCGTTCTTCCTGTACCACGTGGTGATGTTCGTGAACCACAACCAGAACCAGTCGAACCCTGAGCATTCTCCGGAGGAGTTGGCGCAGGTCGCGCTCGGCGTCTACGTGTCCCAGGCGTTCTACTTGCTTGTCTTTCTATTTCTTCTTATCATCAACATAATGCTAGTCGTCGGAGTGCACACAGTAAGTTTCCTTGCCCAAAAATGCTGGTATTTTTTTTCTGATGGGCAGACATGTGGATGGGCCACCTTTTTTTTATACGCAGGCAAAAAGTACTATTTACAAACGACGACACCTTTAAGAGGCACACCGCCGAACGGACCTCACACCTGGCTTCCGCAAGCCTTACGAGCCCCAGCAGTGGCTGCCCACTGAGGACCCCGTAACCCTTACGGGCGCTTTACGGCATAATATCCGCTAAAAAACCCTGCGAATACCCTCTAAGCCGCTTAGCGCGAAGCCGCGGGATCCCCGTTTAGGGATTCTTCCGCGTCGCCGCACCTAGCAGTCTCCCGGCTTTGCCGGGGCTCCGCGGCAGGGGTCTCCCGGGGTATCGCGGGGACCCCGCACCCCGGGGTGCGCAGGATGGCCCGCGCGTGGGGGCTGAGTAAGCGGCCTAGTGCCCACCGTACCGTCCCCCGTCCGCTGCGGAAGGCTACTTGGGCGTGCCATGTAGCTCCCTCCGCCGCCCCCCTCTTTGCAGGACAGAACTACAAGGAGGATGTGGATGAGCCACCTGATATTAAATGGTCATCATCGCCCATGGACAACAGCAATTCCAGTGACACAGCCATGCTGCTAGCTTTCATGTAACACTCTATTTAAGCCTCTCTTGATCAGTTATAGTACTGATTAAGCACCGCGGAGGGGAGCTTTTTAGTGCTTCCAGTTGGAACAACCTTGCCTGTTATAAAAGAATAGCTGCTTGCAGCTAAAACATCTTTGCTGTACTGATGAAAATGTTACTAGGAAAATATCCACTTTTTATACCTGTCAGGCTGAATATAAATCTAGCAGTTTATTTATTTATGCATATTGTAACAGTATCACTTTCACATTAAAGGGTTGACATTTCTATGTGATGCCCTTGCAGGGGTGCTCAAACTCGAACTGCTGGCGATCTTCCTCAAAATTTTTAGACTACTTACGATCGACTCTGAGAGGCTGCAAGTACGTACTTACACGATACACCCAACCTACCTACCTACCTATGTAGGGTGTACCGTAGCAAATATAGATATTCGTAGGTCGATCGCGATCGACTGCTTTCGCGTTACCCTGTCAGGGTGTAGTAATTAGGACCCGTATCGATTTCAATTGAGAATTTATAAGCCAAGAATTCCATAAAATACAGTGCTTAAGTTTTTGTTCTACGACAAAATAAGAGAGCCTTCCAAGGATTTCAGAATACATTGCGATATTCACTTTGCATCCAGTAGTAAGTAGTCTTCAATACTTAAAATATAGGTATGATACGATACATCTTTGCCTTATGCCAAGCAAAGATTTCTCAGCTACAGCACCCAAACTCTTGTTTAGTAATGCCTACTTTCTCCATTGTCTCATCAACTTGTTGATGTTAAAAATACTACATAGTCTAGTCAACAAGTGCCTTTTTGGTCAACTTTTTTCAGCAGTCTCCGAAAATTATGATCGAGGTGTCATTCGATTCGGAATGGCATCTAGATGATTTTGAAAAACATGAAGTTCCGCAAACAGAAAATACAAATTTTATTAACAATTAACTAAAAAAAAAGGGGGTTTCATTTTTTGCAAATATCTCGAAAACTAATAAAGATATTTCAAATTAAAAAAAGATTCAAAAAGGGAAGGAAATTTCCTAAAAAAAGCCTCGACTCCCGGAACTGTAGGACCAATATTTATAATTTTCCCAGAGGGATGAAAATACGGCCGAAAACGGGTCCTCTGGCTTGCGTAAGCCACGCCTACTTTGGGCACTTTATTAATAAAAAATATTTTAACATGTTAAATATAAAAAGAAATGAAAAAATTCAGGGGCTTACTGGATAGATGAATGAACAATAATCCACGTGAAAAAAAATTTTTATAACAATTTTTCAATTAGTTATGCAATTGTTAATTAAAAAATGTTAGCGACCTGCCGGTCGGTCTTTCCCGACCGGCAGGTCGCTAACATTTTTGTTTTATCTGCATACTTTCATATGAATATGTTTAAAAAACAAACGGATATGTATAAATTGATCTGACTTTTATTTTTACATAGTAGGATTTGACCTGACTATAGAGACAAAACAAGACCACGAAGATGGGATTGGAATTCAGTATGCAAGCCATTCGACCTCATGAAGAGGCGATTATCTAGATAAACATATTTTTAACTAAGATTGTTTTTCCAGGATAAGCCCAGACTTCTTCGGATCTACACTTACAGTGGATTTTTCCTATTCGGAATGTCCATAGGACTCGTGGTGGTGTCGATGGTCTTCGTTGGATTTCTGGCAACACTGCCGCTATTGAAGTGGTGCTGTAAGTACAGTAATAAAGATTTTAGCGTTCACCACAAAACAATAATAACAAAGATTGTCATTCTTAAAATAATCAGAGCATAAGCTTTCCTTTCTTATTGAAGAGATGTTTGACTAAAAAGCCTTTGATTCTTCGATCGGGCACAAGTTATGAACAAAGTGCACTTCCCATTCGAGAGAACAAAGGGGACAGACTAGAGAGAGAGAGAGAGTAAGTAAGGATGTTGCCAGAACTTGGCAGGCTAGTGGAAACCATAAAAATGTCTCAAGCAGACCCGTCTTTCGCAGTGGGCACTTTGGGCAAGTGCCCATGGCCCCGTGATCGATAGGGGGCCCCCTCACATCAAATACAAAGTCCCTAGTTCCTGTTAAATCACCAAACGGAAGTCATAGGGGCCCCATTATCCCAATATGCCCAGGGCCTCCAATAGGTCAAAGACGGCACTGGTCTCAAGTGTATGGTAGTTGATTTCCCATACAAACTATTATCGCTCTTTTCACCCTTTTGAAAGATGACCTATCCCCCTTTTCATCAATCAAAGATGATTTCTGGGACAAAACCTTTGTCTATGCCTATCCTTTCCCGGGACTCAAAATATATCTATACCAAGTTTCATCTAAATCAGTTTAGCGATTTAAGCGTGAAGAGGTAAGGCAGAGGTAGGGCACAGCGGATTTTCCGCTCGAATTGGTGCGCCTGTCTGGGGAAGCAACTTCCACCTTAAAGAAGATCGCAGTAAAAATAACACTTCATTTTAGTGGTGTTGTGATTATGCTGGTGATTAGGGTTTCAGGGATCCGCGGGGTAGGGCCAAGAATGGATGGGGCGCAGGCAGCATACCTTCGCCGTATCATCTATCTCCGCTACTGAACTCCACAGACTCCACTTATGTGGAGGTGGGTTGGGATAATAGGTTGCGCCTCGTATAAAAAAAGACAATGTTGCGGCCCTCTAATTATTGCCAGACCTTTTTACTATTATGCTATGTATACTTTCTTATTAGCTGCCATCTGAATATGTCATCGTCATGTATGATGTACCTATAGTAAATTTATATTATAAATTAATGGGTTTTAATTGAAGTATTCAAGCCACGTTATGTAAGCTAATACATAAAAGACACTTAAGCTGCAGATAGACGACGCGAAAAAAAAATCTTGCGACCGCCGCGCGGCGACCGCGCTGTGGCCTCGTAATAACTGTTCAGTCATAGCAGATTTATGTTTTATTAACTAGGACTTAACGTTGAAATTCTTTGTGAGTAAGGGGGCGTCCATAAATTACGTGAGATGTTTAAGGGGAGGAGGGGGTCGAGTCAAATCTCATCTAATCTTACGTTGGAGAGAGGGGGGGTCTCGGCACTTATAACTCTCAGCAATATTGATTACTAGTCTTAACTAGTCGTAAATAAAAGCACGAAGCATTTTTTTTCTTTTTACAATAACAATCCAACGCGTTTACGAAAGAAACCCACATTTTGAAAAATCTCACGTGAGATTGGGCGAAGGGGGAGGGGGTTGAATAAAATCTCACGACATCTCGCCAGGGGGGGGGGGGGGGGGAGGGAGGGACAGAAAATCCAAAAAAAACACCTCACGTAATTTATGGACGCCCCCTAACTAACTGCGCAGCGATCGTGCGGACGCCGTGCTGTCACCGTACTGTCACCGCCCGGCCACCACGCATTCTGTGTCATATAAACGCGCCCTTATGCATTTTGTCAGAATATTAGCATGGATGGTTAGATATAAATATGTGTATTGTTTTGTTAAACAGTCATCAATTTCTTGTGCCTGTTGTTGGTGAGAAGCACTTATCTGGATATGGAGGAGAGAAACAAGCCTCGTGTGTACGAGATGCAAACCCTGTATAGTCCGCAACAAGCACCGCTAACGGCATGAACAAAACAAGACTGATCACCGAGTTGCTAGTTTAATTTTAGATAAATGAATGTCATTGTATTATCATCGACCCATATAATAATTTTATTAGGTAAGTAGGTAATTTTATAGAAATGTGTTTTAAGTTTAATAATCATGTTGATTACTATACTTAAAAATTAAAATATTGTATACACCTCGATAAGCTTCTTTAGCAATGACCATAGGAAGCCTGCGCAAAACGTAGTTTATATTCACTTCTCTTTGCCTGCGCAGTAGCAGAAGCATGCTACATATATAGTGATCTGTGGTAGCAGATTTACATACAAAAACGTTGACTGCGCTTTGTTCGTGGTTTTGCTCAAGAATTTTGCCGTTACCATAGATAAATGAGCGTAGCGATACTAATCATTTAACTATGGCCGCTTTCTATACTGCTAGAGAACCCATGTACGAGTATTTATGAGCTTTAATGTAATGATGTAGATAGGAAATATTTTGTATTGCAATTTGTTTTTTTACATAACGCAGTTCTGTATTTTACCCAAGGAATATACCTAACGGTAACAATAATGCTCACTTGCTATTTTGTAGAGAAAAATGTAAGCCTTAACGGAAGCACTTAGGGTCTACTTTCTGTTTAAAACTGAAAAGAAAAACAGTCTTGGATGAGACGAACGACGGCAATCTCTGTCACGCAGTTGCCAGTACAAAACTACAAAATTGATATAGTAGAATATCAAAATGCTTCGTGACCGTCATTAATAAAATATATTGTAAAAATAATAGATTTTTAACCGTTACCCAACCTTTACTAGAAAAATTAAAAGAAGTAGGGTTTATTTTATGAAAGTTTTATTTTTTTAAAGAAGATAGATTTTATGCCTGTTAATGTCAAGATTTTATGTTAGTTATGACGGATCTTTTGTGATAGTATTTTCATTCATTTTATTTTTACTTTTTAATTATCTGTGTCTTCCCCTTCCTCCCACACTCCGATGACTTCTATCAAACCATGTGTCGTAATGTAAAGTTTATGGTAGAAGTTTTAAATTATTTAAAAATAGTATAGAGTGAAAATGACAGATCGATGCGATGTCCATACGATCTGAATTAAGGATCGCCGCACTCGGGCCAACGGCCACAACCACAATATGCCGCCACCGACATATTTCCTGCAGCTTTCATACATTTTATATTGACTCGCCGCACACGGTTATCGCCGGTGGCCGCCTCACGCCACAAATCGTCGTTGCTCGCTTCTTGTGGCCCGCACCGGCCACGCCGGTACAAAACACCGCCACGCGCCACTCGCGCGATTCCCCACCTTCAAACCTTTTACGTCAGAGTCCATTATGATACTGCACGCATGTGTTAAAAAAAGTAGCAGCCACCGACGGCAAGTGTCGACCACCGGCCGCAAGTGGCTGTCGCGCGCTTCACCTACATTTGTAGCCGCTTCTAACTTCTCGTGGCGGCGTTTGGGGCTGTCGCGTGTGGCCCGTGTGCGGCGACACTAAGATATGATTAAAAAACAGATAGTATATATTGATGTCTTGATTATGATGGTAACTTGACTGATGATCCAAAATAGTATAGATATTTCAAAAATTTTCCTATAGTTAAAAAAAATATCCGATTACATACTTTTTAACAAATGTGTCCGTCATGCTAGCGTACCCCACATCGAGTTCGAGGTTGTTACAAGCTAATAAATAGTGCCTAATTAGTGCAAAAATAAAACCTAACGCATGGTATACGCTGGCGTATCGATCAAGGTAGCATACACAGGTCCACTCCCGTTAGCATTGCTACAGTCATGGACCTATTATTGGTGCATACTATCCTATAGTAGTATTTTCGAGAGCTCTGAATTGCTAATTTAATATAATAAATGGTAATAAATAAATAAAGTAAATGGTACATAAGCGCGTATTCCACCTAACTAAATTCAGACGTCTTAGCTAGGATCCTAAAAAGAAAGCTAATTAGAAGCTTCTGATTACACTTGACTAATTTAGTTACTGATTCAGTCAGTTACAAACGCGCGGCAAATTCAGTCGGACTTTTTCCTAATGGCTCCAGTCCTGGGTCTTTCCGTAGGCCTGCTCAATAAAAATAAAATATAGTAAAAAAACGAAAAACGTGGGTGAAAGAATATTAATATTATTTTTATCGTTTTTGTTCCAAAGATACGGCATATGTTTATACAATTCGATTATGTTACTCATTTTCTTTTACCGCCGATATCAGGCTCTTGCGTAATTCGTAATCGTAGACAAAATAACCTCCTCACGCAGTAACGCCTGCGGTACGTACGACTGAAGCATCTAAACCCTATCACACGTTCCTAAATCACTTTCCAATCAGGATACTAAATGATTTAGTCAGTCGGAAGCCACACTTCTTCCTATTTAGGATGCTAATTAGGATCCTAACTTCCTAAATGCTATTTCACTTGACTGAATTAGTTACTGGATGATTTAGAACGTCTGAATTTAGTAAGGTGGAATACGCACAACAAAACGACACTATGGACACTAGTCTGAAATAAAGTTTTATTATTATTATTGCAAAACAATTGTCACAAACTAAATGTCATTAGAAAGAGATTTCCGGCTCACTACCCAGGCTCATTCGGACAGTCTGCATACCTTACCGTTAGGTATATAACTTCCTTCATTTAACCTATTTTTTATTTTTTAAAGAAATAAATGGTTTGAATAATTTATGGTTACTTACTTATTTTGATACCTATGGTAGGTAAACGTTACCTTTTGCTTATAATATAAATAGTTATATTATATAAAGAAAAAAAGCGAGCGAGCCTTACATGAAGATAATGATGATGATGGTGATGGAGATCTTCGGATGTCGGATCCCTAGTGTGGACTGTATGTAGGTTTCCAGATTTAAAACGCTGGTTGTGGCTTTACTACTTCCTTTATTCTTCTGGCTAGTTGCTCACACGATAATTGTTCCAGGCTGACTTTTTTGTTTCATTTGGCACATTTTTTTTGTTTCCTCCCAGGCGGGGGAGCGGGTGAGAAATCCTCATAGATACCCTACAGCCCTACAGCTAGCTGTAGGGTTATGTCATGTCAGTCTCTTACTGACTAAAAAAACACCCGTTAATCATAGCGGTGGGCGTTTAAACGAAAAGCGCTTAAATAAGCACGCTTAAAATATTAAGCTTGTAAGCACGCTTTTAAGTATAAGCGTTATAAGCTTTTCACTTAAAAAGTGTGAGTAAGCTTTTCACTTAAAAAAGTGCAAGTATATTTTTTACTTAAAAAGTGCAAATCCCGCCATCTATGTCTTTGCCAGGAAACTACATACTTCGATCCTTCTAGTCCACTACAGTATCGAAAAATGGGTACGCGGAATTCCTTGGAACTAAATATTTCACAATATCACAGACATGTTCTATGTCGCGAGCGCCGCATCGGTGTGCCATCTTTCTTGAGCCGGTTAATACAGCATGCGAATTATTATAATGCGACGTAAAAAAATGCACTTTTTTAAAATTTGGTCGGATAACCAACGCTTTTTTCGTTAAAAGTACGAATCAAACGAAGTCGAAAAGCAGTACGCTTGTCACTGTGACGGGGTAAGAGCGCGGGGGTGTTGTACGCTGTGTTTGCATGCTTGCTTGTGTTAATGCGTTTCGTGTATTGGTTTAATGTGCATATAAAATAGTTAAAAGTATGTATATAAAATCAATGAACTTTTAAGTACGCCTGGATCACGAGTATATTAACTCCAGACAGTCCTAAGCTTGTAAAGTACGAAGGAAAGTTCATTGACTATTATAAAATCTAAATTCAATTGAAAATCTTTCGTTTTTAATGTCAATCAATTCATTAGGTTTAAAAAAACTTTTTAATAAAAATTTCATTAATAAGAAGAAAAAACGCAATAAAACACTTGAACACATTAAAAACGACAACGCTTTTTTAAACGATATACCTTAACGAAAACACAACACAACGTCGTGCTTTTTACGCATGCTTTTAAACGTTTAAGCCAATAAGCGTTTAAACGAAAAAGATTTTTTTCAAGCGCGCTTATTTTAAAAAGTACAACGTTTAAACGCTTTTAAGAAATAAGCCGTTTTTTCCATCTCTAGTTAATCATGCTTGTATTACCCCACGTGTCTTTTTTTAAAGTGTGCCTTCTGATTGGCGGTTCATCACGCGACCATTTCTCCGTCGCAAGATGTCCCGCCCCTTTAAAGTGGGCCTTGTGATTGGTCGGCACGTTTTTTCTTGGGTCGGTGCACGGCTGTCTTCAATACTTCGTCTTGTTATTTCAAAAGTGTTAGTGTTTGTATTATTTATAATACCTAGGTACATATTATTTTTTATAATACAAACACTAACTTTTCTCTAATCTTACTCTAGTAAAATCCTAACACTGCCAGACCTTATTATTTTCTCATGGACAAAATATGGAATAATTGAGCATTAATGATGTGTACAATAAACTTATACATTATGTAACTTGTGCTGTGGGCCAATTTCCAGGTATCCAGTGGCACAGGCAGGTAATATAACAGAACAAGCCTGCTTGAAAGTGAACTTTTATAAGAAATGTGATTAGAACCTATTAAAAAATGACTGCTTGAGAAATTTAATGTAGAGTGAATTACCTTACAGAAACTTATTATAAAAGCTGACTTGATGCATTTTATGCCAAGCATGGTGTCAAGTAAGCAGGTAGGTACTCCAAGAAATATTAGAAAGTGTTACAATCACATTATAGTAAGAAAAACCACATAGTTATGAAGGATGTTTGGGAAAGTTTAACCGCTGCTCCCCACTAGCGAAATGGAATAATAAACCGGCAATACTGGGTCAACTTATCAGCACTATATTTGGAAATATTCACAATTATCAAAATACAACATGTAGGAACGAAATTTTATCTTGAAGTCTATTTTTGGAATCACAACTTATAAATCAAACAGAAAATATATAAAAAGAACATAAATACAAACTTATTTTCTACTGTGCCAGTGCCTGCGGAATGTCCATAGACACTGGCTGTATGGCGACATTGACCAACTTTTATGCAGTGTAAAGTCGCCACAGATGTATGAATCTAACTTCCTTTGCCTTCCCATCAGAAGAATAATATAAGAAGTATATGACTGTCAAAAATAATGACTCCATTACCCTTCTACGTTTAAAATCCTATACACTTTCGCGCTTGCTCTGTTTCTCTTGCAGCTACAGTGCATTTGTTGTCTCGTTTACTATGCCTTAATATTTTTTGGGGTTATACCTTAAACGTCGGAACTCAGAACGAGGGAAGCGCATGAATTTTGCTGTTGCAAAGAAACTAGATTTATTTCTCAGCATTACCACAACATTATTATGAAATTGCGTTGTTAATTTATTGTTTAGTGTATTTTCATCAAAATGTCTAGTAAATTTAACCAGAGTTCTAATATTACAGCTCAAAATCAGGTTGGTTGTTTTCTGATTGCCAGTACGCCTGGTTGTATTTACGAAATTACAGTCTCTTTTTGTGCAATATATTAAAATTTCTTTCATAAAATCCGTTTTTTATTGCCCGTCTATTTTCAGCTTATACAATGGATAAACGAAGCTGGTATGGCAGAAGGAACCAAGAAGACAAACCTATTGAGAAAAACTGTAGAATTGTTACTGCATTCTGCTTCACAAATGCTGCCTGTTTACATAGAAAACATTCTAAGCTACGTTAGTGATAAGTCTAACGATATCAAAAAACTTGTGGTTAATTTTATTGAAGAGATAAGGTATGTTATAGGTGCTAATTTGTCAAGTAAATCTTATTACCTTTACAAGCATAGAATGTAATCTCATGTATGAATACTGAGGCCGTATACAGAAAGAAAGCTGGAAGCCGACCAGCCCTTGTCAGCGCTGGTCCTTACCAGTAAGTGGCGCAAGCATTTCTATGGACCAGCGCCGACACTCACTGGTCAGCGCTGGCACCGCCCTTTGAAATTAATGAACAACTAAGCTTCTTCCTTTATGTAACTGTTACCGGCATCCAGCTTTCTTTCTGTATACGGCCTTAGCATACCTACTCAGCGGTTGCTATAGAATTATCATCATTGGATTATTGTGGTAGGTTGCTCCTCCTATCAAATTTGATTTACTGTCAAGAAAGAATGGAAATATAATACAATAATAACTAAAATATTAAAATTTTACCTATGTCTTTTGTGCAATGTATATTTGCTTATTTATGTGTACACATTGCATTGTTGTGGAAGCATCAAAGGTTTTAATCATATTGACAGTGCTTATACTCTGTTTATGTTTTGTGAAGATGTGAGTACTGTATACTTTTTTGGTGCTTAAGCAACTCTTAGTGCTGAAGTTTTATGGTGCTGCTGGTGGCCCTTCTTGGTGTTTTTAATAGAATTGATTGAAAAACCAATGGCGCTTATGCCATACTTTTCGGTGTATGATTTGATGTTTGCTTGACAAACAATGTGTGGCGTACCGAGTGAAGCCACAACTTATTCATAAAATAAAGGCACAATGTAACTTTTTAAAAGAAGGATATTTAGAAAATATTATTTTATGAATAGGTTAGTAAATTGTAAAAAAAAAATTTGATGCTTGTTTCTGTAAAGGTACTAAAGTGGTGTTTAAGGAGTTTTCCAATTGTCATTATGTGTTGGGAACTTAGTTTACCTGATTCAATGGTCACAGAACAGCCCAGTTGTTTCTGCTATGTTTAAAGATTCTCAATAAGCTATGATGCTTGTGACTTCCTTACTCTCTAAATTTAGGAGCTCAAAGTCAGTTCAATTACAGCCTTACGAGAGTAAAATGTATGAGTTTAACTAATATAATTTTTTTTATTTTTATATATAGAGGTAGGCACAATGACTCTACCCCACCTGATGTTAAGTGGTAATAAACTCCAAATGCGAAGATAACTGGTACAGCAGTTATAAACTGCTATTCTAATCATCCTCACCTTGCCGGCCTGCAAAAATGCTTCTTCACGCCTCTCTTAAAGGACCCCAGATTATAGGAAGGAGGGAACACTTGCGCGGGTAAAGATTTTCACTTATGAATAGTACTTAATAAATAATAGTATTTAAGTACACTGAATCTAAAGATATGGTATTATAAATCTCGAAAGTGAAGTTCAATCTACATTCAATAGCAGATAAACTGGGCCACCCGCTAGTAGCTTGGCGCCCAGGTTTGATTTTCTTCAAAAGTATAAAACTTACAAATATTAAAGCTATATCTGCTGCGAGTATGTTTTTCGATAATTACAAGGACAAAAAATTTTTTGTTAATTACTGTTAACATACTTTGCAATCAAGCAAGATACACAGAATTATTAAAAAAGTTGTGATTATTGTTCTTTTTTATAAAATGATGATCGTCTCATACTTCTTATCATTTCTTTAGTTGTTGTCCATTGATTCCTTAGACATGTGCCTTTTTTGCTACGATTTTATACTATAGATTAACACAACTGGACACGACTCTACTTCGGAAAATTCTTAATAAATACTTTATCCTCAACATTTTTTTGAAATTTTAATGAAAAAACTTTCTTTAGGTATAATTTTGATAGTTGTCAGTTTTATAGTAAAAAAAAGAAATCAAGAGTTCCAAGCGCAGACATAGGTCGAAAAAGATACCGCATGTACTTCATGTGTCAAAGCATGCTCAAAGGGAGATGAAACCTCTTCTTTTTCCTCTATTTTATTTCATTTGATTACTATAAAATATGATGTTAGTCACACAGAAGTATTGTGGCTTGCTACTGGTGAAACAATTTTCAAATTCCATTCACTAGAGGCTTTTTTTGTTTTGTTGTCAGTCCCATATAGTTTTGAGGAATATTGTTTAGCCATCTTTCCTGGACAATATAGTTCATGTGGGGTGGTTGCCATAACAACTATCTTTTAATTCTCAAATCTGTAGGGATTGGAGGTAAATTATCTGTCAGACTACTACAAGAACTCCATTTGTTGTTTCAGTAAACTTCACCCTCAATATCTACCCAAAGTGATTGCACACTTAAGGCTTTTCATTTCGGACACAGTGGTGGCTGTCCAAAAGCGAGCGATACAAGCTGCCAGTATCGTGTATAGAAACACCCTACTGTGGATATGCAAAGAGACTGCAGATCTGCCTGAGATGCAGCTTGTGTGGGAAAATCTCACACAGTTAAAGGTAAATTGTATTTATAATTTAGATTTTTTAAGCATGTAACTGCTCGATGTTTAAATCTAAAGCATATAGGTATTTCTAGAAAACAATTCACGCGGACCAGGCAGCAGACGGGACTCGAACCCGCACCCTCCGCTAACCGGGCGAATACACTGACCAATTATGCTACCGCGGCCCTGATAGCCGAATTCTTTCTAGTCTTTCTTAAGCTGCAAGACAGCGCCATCTCTTCGCATTGTAGGTAATCCACAATGTGAAATGAATACCTTTACAAGCATTAAACATTTGAAAGAAGAATTAGCAATTATAGTTATATTTTAAGCAGTTGTATGTTTATTAAGCCTTGAATTGAGAGGAATAAATTAAATATCTTTCTACTAATCACACATTGTGCCTATAAAATAATCTTATTGATATGCACTTATCACTATACAATGATCTTTAGCTAAATTATTATTATAATGTATAAGAAAATTATTTAGCAAAAAATATTATTCCCCTTTTCAAAAAGTCTGCAAGAGCGTATGTATATCTTTTAGCAAACACTAAAATCTAGTGATCAATAGTATAATATGTGAACCTTTGAAGGGATTTAAAAATAACCCTATTTCTTCCATACAGCTTATGGTTCTCAACATGATTGATAGCGACAATGAGGGCATTCGTACGCACTCCATTAAGTTCTTAGAAGAAGTGGTGCTTCTACAGAGCCATAGCGAGGGCTCTTCTGATAATGAGTTCAGTTTGGACGATCTGCCGTCTCACTTGCCCTTCATCAATAGGCGAGCGCTAGAAGAAGAATCTGAGTATGTATATTATAAAGATATATAGGCACATTCAAAATTTGGGTTCGTCATCATAACGCTTTGCGTACTAACATCGTTTTTGCGATTTGTTGTTAAACCGCAGCATTTTATGGCTTCTTTCTCATATAAAATACAAAATCAATACAATTCAAATTAATAATACTTTTGTTAGGAATCTTTGTTTGATGTCAATACAGTTAAGTTTTTCATTTAAATTGTGTAAAATACAATAAGTCGAAGAAAACCAAATATAAACTCAGTTTTATTTTGTTACAGGCACATTTTTAAATTGCTTGTTAAATTCCACAATTCCCAACACATTTCTAGTGTAAACTTGATGGCTTGTATGACCACACTCTGCCTTCTGGCCAAGTTCAGACCCAAGTTTATGCCACGAGTCGTACAGGCTCTGGGTGACCTGCACACCACTTTGCCACCGACTTTGTCACAATCACAAGTAAATTCAGTCAGAAAACACCTGAAAATGTTGCTTATAAACTTGATAAAACACCCCTCGTCGAACGAAATGATGCCACAGCTCACGCAACTCCTGATTGACATTGGCATGACCACGCAAGAAATTCATAAAGCGATACCGAAAGAGAGGAGAAATAAACGAGTTGGCGAAATAAAGACCGGCGATGCTCCTTCAAAGAGATTTAGAGTTGATTCACCACAAAGCAATAGCCAAGGGAGTGATAGTAACAGTCGCAGCGATTTCACGATGTTCGAGGATGACAGTAGTCAAAGTACTCCCAAACCCACCGTTACTGAAGACAGCATTCTGGATGGTCTAAATAATGTAGAAAATGTCGTAGGGCTCGTCACATCAACATTGGTCAATTGCCTTCCAACAGAAATGCCGGCTAATTTCATCAATATATACAAACCTATTCCGAACTCGGGCAGCAAAGCGCAGAAGAAGAATTTGGCGAAAATGATTTTAGGTCTGATCAAGGATGAACCTGTGGTGCCAGCACCGATTACACAACCGCCCCAATCGATTCCGCTACCAACCCAATCGATTCCGCAACCAGTCCCACAACCAATACAACCCGTTTCGCAACCATCTTTCTCCGATCTTGCGGCTAAAATACCTTTGCTACGTGACGATGACGAAAAAATGACCCTGAAGAATGCTGTGGCAAAATTACAAGAATCCACAAAAGCCGACAGACAAGTCGAGAGTGCCGTGTCTAAACTGATGGAAGAAACGAGACAAGAACATCTCAAAGAAGAGGAGAGAAAAGCGAAAGATAAGGAGAAGCCGGTGCCACCTCCAACTCCTACAGTCCCCAAATTGAAACAAAAGGTCAAATTGCTCAAACTCCAAGAGATAACACGTCCGATACCCAAAGAGATAAAGGAAAGATTATTGATACAAGCAGTGAATCGTATCCTTAAAGCCGAAAAGGAAAGTGCGATCGGTGGCGTCTCTCAAATCAGGTCTAAGTTTATAACGATATTTGCGTCAAGTTACACTCCAGAGATAAGGGAATTGGTGCTGAATTACATTCTGGAGGACCCGCTGGGTAGGAACGAATTGGCTCTATCTTGGTTGTACGAAGAGTATGCCTTTATGCAGGGATTCAATCGGCATCCTGTTACGTTACAACCGAAGTTACACGAGAAACACGATCAGAATTACAATCAGCTGCTTTGTGCGTTGATAACGCAGATTTGCGAGAGGGGCGAGCCCATTGTGGAGAATGCTAGGGATATTTTGCTGCGGAAAATATATTCGGAGGCGCCAGTGGTGACTGAGGAAGCTGTGGATTATCTTAAACATCTGGTTACGGAAGAAAAAGTCGCGTTCCTTGCGCTGGATATATTGGAAGAGCTGTGTCTGATGAGGCCGCCTCGTGCTCATAAATATGTGGCGTCGCTAGTATGTCACGTCTGTAAGTACCATAGTATATATAAGTCACGATAAACTTAGTAATAAATAAATAGATCTAAATATATCGAACTTTCACGACCTATCAGCCTTGCCCCAAAGTAAGCACTATAGGCTTGTGTTATTACTGATACATATACACCGTGTTCTTGAGGTTATACACTAACTTTGGCATGTTATTCAGACTATTAAATTGATAATTTTTTACTATGGACACTTTTATGAATTCCATTTTTTTTATCATTTTTTATTTTCATACATACTAAATGCTTAGATGTAATTTATCTAATATGAATTACTCTTTACCTGATCTGGCAACGTCGCATTTGAAACCTTGGTTCAGATGTCTACATAAACTTTTTGAAACTTTTTTTGACGACTTTTTTTAAAGTTTTGACTTTTGAAACTATGACTAATGTAATGACCATTGACGAAGAGTTGATAGCTTGATATTTTTGGTTGCACAAAATGGCAACATCTCACAGATAAAGACTCATTCTCACTGAACAACACAATTAAGTTGGTTAAACTTAAATTACCAATAACTTTAAAACTATGCTATTTAAACTACTACTTTCTTTGTACGATATGTTCAACAAGAGCTATAGAAGTTTTATTCAAAGTTTATGTATATCCTCAGGAACACGGTGTATAAGTATATTTATATAGAAAATACATATTGAACATCCATGACTGGAATACAAATGCTCGTATTCATGACACAAACACGATTCGCACTCATCTCTCGAGTTGGCGGTGATACCATGAAACCCGGCGTAGATACCTCTCGGCCACGGAGGCCGTCAACCTTAATTCTATGCTAGATTAGCAGTAAGAAAAACTATCGTTGTTAAGCTGTTTTCCTTTCATAAAGAAACGTTAATTATGCGGAAGCGCCGGCAGCATCCTATCTGATATAAGTAGTAATCACAGAATACAGAATGAGGTTATAAGGGTGATGAAAGACCGTTTGTACGGGAACCTTTGTCGCCGGCTCGCCCCCACTACACTTCCACCTAATAGATAATAGCCAATCATACGACGCGACAAAAAACTATCGAACCAATGAGCGCTCACACGCGAGAGCAAAAACGCAATCAGAATTAAGTTTGGTCAAGTTATGAGCATTTGTTCACACATAACTGTGGCGCGCCTGCCCCGCCCACAAGGCCCTTCTAACCTCTTTTTGTGTTCTGCGCCGCGAACTTTCGCATTTTTGTTAAACAACATTGAATATAGGTGATTTTTCTTTAGTTTAAACTTTAACTAGCAGGCCGCCCTCGCTACGCTTCGGTGTAGTGCTGAAGTGTAGACTACAGTTTTTGTTCTCAGGCTTGTATTATACACAATGACATTTATCTATAATTCTTCTTATACCTGCATGCAAAGTCTCAGCCCGATCGGTTTAAAATTGACAAAGTTTCATACAAACTTTGATTCCCTATTTTATCTCCTTTAGAGTTGATCAAAATCCTTTCTTAGCGGATGCCTACGTCATAACATCTACCTGCATGCCAAATTTCAGCCCGATTCGTCCAGTGGTTTGGGCTGTGCGTTGATAGATCATTATGTCAGTCAGTCAGTCACCTTTGAGTTTTATTTAAATAGATTTTTTCGGAGTTAGTAACACTGGTTTCAACGTAACTATTCTACTTGCAGTGAACGAAAACGAAGAAATACGTGACACCACCACTAAATCTATACTGAAAATATACAAAGAGGGCACCGATTCAGTAAGGAAAGTGATTGAGAAGCATGCTAACTTGTACCTCGGGTTCATATCATTGTCTAGTCCGCCTCAAGAGTTGTTTAATACTAGACACATGATGCGGGTGCCTTGGAACGATGAACTGTTTAAGCTGTGTCTGAATTTGGTTATGGCTTTGTTCCCGTTGAACGAAGGTGAGTTGGTGTAAAGCTGTATTTCATTCAAATTCATTTATTTCCACCAATCATGGATCAGCAATCATATCATTACATTCAATAAATAATATCACAACACACTAATCATGAAATTACTAACTAAACTGAACTAATAATGAAAATCATGTCAAACAAACATTATAATCTAAAGAAAAGTTTTACTAGAAAAAAAAACACGCGGTCCAGGCAGCGTACTGCATTGCAACTTAAGGCTAGGAAAATTTCGACGCGGCCATCAGGGCCGTGGTAGCATAATTGGTCAGTGCATTCGCCCGGATTGCGAAGGGTGCGGGTTCGAGTCCCGTCCGCTGCCTGGTCCGCGTGGAATATTTTTCTAGTAAAACTTTTCTTTAGATTTAAATGAAATCATGCCAAGCAAACATTATAATAATATAAAATAAAATAATTTTATAAGTTGTGTGTTTCTAAGGAAAAATATATTGTTTATTATTTCTCAATCTATGTTTATCATGTTTCCTGATAGAGGGACATCATGTCTTGCATACAATTTTCGATTCGTTTGTCGAATTATTCTTTGATTTTCGATGCTGATAATCTTGTGTATATGGGTGATTTAGCATCGTGAATCTAGGTATAGTCTTACCGATATCTTTGCTAAATTTCCATGATTTTTTTTCTGAAGCTGCTGTGACTATGGCCAAAAAAGCACATGTTTTCATTTTAATTAAACTCCTTAATTGAAGCTTTTTTGCTACTTTCGTGACAAAGTCGTGAATACATACATCGATTTTGGAGGTGCCGCCTCCTCATAGGTCCTGGGTTCGAATCCCAGTGGAGCAAATGTTTGCTTGATGATTATTAAATTTTAATTTTATACCCCCTACATACTGTTTTAATTGGAGGAGCTCGATGGCGCAGGTGGTTAACGCGTGCGGCTGCGATCGTTGAAGTTAAGCAACTTTCGCAGTGGTCGGTCATTGGATGGGTGACCAAAAATCTTCTATCTTGAGTTCCTCCGTGTTCGGAAGGTACGTTAGGCCGTTGGTCACTTCTGCTTCTGCAGTCGTTAGCATCCACCAATCCGCACTGGGCCCGCGTGGTATCAAGTCCCAAAAACTCCCTATTCCATCCATAGGGAAGGCCTGTTCCCCAGCAGTGGGGATATTCACGATGCTAAATCACCCATTTACACAAGATTATCAGCATAAAAAAATATACATAAGACATGATGAGACCCTCAATAAAATAAATTCTCATCATCATCAGCCTATTAATGTCCCCACTGCTGGGGCATTAGCCTTCCCTATGGATGGTATAAGGAGTATAAGATTTTTGGTCACCCATCCAATGACCGACCACTTCGAAAGATGCCTAACTTCACCGATCGCAGCCGAACGCGCTAACCACCCGCGCCATCGAGATTATATTTCTACGAGTACATAACAACTTATTGATTGATTTATATATATTTTTACTAGACAAGTCTAGCCATTCCCTTGGTGCTAGTCATATTGTTGTGAGTGTTAGATATGTCTATTTCTTAGATTAAAACAAAAAGGTTAGATACGGTACGCTCATACTAGCATCAAATAAAATGTGATCCGACTCAATTACATAAGCAACTCTCACACACGTACACGTCTGTATATTAACATTCAATCGAGCGAGCGAGACAGAACTAAACGCATCAACGCAGCGTATTCTTGTCCTTTTCTTGATAACAAAATGGCGATTACGCAAATAACATTTCACGACAAACCGTGATTTTTGAGAATAAAAAAGTGTTTTTACAGTTTTACGAATGAAAAGCGTTGCCGAGGCATTTGTTTTTTTGATTTTAAACTATTTGTGTTCTTTATAAAAGCATCGAAGGCATTGTTTTATCTTCATAACATAGAATATACGCAATATTGTTATATCGAGTGCACATGCAGCGTGTTTGAACGTCCAATTGTGACTAAAGCGAATTATGGTCATGCACCACAATTCAAGCGGATCTTTTTTGAGCCGCGAGTGCCGTGTCTTCCCTTTTTCGTTTTAATCTAAGGTTTATTTGTTTATTCCCGCTTAGAGTTAATATTGGAAGTGGGTCGCGTATACGGTTGCGCCGGGTCGGACGCCAAGCGCGTAGTGCTCCGCTGCATCGAGGCGCCCGTGCGCGCGGTCATTGACCCCGCGCCGCAGCAGCTACGCGCGGTCATTGACCCCGCGCCGCAGCAGCTACGCCCCGCCTTCCGGACCTTACTGCAGCACTGTCCCAGGGGCGCCGAGACATTACTCACTAGGCTCGTGCATATATTCACTGAGAGAGGTGAGAATTTATTAAAACTTTATAGAAAACATTTTCAGTGTGTGAAGTTTATAGGACTTCACTGGAGTACTGTCCAAGAGGGGCCGAGACTTACTCACTAGACTCGTGCATATATTCACTGAGAGAGGTGAGAATTTATTAAAACTTTATAGAAAACATTTTCAGTGTGTGAACTTTATAGGACTTCACCGGCGTACTGTCCAAGAGGGGCCGAGACTCACTAGGCTCGTGCATATATTCACTGAGAGAGGTAACAAACTCAAACTTTGTAGAAAACATTTTCAGTGTGTGAAGTTTATAGGACTTCACTGGAGTACTGTCCAAGAGGGGCCGAGACTTACTCACTAGGCTCGTGCATATATTCACTGAGAGAGGTAATAACTCAAACTTTGTAGAAAACATTTTCAGTGTGTGAAGTTTATAGGACTTCACTGGAGTACTGTCCAAGAGGGGCCGAGACTTACTCACTAGACTCGTGCATATATTCACTGAGAGAGGTAAGTTTAAGTATAGGAAATCTAGCAAATTACTACAGACGTGGAGATAGATACTCTATAGGTATGATACTTCTTTCCAAGAGGCACCAAGACATAACTTACTAGACTCGTGCATATATTCACTGAGAGAGGTAAGTTTAATTATAGGAAACCTAGCAAATTACTACAGATGTGAAGATAGTTCGAGACTTTATAGGAAATTATCAGCCTGTTGGACCTTACAACATCACGAGGCGCAAACTACTTACTAAACTCCTGCATATTTTCACTGAAAGAGGTAACAACTAACATTTGATAAAACACATTTTCACTGTGAGAACTATAGAGGAATAATAAAGTTTATAAGATTTTCCTACAGTACTGTCCAAGGGGGGCCGAGAGTTTACTGACTAGACTCGTGCATATATTCACTGAGAGAGGTAACAAACTCAAACTTATAGATAACATTTTCAATGTGAGAACTTTATAGGACTTCACTGGAGTACTGTCCAAGAGGGGCCGAGACTTACTCACTAGGCTCGTGCATATATTCACTGAGAGAGGTAATAACTCAAAGTTTGTAGAAAACATTTTCAGTGTGTGAACTTTATAGGACTTCACTGGAGTACTGTCCAAGAGGGGCCGAGACTTACTCACTAGGCTCGTGCATATATTCACTGAGAGAGGTAAGTACGCAAGTTTTGTAGTTCGAAAGTTCAAAATTACGCGCCATACAACGGAGCATACGGTAAAAAGTTTACCCATACATGGCGCTGTGTGCGGTTTAGTTTTTAATTTCGGTCGAACCACATTTTAGAAGCGCTTTTAATCTATACCTTTGTCTCAAAAAGTGACGAAAGATGTGGTTCTTATTTTCACCATCCACACGTGGCGCCATTTGGAAATGTGCTTCATTACATGTTCTTATTACAAAAAGTTTGCTTATCGTTATATATATAGTTCTTCTGTGAGTGTGTATGTCACTGAACTTCTCTTAAACGACTGGACCGATTTTGATGAAATTTTTTGTGTGTGTTCAAGGGGATCTGAGAATGGTTTAGATTCACAATTTTGTCCGCTGACAACCCCTATTTTTTACCCCTAGGGCGGTACGAAGTTCGCTGGGTCAGCTAGTTTCTTATAAATTATACAGTTTTCTCGCAAATGTGTTGAAAAACCTTGTATGACATTCGTGCGGCATAGGGATGATGACTATTTTTTTTTCTTCGTTTATCAGGTAGATTATCAAAAAGTATAGGACACGTTTTTTTTTTCACATAATATAAACATTGCAGAGATATATTGATTTAAATGTCGCATGACGTCACGTTTCGATACAATTTTCACTTAAAAGTGACGTCACGAGCCCCTACTCCCAAACTTTGACGCGCTATAACCTTGCCATTTTTTTGGTTGATTGCCCAAAGAAAAAATACGTTTCCATTATTTTTTGATCATCTAACTGAAGGAGTTAATAGAATTTCGTTTACTGTATCCCGTCATCATCCCTATTGGTATTTACAAACTCGTGCCTATGGTAATCCCTCGACTTCTTCTCGGGCTTACATTCGTCTCATCATCATCATCATCAGCCTATTAATGTACCCACTCCTGGGACACAGGCCTTTCCTATGGATTTAATATGGAGATTGGGCGATGACCCACCACGCGGGCCCAGTGCGGATTGGCGGGTGCTAACGCCTGCAGATGCAGCCGGAACCAACGGCTTAACGTGCCTTCCGAAGCACGGAGGAACTCGAGATAGAAGAGTTTTTCGGTCACCCATCCAATGACCGACCACTGCGAAAGTTGCTTAACTTCAACGATCGCTGCCGAACGCGCTAACCACCTGCGCCATTGAGCTCCTCCATTATATATACATTCGTCTATTCGTTTTATATTAACCAAGTTACCGCACTAATATCATCAATAACTATTACAGCGCCCCCGTCTGAAGAATTGGTGTCCCGCGTACGTGAACTGTACGCTACAAGAGTGTCCGATGTCAGATTCCTCATACCGGTGCTTACAGGGCTTAGCAAAAAGGAGGTAAGATAAACTACAGTAGAATCCGTTTATTATGACTCCGCCTATATTGACCAACCGCCTATTATGACGTAATTACACAACGAAGTTTGGTTTTCATATAAAATTCATTGTAACAATGTCGGATATAATGACTTCGCTTACAGTGACATGTCGTTTATTATGACCCATTTTTAATAAATTTTGTCATGTCAATGACATTGTTCTTTACACCTACGGTAATGTTCGTTGATTCCCGACAACGTTCGGCACGTGGCTCGTTTATGTTTTGAATCTCAAGAGTAATTTACATTTGAACATTACGCATTATTTTAGTGATATCCTATGTAAAAAAAATGACTTTCAACGTCGTAAAGCATTTACGACTGAGGAAAAAGGTGCAATAATATACTGATTAGAAAATGGAGAATGAAACTCATCTCACAATCTTTTTTCACAAAAATGCTTTGTATGATGTCCGCTTAGTATGACGTTTTTGTCGATTCCCTTCGAAGTCATAATAAACGGATTCTACTGTACTTTAAATCAAAATCTTATTGACTAGGTACTTGATGTTTTGTTTTTCTTTTATTTTAAAAGGGCGGTAGACAAGCATATTGCCAACCTGCTGGTTAAAAAAACGAGTTTGCTTATGACCACACGACTGAAGCGAACCTTCTTTAGCTCCACCTATATGTATATTTAAACAGGATGTTACAAAAATACAAATAAAGCTAAAGGAGTCTTCTCTAACATTCTTAAAATATATGCATGAAGTTTTAACTTTTTATAAAAACAGTTATTTTTAATGATTCTCGAACTAGTGACGTGTCTTAAAAATGATCGATATTTTTATTAATCATCAAAAATAACTGTTTTTATTAAAAGTTAAAATTCTTCATGCAAATATTTTAAGAAAATTAGACAAGACTATTTATATTATATACTTCAACGCCCTTCAAGCTTTATTTGTATTTTTGTAACATCCTGTATATAAATGCATGTACATATACATATTTCATTTACTAGCTATAAGAGAAAGAGAGAAAGAAAATGTGGGCGCGTACTGCTTTCTCTTGCTTATATCCCCCACTCAATTCCCGTTCGCCTCGCCCGAACACACTTTTCGTAACGCGTCACGCATTCGCCAGCTTACCCCCCAAGTCAAACGTGCGTAAACAAGTTTCACTTCAAAAATATCACAATGGACGTTGCCTACCCAGGCCCAATCCTCTACCTCGTGGAGAACTGGAACCTTACTCATCGACGGAAACACAACACCATTCAAGTTTTAAGGAGGTTACTTCCCCAGACGGGCGCTCCAATAGGGATGATGACTATTTTTTTTTCTTCGGGTATCAGATAGATTATCAAAAAGTATTGGACACGTATTTTTCTTTTTTCACATAATATAAACATTGCAGAGGTATATTGATTTGAAAAGTCGCATGACGTCACATTTTGTTACAATTTTCACTTAAAAGTTACGTCACGAGCCCCTACTCCCAAACTTGACCAAAAATTTACTATATCGCACTCCTCCGTGCCTTGGAAGGCACGTTAAGCCGTTGGTCCCGGCTGCATCTGCAGTCGTTAGCACCCACCAATCCGCACTGGGCCTCTCTAACTCCCTAATCACTAATCTCCCTATTCCATCCATAGGGAAGGCCTGTGCCCCAGCAGTGGGGACATTAATAGACTGATGATGATGACGCATTTACTTGAATTCGGACACCCGAATCAATATTTACAGCACTCGAATACGTGTTGGAAAACGGTGTCGGGTAAACACAAGGAAATCTACCCGAATACTGGCGTACTCGACTCTGTTCATTTACACTAAGTCGTTTACCCGAATGAGGGCTATCGTTTTTTGTCTCACCAGATGGCGCCACTGTTGAGTGAGGTCCTGTAGTGTAACTTTTAAAGTTAGTAAACACGCCCGTGATATCAAAGTTTACATTTTAATACAAAAGAATCGTATCTCAAACATAATCGCCCATGCCACAGTGTTGCGCAGTCCCGCTTTGTTCGGAAAAAAGAAGGACAATATTTTTTCTTAACTCCGCTTTTAAATAACTGACAATCATTGACACGTAACTCATATTTGCCATAATAAGTCTGATTTATTACCAAATATTCACAACTATTATTTTAATTAAAAAAAAACCGCGAAGTCAACCCGCAAGCTATAACATTTGACATTTCGGAGACCTCACGCAACACAAGCGCCTCTAGCGGCATTTTCAGACGCGATAGCCCTCATTCCATTGGCACTTGTATTCGGTCTAACGGCCAAGTGCAATCGCGCCATTATTAACAAATTTTATATTCATCACTGGCCAACTGGTTAGGTATTGGTAGATATCAGGTTCGATTCCCTATTAGGGTCATCATCATCATCAGCCTATTAATGTCCCCACTGCTGGGTCACAGGCCTTTCCTATGGATGGAATAGGGAGATTGGGCCATGACCCACCACGCGGGCCTAGTGCGGGTTGGTGGGTGCTAACGACTGCAGATGCAGCCGGGACCAACGGCTTAACGTGCCTTCCGAAGCAAGGAGGAGCTCGAGATAGTAAATTTTTGGTCACCCATCCAATGACCGACTACTGCGAAAGTTGCTTAACTTCAACGATCGCAGCCGAACGCGCTAACCACTTGCGCCATCGAGCTCCTCAATCCTATTAGGGTAGTTTAATAATAATAAATTCTTTATTTATTCCTTCACATAAGTAGAAAAAAAACATAACAATAAAGTGCTTAATTACAATATTTAATTACTTAATGTGAAGAACTGGTGCTTGCAATAGGATAAACCTGTTCTACAAGACACCAGGGGCCCATTCGCCTAACGGAAACGCTAACGCTTTCGATTTTATTTTGTTATTTCTGACCGCTGAAGGTTTTCAAATACCTCACGCGCATTTTTTTAATATTTTTATTACAAATGCAAAAGAGAAAAAAGAGCGCGAGGCATTTGAAAACCTCAGGCGGGTAGAAATAACAAAATGAAATCGTAAGCGTTAGCGTTTTCCATAGCATTTCCGTTAGGCGAATGGCCCCCAGGCCTCAAATTCAAATTCAAATGATTTATTGTGAAATGTAGGTTAGTACAGCAATTTGGTGTTAGGTAAAAAGTTTAGTGTCACTACATTTCGACCTTATTACAAGGTATACAATATTTTTTAAGTAATAATCAGATTTACAATTATATAAAAATCAAAATTATTATATTACAATTACAATCAAACAAGTCATAGTTAGAAATAAATGTCAAAATATGTTTATGTCAAAATTACTAAGCAATATTTTTTATGTCAAACTAAAAATATATAATAATATTAATAAATTGTGCTATAATAGGCTAAAAATATGAGTTAATTAGGTAATGATGTCCATTTTTTTCAAGGAAGTGTCACTAAGAAACTCTTGTGTAGTATAATATACTTTGCCAATTAACAGTTTCATTAAGCGTTTCTTAAAAATAGTCATTGGCAAACTCTTTATATTAATAGGTATTTTGTTAAAGATTGCAGTAGCCATCCCAAAGACACTATTGCTAAATAGTGCAGTTTTACGTTCCATTGCACATAATGTATTCCCTATCCCTCGTCTATAGTTCCTATGCGAATTCTGTTCTATAAATGTAGGAAACATATGGAAGTTATTTTTGACGAACACTGCAACTTCATAAATATATAAGGAAGGTAATGTCAAAATTTTCAACTGCTTAAAGACCTCCTCACAACTATCAGTAGACTTTAAACCCTTAATAGCCCTGATGCATCTTTTTTGCGCTTTAAAGACCATTGTTTTATTTGTAGAATTGCCCCAGAATATTAACCCATAGCGTAATATGGATTCTATATATCCATGATAGGCCATTACGACGGTCTTGGTGCATTAACAGAGCAAGCCAACTTTGTACCATTTATGTGATAACTTTATTGGAACGAAGTTCCTTACGGCAGGCTTGGATTGGATAGGGATTTTGCTGCGCGACCGAACTGAAAAAAATGTGATAGTAAAACCGTAAGAAAAAGTGCGTGGAATAAAACCGTTAAATGAGACGTGCGCAGGCGCGACAGTCGCATACACAAGCGAGTTTGCAATTTATGTCGATTCTACATTAGCCGAAGGAACTTCGTTCCTGCCTGGTGTCCCACGACACCACATCATTTTTTTATTTCTATTTTTTTCAGATCTTAGCCGCCTTACCGAAACTCATTAAGCTGAACCCTGTGGTGGTGAAGGAGGTATTCAACAAACTTCTGGGTTTGCAAAACCCCAACGAGGAATCACCGAGTAAGTGTTCATTTGATATAGATTTTATCATAAATTGTAACTTGTATTTTGTGACAATAATTGTATTTATGTTGCATTTGATATTACGTTTTGTTTTCAGCTTGTGAGATTTGTAAGTAGAAAACGATAAATTCCTGTTGCGTTAGAAACACTTGAAAACTTGGTTTTTGTTTTTGCAATGTCACTGATTTATTTGTGTATTTCTTATCTGTGGTATCAATTTAGTGCATTTATTATAATGGGTATAATATTTTGTCGATTTCAAACTTTTGACCATAATTAGTAGATTATTATTTTTTTGGTACCAACATTGTATGTATCCATGAATTAGATTTATCGTAACTCTTTCTGTCTTAAAGAAGTTTCTTTTTGGGTTAATGGGATTATTAAAAGGTCAACTTTCACTGAAATAGTATAAGTGATGGTAGGGCGGGTAGCTTATTGTTTCTTTTATCAAGATTACGCTTAGATTAATATCAAAAGGGAAAATACGGTACGCTCATACTAGCATCAAATAAAATATGCTCCGACTCAACTACATAAGCAACTTTCGCTCACGCACACGTCTGTAAATAATCATTCAATCGAGCGAGCGAGGCAGAACTGTATCCCTAGAACGAACCAATATCGAATTCGTATCGTTTGCGAGTCCGAAATGTCATTGTTAAATATGTACTGATTTTTAGTTCCCGTTACGACCAAAGTGGCGCTCAGTTTCCATACAAAATTTGACATTGACATTTCGGTTTGCAAACTATTCGAATTCGATAATGGTTCGTGCTAGGGGTACTGTACGCTTCAACGCAGCGCGAGATAAACGGTGAGTCGCTTAGCTTGGCGACTGCGTTTTCTGTCCTCCCTCTGCAAACGGCTGAGCTGTATTGTTGTCCGTTTCTTGAGAAAAATGGCGAAAAAGTTAATAATATAACATTCATGTCAAACCGTGAATTTTGGAAAAAAAAAACATAGTTTTACGAATGAAAAGTGATGCTGTGAAATTTGAATTTGTACTATTTGTGTTCTTTATAAAAGCATTGAAGACATTTTTTCATCTTTATAACACGGAATATACGCAATATTGTTATATTGAGTGCACATATAGCGTGTTTGAATGTCCAATAGTGACTAAAGCGAATTGTGGTCATGCACCACAATTTAAGCTGCTCACTTTTGAGCCGCGAGTGCCGTATCGTCCCTTTTTGTTTCAATGTAAGAGATGACGCTACATTTTTAAGGACTTTGAAATAAATTTCAACTTTTTCTTTAGTAATTCAGACAAAGATCGATCAGTAAATGTTTACACCAATACGCTGCTGCGTGCTTCTGATATTTCAGTGGTAGTTGATCCTAAATGTGTTTAATGTTGTCGGTTCCAAACCTTTTTGATTAACTAATCTCTATACAGAATGAAAAATCTCTCCTACTGATTTTAAATAGGTTACTTGTCACTTTTGGGAAATATGTTTTAAATTGTTAATAATTGCACTATTAAGGCCATTTCGGCCTTTTCTGCAAAACAGCAAGATTTACATGAATATAATGTAAAGCGAAATTATATCTCTGAAATAGTTTTACAAAAAAAACCACAACAGCATAATATCTCTTATCTATTAGACAAGTCCGTCCGTCCGTCCGTCTGTGGTGCTGTTTCAGCGGCCAAACCGTAAGAGATAGATAAAGAGAATGTTTAAGTTATAAGTTAAGAATAGTCTGATAAGACTACAAACCGGATTTGAGTAACGTAGCACTTCCGGTTTTCGAGAAATCACGAATTTCAAACGAAACCACACAAAATCTCCGAAGTTCTCAATTAATTAAATACATTTTTTTTTAAAACAGGTTTTGGTGAACATTTGGTTCACTGGTTTGCTAGTCTATTTTTAATGTGTAAGCCGTAATCCCAAAAATAGTTAATCAAAAAGGTAAATAAAAGAACCCGACATCTTTAAATATTACTTCTGATTATACCTGACAGGTACAATAATCTTCTATTACTTACAAAGTCTTGGTTTTTAATCTTGGTCGAGTTATTTCTATTTGTAGTGAGCACAAGTATTTCTTTTCTATTTATGGTTTTCTTCTTTGACTTCAGACTTTCATTTTCAAAGTTTTTGTGGTACTATGCTTAGTTTGGTGCAGTTAACGAGAAAATGTGATCCTGACAGGTTGTGTCAGTTCATCACCATCATATTTCATCAGCCTATTGATGTCCCCACCGCTAGGGCACATAGTCCGGGAGGTAGCGTTGCATTTTTGGCAGTGATTTTACGCCGACTGTTTGCCTTCCTTTACTATTTATCGCGAACTACTTATAACTGAACCAAGCGTCAGCTGGCGCACCCGCGGTGGGTGTGGAATTGGGAGGTTGCGGAAGTGGTAAAAAAAAAAAAAAAATAAAGTAATAGTACGCCAGCTCAAACTTTTTTCACGAATAGTTGACATCATACTGAGCTGAAAAAAAATCGTCAGCTGCATCGTGAAGGGGGGATTATGCGTCAGCTGGCCGCATGAATTTGTAAAAAAAAAACGTAAAATAAAGTTATAATACGACTGATGAAATTGAACTACGTGATTCTTTAAATAATCATAAGTACGAAAATAACAGTCAGCTGCGTATATAGCGGTGGAAAGAACGTCAGCTGACGCAGTAAAGGTAAAGATTATTCTAGCAATGGACAGAATCTTTCTCGATATATTTTCGTTTCGTTTTATTTGTAACTAAATAAAAGAAAATCGAGGGCAAAATGAAAAGAACCCAAAATATATTAAAAGTTAATATGAACAAAATCGAAATATAGGAATAAAAAGATCGCGAAAGTTATTCATCGTCGATGGTATCGCTATCGTCATCGTTCTCTGACGAATCATCGGCCGAACTGTCCTGCAGGAAATCGTTTTCTTCATCAAGTTCTCGACCTCGATGTTCTTCACCGTCATCTGTAAATGAGCATGTGACGACAAAGATCCACACGGACAGGCAGATGCTGCTTTGAAATTTTAGGGGGAGAGGCAGTGTTGCCAACTCGGATTTAGAAAAAGGCGTAGGCCCGATGAGAAAATTACGTAGAATTGGTAAATTTTGCATATGAAAAGTAAGTAGATCTACGTAATTTTTTCTGAGTGAAATGAAGAAGTTAGGTGAAACCGAATAAAACGAGTATTTTGTTATACAATTTGTTTAAGAACGGGAGAAAGAACAAAGAGTTCTTGGAGAAGTCGCTGCATTGAAAGCATTTATCATGCTGCTGTAAACATTTACCATCAGACTCAGACACTGGTGGGTGCCGATTCTGGATGGTTCTCTAAATTTAAAACTTAATTTAACATCAGTCTCTCCTTTTCATTCTGTATAGAGAATGATAAGGATAAACTGTTGTTATATGATAACTAGTTGACACTTTTTGGAATTATGTTTTAAATTGGTAATAATTGTTCTATCACAACGAAAAAAAAATATTTTTTTTACCTAGAAGACATACAAAAACGCTATTTAGTCTATAGACTTATCTATGCTATGACGTCAAAACATTTGTAAACAAACACTCGCAAGCACGTAGGAAATAAACTTTCTAAGTTAATATTATAAAACCATGATTTCTAATAGATCACATGAAAAATATAGTAGTTATCATGATACACTTGGTAAAAGACTCCAGAAAAGTTGTGGTTTAAATTGCCAAGAGAAATAAACATACTTACACATGAACATATGCTTAAAACTTGCTAAATAAATAAATTCGATGTGAGTAGGTGCTCATTGATAATATTAAAAGTTTAAAAATACAATTTTTAAGGTTATGAATGTACCTACTAAGTCAAAGAGTTTTGTCGTTTCTGCTTTCACAAATCCTGAGGCCAGCATTAATTTAGTCAACAAAACCAATAGGTACCGGGAACCTTTTCTACAAGATACAAGAGTGTTTCGATACATCTTTATAAGAAATAAACATTTGTATAGTTTTTAAGTAAAGTAACGGAAAATATTCTTCTTTATTCTAGTGAATTAAGTTATTTTACAAATTTGAAAAAAATTAAGAATATACGTAGATTCTGGGACTGAAGTTAGTAGGTTTCCAGAAAAGGCCTAAAATACGTAGATCTACGTAAAAAGACGTAGAGTTGGCAACACTGGGGAGAGGCTTAGGTAGCCCGAAGGTCGTGTTATGGGTTCAAGGAAGGCCAGAATGTATCGCAAAATATGTGTTTGAAAGCGAACAGCCTCACAGCAATACTCCAAAATTTTAAATCTTGACTGGGTCAGCTGACGGTCTTTCCACCGCTACACAATCAGCTGATTGTTGTTTTCGTACTCTAAATTTTTTGAAGAATCGCGTAGTTAAATTTCATTCGGCGTATTATAACTTTATTTTACGTTTTTTTTTACAAATTCATGCAGCCAGCTGACGCATAATCCCCCCTCCACGATGCAGCTGACGATTTTTTTTTTGCTCAGTATGACATCAACTATTTATGGAAAAAGTTTCAGCCAGCGTACTATTACTTTTTTTTTTTTTTTTTTACCTCTTTCACAGCCTCCTACACCCGCACCCACCGCTACTTGAGCAGCTGACGGTCGGTTCACTTATTAGTCATATAATATCAACTATCGACGATAATATCAGCCGGCTTACTATGACTTTTGCATTTGCAACGCTACCTCCCGGACTAACAGGCCTTCCCTATGGATGGGATATGGAGACTGGGCGGTGTCCCACCACGCGGGCCCAGTGCGGATTGGTGGGTGCTAACAATGCAGATGCAGCCGGGACCAACGGCTTAACGTGCCTTCCGAAGCACGGAGGAGCTCGAAATAATAAGTTTTTGGTCACCCATCCAATGACCGACCATTTCGGAAGTTGCTTAACTTTCACGATCGCAGATCTAATGCGCTAACCATGTGCCATCAGTTCTTTATGGCGATAGAATAAGAGCGAATTTCGGACCTCTTTTTTACTAGATCAAAAGTTGATTGTTGTAAGGAACTGACACGACTTATCAGGATCCATTTGTTGATAGCAGTGCGTAATAACCACAGAACACAGAAAGAGGTTAGAAGGTCCTTGTGGGCGGGGCAGCCGCGCCACAGTTATGTGTGAGCAAATACTCATAACTTGACCAAAACTGGGTTCTGATTGCGTTTTTGCTCTCGGGTGTGAGCACTGATTGGTTCGATAGTTTTTTGTCGCGCCGTTTAATTGGCTATTGTCTATTAGGTGGAAGTGTAGCGGGGGCGAGCCAGCGACATTGGTTCCTGTACAAACGGTCTAGATCACCCTTCTAGCCTCTTTCGGTGTTCTGTGGTGCGGGGCATTTAAGGATTAACCCGATACTGTGAAATTTTATTTTAAAACGGAAACGGGCTAAATATTCATATCCAGTTCAATTTATATCCTTCTAATTTTCACTGAATAGGGATGATGACTAATTATTTTTCTTCGTTTATCAGGTAGATTATCAAAACGTATTGGACACGTATTTTTTCACATAATATAAACATTGCAGAGATATATTGATTTGAAAAGTCGCATGACGTCACGAGCCCCTACTCCCAAACTTTGACGCGCTATAACTTTGTCATTTTTTGGTTGATTGCCCAAAGAAAAAATACGTGTCCATTATTTTATGATCATCTAACTGACGGACTAAATAGAATTTCGTTTACTCGTCCCGTCATCACCCCTATTGCCTGAGTTGGTAACACTGATTTAACATTCAAAACTTTTTCATATAACATAGCCTTTATATTTTTATGGTGTTGTCTATCTACGTCCAGCAATATTCTGTGTTCTGTGGTTTAAATCGGTATCTATTACATATATTTATAAGTATATTTTTGATTTCAGTTTCTCCAGTAGAATTGATGATAGCCCTTCACTTAATAGACCCGAGCACCGCCGACCTGAAATACATAATTAAAGCGACTGCACTTTGTTTCGGAGAGAAAAATACTTACACACAGGACGTGAGTAATCATAACACATCTATAAATCATTTTTTCTTATTAGTAGAATAGTGAGTGCTCCCGCTTAACGCAGCGTAGGCCGTAAATGATGGTTTACGGCCTGTGCTAAAAACTATCCGTGAAGAAGTAACAGACAGACACACATTCGCGTTTGTAAAATTAATATGTTTACTTGTGCGTTTCGCATCCTTTTCAGGCTGCGTTGTCGGAATTATGATTTTATTCACTTTGTCGAGCTACCTTCGAAAGACTTATTGAACGTTTGTATACTTCATTGGAAGATTTTTAAAACTTAATTGTTGAATTTATTAGCTAATTTAATTCTTTTAATAATTTTGAGTTTATTTATTTATTTGACCCTTACTACTGTAAACTACCACCAGTTCCAAAATTGGGAGACCTTTCTAAGAAAAACTCGCGAAACAAATCCAGAGAGGCTTTCCGTCTCCATCTTATGTTAAATCATGCAAACAAAAAGAACTTATAGTGAACCCATTATAAAACCCAAACCGAACCGAACACACACTGCAAGACCAACAGATAATATAAGTTATTCTTGTTTGCATGATTTAATTTAACATAAGAAGGAGACAGAAAGCCTCTCTGAGTTTGTTTTGCCAGTTCTGCTCAAAAAGGTCTCCCAATTTTGGAACTGGTGGTAGTTTACGGTAGTTAGAATCAAATAAATAAATAAACTCAAAATTATAAAAAAAGAATTAAATAATAATAAATATTTCCAAACCTTACACCAATAGGATATTCGACAAGTTTTAGAAAATGATCTCAGGTCACTTACTTATGTTTATGGAGTCTAAAAAATTGGATATTTTTGATCATGTTGTGTAATTCAGTAAAAAGAACTACATTAAAATTCAATTTTCAAGTTGCCGCTAAAACGTGAAGCTGGACATTATGGCGACTTGTGTGTGACGTCATACGAATGTCATTAAAACGTCAAACGATACAGTGTAATGTGACTTTGGCCGGATGTTTACTTGCGTGTGACGTCATTTTAGTCATGGCCAATTCTAAGCGTGTTCGATCACGTGACCATGGAGCAAAAATAATCATTTTATCGAAAAGTTATTAATTTGTTGTTGTTTCAGAATAAAAATCACTGCTAATATTCATATTAAATACAGATATCAACAATTGGTACATTATTTTGCATACTGTCAAATAGCCTATTAGCCCAGCCCCAAAGTAAGCGCTGGAGGCTTGTGTTATGGTATACACGGGTAACGGATAGAATACATATACTGATACATAATAAGTGTGTTTAAATAGAAATATATATTAACATCCGTTACTGGAGTTCAAATGCTCGTATTCATCACACAAACATCTGCCCCCACCGGGATTTGAACCCGGGACCTCTCGAGTAGGCGACACCACTCGGCCACGCAGTTCGTCAATGTGTTTATTTATTTGTAGGTACTATCAGCAGTCCTTCAGCGTTTGGCGGAAGAACAGGAGATTCCTGTATTGATGCTGAGAACTGTTCTTCAGGCGCTCACATTGTACCCTGCGCTTGCGCCGCTCGTTCTTAATGTATTACAACTGTTGATAGACAAGGAGGTCAGTATATACCCCTCTCATCATCATCATCATGGTCAGCTTAATAATGTCCCCATTGCTGGGGCACAGGCCTTCCCTATGGATGGAATAGGGAGATTGGGCCATGACCCACCACGCGGGCCCAGTGCGGATTGGCGGGTGCTAACGACTGCTGATGCAGTCGGGACCAACGGCTTAGCGTGCCTACTGAAGCACAGAGGAGCTCGAGATAGAAGATTTTTGGTCACCCATCCAATGACCGACCACTGCGAAAGTTGCATAACTTCAACGATCGCAGCTGAAAGCACTAACTACCCGTGCCATTGACCTCCTCCCCGCCTATACCCCTCTCACTTACACTAAACTTTTTTTTACTCGTCATTCATTTAATCTCCGTTTTACATCGACTTTTGACGAGAGAATGGCAAGGATACACTTTTGTCTTTCTCCCTTATTAATAAACGAAGAATACGCTGGGATTAGTTACTCCATGTTTTGCCTCTGTTCATTGAATGACATATGGCATTTGTGTGACATGAACAAAACACGGTGTAATAAGTCAAGCTTATTCCTTGTTTTTTAATAAGGGGCTTTAAGTTTAGGTTTAGAGAATCCTACAAGAATCAACTCCAATGTCGAGGAATTATCGTCGCTTCCATCAAATAGGTGTGGTTGAAACCAGTACAACGTTATAGAACCCTTTACACGAACCAATATCGAATTCGAATAGTTTGCGAGTGTGAAATGACAATGTCACATTTTCGTATGGAAACTTGAAACAGCAGCGACACAATGGACGTTACGAAAACTAAAAATCAATACGCATTTGACAATGAAATTTCGTACTCGCAAACTATTCGAATTCAATATTGGTTCGTGCTCCCTAGAGAGGGAATAAAATACCTTCTCCCTTAGGTACAGAAGGTGTTTTATTCCCTCTCTAGGTGTGGCTAAATAAAGTCGTATGGAAAGTGCTGTGAACGTTTACTGCCCTCACTGCCCTTCCCGTCTCGTTAAAATGTGCCCTTTACATTTACTATAATAAACGAAATATCTAATATGGCTACTTTAGTAAGACATTACAGTACCCCATTATTAAAGACAACAGTGTTTGGTATTTTATTCTCTCTATTTTTTTTCTATTTATTTAAACATCATTGCTAAACATAAGCAAACGGCAGACTTAGTGCCATAGGCATTCTGTACCAGTCAATCAGTATGAATGTTGGAGACAAATTTTATGACGATAGGGCAGAGTTGCTAAAAATTAAATAAAATGAAAATTAAGATAATAAATACTTAAATACAAATTGATGCACATATATAAAATGCTCATATAACCATACATAAACATACACATATAAATATACATACATTCATATGCTCTATTCATCACTTTTTAGGTTATATAACAAGTCTAGACACTTATTATGTTGCTTAAAATTAAGTAAAATGATAATTAAGATAATGGTGTCGATTTCGGCGTGATTCTCTAAACTTAAAACTAAATTTAACATCAGTCTGTCCTTTTCATTCTGTATAAAGAATGACAAGGATACACTGTTGTCAAAGGACATGGTAAAATTTTGTATGAGCGACTGCCCTAGCAATGTATAAATATTGTACTTAGTAATATATAATGCAGAATGGCTGAATATTTATAATTTCTATGAAAAAGGGCTCAGGAACTTTTGATAAAGTCACAATCTTGAAAATTATGAGATCGCCTACGACGTCAATACCTTGCTACATTTGATAAAAGATGTTGACAAATATTTACAGAGTCATCAATTTCGCATTTTCTTAGAATATTTCTTCACACTTATCTGATTAATACTTCACAAAAAGCATTTTGAAAACTAAAAATAAATACAAATAATTTGTTGTTGTCGGCTTGACATGAAGTCTGTGAAGTTTTATTTTGTTCATTTGCAAAAATCAAAGCATTGATTATCATACAGCCTTCTCTGAAGCCTGATCAGAAAAATAAAATCTATTATTTTAGGCTTTCAGTGATTTGTTATAATAAAAATAAGGTCCAATACGTCAAAGTTTTTGGGAGTTTTGAATTAATATTATTTATTTCGATATACTGACAGAAATATTTTTAGTATACATTTATTGTTCATTTATTTTAGTAAAACGGAACGTTTTTCGTTTGAAACAGATATGAAGTCAATTTTTATACTTTTAAATGTTTGATTATTTCACGAAAGTTGTACGATAATTATAAACACGTAATAATTAATAAAAAAATATTATAAAATTATGGGCTAGTGCAAAATAATTATACACGTTAAGGGCAGTTTCTTAGCCATGTCCTTTAAGTTTAGATTTAGAGAATCGTGCCAGAATCGACACCATTAAATACGTAAATACAAATTGATGCACATACATAAAATGCTCATATAACCGTACATAAACATACAGATATACATGTACATACATATATATGATCTATTCATATGTTTTAGGTTATATAACAAACATGTCTAGGTATTTCCGTCGCTTCAACCAATTAGTTATTGGCATGGTTGCAACAAGTACATTTTCTTTCCTCTCAGGTGTGGTTGAACAAAGTAGCATGGGAAGGCTGGGTGAAATGCTGCGAACGCCTCCTGTCCTCGTCTGACTTCCTGCTGCCTAATTATATTTTATTATTACTCACATAACCATACATAAACATACACATATATATATATACATATACTAGCTGACCCAGCGAACTTTGTACCGCGGTAAAAATAGGGGCAGATGGTAGAAGAGAAAATTTAGGGTTGTATGTATTTTTTAATACCACATTATATAAAAAATATTGTAAAAAAAAATTTTTAGGGGTGTTTTTGGTATTTTTAGTTCTATCAATTTCCTGGGATAAATTCCTCCTAATCCATATGAGAACACTACGTTACAATACCCAATAGTTTGAATTTTGGTGCGAAGGCGCATTGTAGGTTTCAGAACACTACATTACAGATGGACAACCATTATCACTTAAGGATATGAAAAATGATATTAGCCGATTCTCAGAACCACGGAATATGCATATAAAATTTCATAAAAATCGGTCAGGCCGTTTCGGAGGAGTATGGTCACTAACATTGTGACACGAGAATTTTATATATAATAAGATATGCTCTATCCATATCTTTTTAGGTTATATAACAACAGTGTCTAGATATTCTCGACGCTTCTACCAATTAGTTATAGGCGTAGTTGCTACAAGTAAATTTTCTTTCCTCCCAGGTGTGGTTGAACAAAGTAGCATGGGAAGGCTGGGTGAAGTGCTGCGAACGCCTCCTGCCCTCGTCTGACTTCCTGCTGCCTTATTATATTATTATTATAAAATACTCATATAACCATACACATATATATCTTCTATCATTTTTTAGGTTATACAACAAGAGTGTTTAGGTATTTCCGTCGCTTCAACCAATTAGTTATTGGCATGGTTGCAACAAGTACATTTTCTTTCCTCTCAGGTGTGGTTGAACAAAGTAGCATGGGAAGGCTGGGTGAAATGCTGCGAACGCCTCCTGTCCTCGTCTGACTTCCTGCTGCCTAATTATATTTTATTATTACTCACATAACCATACATAAACATACACATATATATACATATATATGCTCTATCTATCATTTTTTAGGTTATACAACAAGAGTGTTTAGGTATTTCCGTCGCTTCAACCAATTAGTTATTGCCGTGGTTGCAACAAGTACATTTTCTTTCCTCTCAGGTGTGGTTGAACAAAGTAGCATGGGAAGGCTGGGTGAAATGCTGCGAACGCCTCCTGTCCTCGTCTGACTTCCTGCTGCCTAATTATATTTTATTATTACTCACATAACCATACATAAACATACACATATATATACGTATATATGCTCTATCTATCATTTTTTAGGTTATACAACAAGAGTGTTTAGGTATTTCCGTCGCTTCAACCAATTAGTTATTGGCGTAGTTGCAACAAGTCAATTTTCTTTCCTCTCAGGTGTGGTTGAACAAAGTAGCATGGGAAGGCTGGGTGAAATGCTGCGAACGCCTCCTGTCCTCGTCTGACTTCCTGCTGCCTAATTATATTTTATTATTACTCACATAACCATACATAAACATACACATATATATATATATATACATATATATGCTTTTGTAAACCATGGTTGTAAACAATATTTATGATGCAAATAAATTATTATTATTGTTATGCTCTATCTATCATTTTTTAGGTTATATAACAACAGTGTCTAGATATTCTCGACGCTTCTACCAATTATTTATAGGCGTAGTTGCTACAAGTAAATTTTCTTTCCTCCCAGGTGTGGTTGAACAAAGTAGCATGGGAAGGCTGGGTGAAGTGCTGCGAACGCCTCCTGCCCTCGTCTGCTAAAATATATTATTATTATAAAATACTCATATAACCATACATAAACATACACATATATATACATATATATGCTCTATCTTTAATTTTTTAGGTTATATAACAACAGTGTCTAGATATTCTCATCGCTTCTACCAATTAATTATAGGCGTGGTTGCAACAAGTACATTTTCTTTCCTCTCAGGTGTGGTTGAACAAAGTAGCATGGGAAGGCTGGGTGAAATGCTGCGAACGCCTCCTGTCCTCGACTGACTACCTGCTGCCTTATTATATTATTATTATTACTCACATAACCATACATAAACATACACATATATATGCTCTATCTATCATTTTTTAGGTTATACAACAAGAGTGTTTAGGTATTTCCGTCGCTTCAACCAATTAGTTATTGCCGTGGTTGCAACAAGTTCATTTTCTTTCCTCCCAGGTGTGGTTGAACAAAGTAGCATGGGAAGGCTGGGTGAAATGCTGCGAACGCCTCCTGTCCTCGTCTGACTTCCTGCTGCCTAATTATATTTTATTATTACTCACATAACCATACATAAACATACACATATATATATATATATATATATATATATATATATATATATATATATATACATGTACTAGCTGACCCAGCGAACTTTGTACCGCGGTAAAAATAGGGGCAGGTGGTAGAAGAGAAAATTTAGGGTTGTATGTATTTTTTAGTACCACATTAAATAAAAAATAAATATTGTTGAAAAAAAATTTTAGGGGTATGTAACGTAGAGTTCTATTAATTTCCTGGGATAACATTCCTTCTAACCCATATGAGAACACTACGTTACAATACCCAATAGTTTGAATTTTGGTGCGAAGGCGCATTGTAGGTTTCAGAACACTACATTACAGATGGACAACCATTATCACTTAAGGATATGAAAAATGATATTAGCCGATTCTCAGAACCACGGAATATGCATATAAAATTTCATAAAAATCGGTCAGGCCGTTTCGGAGGAGTATGGTCACTAACATTGTGACACGAGAATTTTATATATAATAAGATATGCTCTATCCATATCTTTTTAGGTTATATAACAACAGTGTCTAGATATTCTCGACGCTTCTACCAATTAGTTATAGGCGTAGTTGCTACAAGTAAATTTTCTTTCCTCCCAGGTGTGGTTGAACAAAGTAGCATGGGAAGGCTGGGTGAAGTGCTGCGAACGCCTCCTGCCCTCGTCTGACTTCCTGCTGCCTTATTATATTATTATTATTACTCACATAACCATACATAAACATACACATATATATACATATATATGCTCTATCTATCATTTTTTAGGTTATACAACAAGAGTGTTTAGGTATTTCCGTCGCTTCAACCAATTAGTTATTGGCGTAGTTGCAACAAGTCAATTTTCTTTCCTCTCAGGTGTGGTTGAACAAAGTAGCATGGGAAGGCTGGGTGAAATGCTGCGAACGCCTCCTGTCCTCGTCTGACTTCCTGCTGCCTAATTATATTTTATTATTACTCACATAACCATACATAAACATACACATATATATATATATATATATACATATATATGCTTTTGTAAACCATGGTTGTAAACAATATTTATGATGCAAATAAATTATTATTATTGTTATGCTCTATCTATCATTTTTTAGGTTATATAACAACAGTGTCTAGATATTCTCGACGCTTCTACCAATTAGTTATAGGCGTGGTTGCAACAAGTTCATTTTCTTTCCTCCCAGGTGTGGTTGAACAAAGTAGCATGGGAAGGCTGGGTGAAGTGCTGCGAACGCCTCCTGCCCTCGTCTGGCTTCCTGCTGGGGTCGCTGCCCGCGCGGGCGCTGACCCCCGCCGCCCTGCCCGGCTCGCTGCAGCGTGCCCTGCATGCACATGTCAACTCGCTGCCCTCGAGGGAGAGGGGTAGTTTACCACCACATGTTATCGCTGCTGCTCAGGTGAGTAATCTCGAGAGATTTATATACCCCGGCAAAAAATCTGAGCATATTAACAATGGAATAAATTAATAGTATAAAAAAACTGAAAACACGCTTTTACTTACTGCACTAAAAAGTCAAAAATAAATAAAATATACTCTCTGTTTACTTCATTAGGGCTAGTAATGTAAGTGAGCCATGTTTATAGTTGATTTTAAGATATATATATAACTGAAAAAGCGTGGGGCATAACCCATTAACGATCGCGTAACTTAATCGTCCTTATTATTTCCACGTGTTATAATACTAAGTACATCTTCAACACTGAAAATATCATCGTCATGATGTTTCAGGTTCAATGCAGCAAAGATTTGGAATGACCTACCTCCACCCTTTTCTTGTAAAATGAATACATCAAAGTTAAAAAAATACTACAAAGCAGCTTTGCTTCATAAACAACTTGCTGTGGAAAACCTGAAACATCCTTGTCATAGCCACTTGCCGCTCTGTTTTTGTCTTGACTAGGGCCTAGTCCGTGACGCATGGAAGGTGCTAGTAGGGAGAGTAACATCTATGGCAAATAGGAGTATACGTTTATGCGCGAAATATATTCCAACATTAATTATAACCAAATAATGGATAATTCGAGGCTCGCTGAAAAGCAGCGTTGGTTCAGGTCCAGGCTTGACCATCATTGGCTGAGCCATTCCCTATTATCTTGTTTTAAATAAATAAATGAAATATTTCCAACACTCACACCAATTAGCCCTAGCCCCAAAGTAAGCACTGTAAGGCTTGTGTTATTATGGGATGCTAGGGTAACGAATAGAATTCATGTACAGTACATATAGAAGTACATTTTAAACACCCATGACTGGAATACATATGCTCGTATTCATCACACAAACATCTGCCCCCACCGGGATTCGAAACCGGGATCTCTCGAGTCGGCGACGCCATGAAATAATGAAACATTATTTAAATATCTGTTAGCATGTAAAAAAGAAATTATTATTATTATTGTAATGATTGTGAACATTTTCCAGGAACCACAACCGCAGTCTCAATACCCCCCCTCCTCAGCGCCGGTGGAGCCCCTCCCCCCCGGCATGGACTGACGCCCGTGTGTTGTCTCGCTCACACCTGCCGACTGCGACTGAGACGAAACACTACCCGAGTGTCGTCGAACGTTCGGGGAATACATTAGCTTATAAATTATTATGAAATGAAAATAAACGTTTATAAGAAATTGACTAATTATATTAAAGCTGTTTTGAATGGTTTTCAATTGGTTTCATCTACACCCATGCTTTTTAACTGCTATTAAGATTTGTTAAATTTTGTAACAGATAGCTTATTGTCAATATTATAAGAATCAATTGTCCTAATTAAAAAAATATATAACACCAACACCATAACGTTTAAAAAAAAACATTTTTTAATAAATTTCATAATAATACTTTTTAAATCCCTTCCTCGCCAAGAGTTTGCTCTTCAGAGAGCCAAAATTTTCACTGCTGGATTCGTGTTATTATAAATTTCAAAAAATAAGTTTCCATCCCTTTTAAGTTCTTAGAACGCCCCATGGTTTCAGAATCATTCAAAAGATCAGAAATTATCAATGTACTTAGTACAGAGAAAAAGAGGTATAAAATGGTACATCAAAGTTTTTAGACGATTACTTAAAATCACAGTTTTAAATTCATACGTAAGCTTGGACCATTGCCCAGACCACAGAGATCACCAAAGAACACACGTCAAAGCAGGAGTGGTATAAAAGATGACGGTGTGCTCGATGCAATACCAAAAAAAACTGTCCTGAACTGGATATTGTATGGTCACAATGCCAAGTATTTCTTTGTGTTGGCTCATGTTAGAAAAAGCATCATAATATAGAGCAATTGTAGTATATTCATATATTATTGTTTAAATTTATTTATATTGTGTTATTAAAGTATGTAAGTATTATTCAAATGTAAACGGTATATACAGGGTGTAAAAAAACCTATGACAAAGACTTAAACTACGCATTCTGTACACCCAAACAAGTCATATTACAAAATATTATACGTGGGAAAAAATTGTATTTTTAAGTTAAAAAACATACTTTTTTTTCCGGTACGCAACGTATAGCGCTGCGCGCTACTCAAAGAATGTGCCTGTGTGTATGTGTGTAAGTGCGTCTATAAAAATCTTGAAAAAAATATTTTGGCTACCTTCAATATCTCCATAACCATAAATTTCCCAAGTTTGGTCCAGAAGAAAAGAATGATCGTCATGATGTGGAAAATACGTGGCCTTCGACTTCGTTATCGGTTTTTTTACACCCTGTATATATATAGAATTTAAAACTGTGATTTTAGTATATATACTTAGATAGTCAAACTATTGGAGACTGAATGTTATGAAAATTACATTTCTTACGCCGAAGAAAAAATAAACACATGTCCGCGGTACTTTTATACATATACCAAATCAATGCGTCGTGTAAACGATTTGCCTCCGTGTATGTCTTATAATAATATAAGACATAAAATAGACATAAATAAGAGCTCAGGTACTGACAATATCCACCCTTTTTTCATATCACAATTAGCAAAGGAGCTTTCTGTCCCGTTGACCCTTATATATAACAAGTCACTCTCCGAAGGTTGTTTTCCAGACATTTGGAAGCGAGCTTTAATAACACCCATTTTTAAGGGAGGTGATAAACATGATGTGCGGCAGTACCGGCCCATATCCAAGCTCTGTATAATGGGAAAAATATTTGAAAAGCTCGTTACATATTTTTTGACTTGGCAAACAAAACAACTTATTTCTTCTCAGCAACATGGGTTTATCAGTGGTCGTAGTGTGGAGACCAATCTAATTACATATACGGATCTTATTATAAATGCTTTGGATTCTGGACATCAGGTGGACGCCGTGTATACCGATTTTTCAAAGGCTTTTGATAAAATAAATCATGATTTGTTATTAGAAAAAATATATGCAATCGGTATACGCGGCGACCTCTGGCGGTGGGTGAAATCGTATATCTCAAATCGGAGTCAGGCAGTAGATTTACGGGGATATCAGTCTGGATTTCTTAATATACCATCGGGCATTCCTCAAGGGTCGCATTTGGGACCATATCTTTTTACTCTGTACGTAAATGACGTTAAAGATTGTTTTGTAAATTCACACCATCTGCTCTATGCTGATGACACTAAAATTTTTAAAGTAATTACCTCTCTTAATGACTGTTGTGAGCTGCAAAATGATCTTAGTAGATTTCAAGATTACTGTTCAAGAAATCAGCTTTTCTTAAACACTGATAAATGCTATACTATTACATTTACCCGTAAGCATCATCCGATTGTTTGTGACTATAACTTCTTTGGAAGCACTATAAAAAGAGTCTCCTTCATACGTGACCTTGGTGTAACTCTGGACTCCAAACTTCACTTCAATACTCATATTGATAATATAGTATCACGTGCTTTTAAACAACTTGGTTTAATAAATCGTTTAGGGAAACCGTTCAAAAATACAAAAACTTTAATAACTTTATTTAACACTTACGTACGCAGTATTTTATAGTTTGCTAGTGTGGTTTGGAACCCACAGTATGCTGTTCACGTTGATCGCATCGAAAAAGTACAAAATAAGTTTTTAAAATTATTAAGCTATCGTGATGAACATATTTTAAACGATTACAGGACTTGTGCCTCAAAATATAACATAACCCCATTACAAATTAGACGTACTTTTTTGGACACTATGGTATTATATAAAATAGTTAATTGCCGAATTGATTGCACTAATTTGTTAGATAAAATCCACCTTAAGGTTCCTCGTCCCTCCTCACGGTCTAAGAGTACATTTTATGTCCCGCCATATCGCACAAATTACACAAAAAACTCTTATTTGAGGCGATCACTTGATTTTTTATAACAAAAACCTGACCAATATTGACATTTTTTCAAGTACTTATAATAATTACAGAAAACTGGTTCGCGAGATGTTGTACTAGTAGATTGTAAAGATTTTGAAACATTTTGTAATAAGTAACTAAGAAGTTTCTCATAGACTCAATTTGTTTAAACATAATATTAATTTAAGTTATGGTACTATAGGTCTAGTCATACATTATTTAATTTAAGCAAATATTACTGTTAGAGACCGTTTGTTACCTAAATAAATAAAATAAAATAAAATAAAAAAATAAAATATATATATTTCAGTTAGCCAAGCAGCGCTCAGCGACATTAAAGAGAATTCATATCATGGGTGTAGATAGTCTTGTATGCAACTGTTAGAACCAGGTAATAAAACACTTATCTGCTCAGTTTTGAATTTCAATTGGACGCTCTTGGAATGCTCAGTACATTTAATTTCAATACATATTGTTTGCTCAACACATTTTTTCATGTCTATGGGTTTGAGGAGAGAATCGAAACCTGATGACATGATTCTCTCTTTAAATATGTTAATTTTTAAACATTACATTTAATCTTAACATCAAGGGAAAAATTGCCAGTTATTTACGGGTCCATCTAGGCATTTGTTCCGATATAACTTAGGCTGATTGCGACAAAAGCTAATATCTTCCCCAAATGTCAAATGAAAGCTTGACGACAAGGGTCCTGTATTCATTGTGATTATTTATATAATGCTGGCATTGATAGATGGAAGTTAATGTTATACATATATTCGGCTTTGTTGAATAATTTTAATGATACCTATTAAATAGATTGTAAGCTTTTGAAAATTCATTTTTTTTCTATGAACGTATTAATAATAACGTACGTTTGGCTAATATTGAACTTTAATGACATATTAATAAAATCAATGTTCTTAGTGCATCCAATGTACAAATTTGTAAAACCATCAATCCTATAGTCTCTTATATAAGCTAATTACTTAATATGGCCTTGAAATACTTTTTCAACACATTTGCTCAAAAAGTGAATTTACGGAGGTTGTATACATTGTTCGAAAGTTTAAAATTACGGGTCATACAACGGAGCGTGCGGTAAAACGTTTTACCGCACGCTTCCATACATGGGGCCGTGCTTATCCTTTACGGTTTTAATTTTTATTTCAGTCGAACCTCGTTGGAAACACTTTTAATCTATCCTTTTCTATCTCTACCTTTGTTTCAAAGAAAAGGAGACAAAAGATGTAGTTCTAGGTTTCACCACCCGCACGTGTCGCCATTCTGAAATGCGCGCCATTTTCTTATTAGAAAAAGTTTGCTTCATTTTGTTTTTATAGCGAGGTAGGCGAATGACTCTACCCCACCTGATGTTAAGTGGTGATAAAGTCCAAACGCGAAGATACAGCAGTTACAGCACAGCCTGGTACAGCAGTTATAAACTGCAACACCAACCATCCTCACCTTGCCGGCCTGCAAAAATGCTTCTTCACGCCTCTCTTAAAGGGCCCCAGATGGCCATTAAGGGAGCCAACATGTGCGCGGGTAAAGAATTCCACTTACGAATAGTATGACAAAGAAATAAGTATCATTACTTAAATTAGGTATAGGTGTCACCGACATAGCCCACAGAATTGCAAACCTTAAGTGGCAATGGGCAGGGCACATTGCTCGCAGGACCGATGGCCGCTGGGGCGGAAAGGTCCTCGAGTGGCGACCGCGTACCGGGAAACGCAGTGTTGGCAGGCCCCCCACAAGGTGGACCGACGATCTGGTAAAGGTCGCGGGAAGCCGCTGGATGCGGGCAGCATGGGACCGATCGCTGTGGAAATCCATGGGGGAGGCCTATGTCCAACAGTGGACGTCTTTCGGCTGATGATGATGATGATGACTGTTTTCTCGCAAATGTGTTGAAAAACGTTGTAAGATATATTTACAAACTCGCATCTCGGGTTATTTCATCTACTCGTTTGTAATAACCAACTTACCGCATTAATATCATAAATAATTATTATATATTAAGTGAGAAGGTTAACATTAGTGTTGTAATTGTATAAATAGCAATATTGATTAGGTACAGTATAAATTGTTCTGGTTATCAAACTTCTAATAAAAATTATTCTTCCTATGCCCCAACCTTCATTACGAAATAAGATAATAAATATATCTTCGCTTCCTAAAATGTAAGATTGTTAATTTTATATCAAAATGACTCAAAGGAAAGAGATAACCTCATCCGTAGCTTTGGAAAATGGAAAATAGAAATGGCTTAGTAATGGCTTTTCAAAATACCTGAATGCATGAATATTAGGAATGACATTTAGACTTTCAATAAATTAGAAATGTTTCTAAAAGACATTGTAAATAGGAAGGTTTTTTCTGTAAAATATGAAGTGTTTTAATAAAATAAATGAATACTTACTGAAAATTAAATGTGAGTTTTATTTGATAAGTGCTCACCGTTAATAAGTACACCACTGTGTTTCAAACTTAATGACGCCTGTGAAGTTAGCGCAAATCGCGGCTCAGTAAACGAAATGTAGAAATAGAGGTATAACAATAGAGTAGGAGAGATACAAGTGGAAGTGTCCCTCTAATAGAAAGAGAAAGAAGATGAGAGACCGCTAGCTTTCTCTCTCTTATCGCGCATGCGCATTAGCAACCGTAAGTATCTTAATATTTCGATGCGATGCCATTGGATGCCATGCGTCACAAGAGAGAGATAGCTAGCGGTCTCTCATCTTCTTTCTCTTTCTACTAGATGAACACTTTTAGAGCCACCTTCCCCACTCTATTCTTATACCTCTATGAATATAATATAATATATAAATATTTCCAACACACACCAATTAGCCTAGCCCCAAAGTAAGCACTATAAGGCTTGTTTTATGGGATACTAGGGTAACGGATAGAATACATATTAAACATCCATGACTGAAGTACAAATGCTCGTGTTCATCACACAAACATCTGCTCCCACTGGGATTCGAACCCTCTCGAGTCGGCGACGCCATGAAACCCGGCGTACAAACCACTCGGCCACGGAGGTCGTCAGTCGTCAGAATGTAGGTGCAAGATCTCACTGAACTGAAACCTATGCATAGTTGCGCTCGCTGCTAACTTAACTGCCATAAAGTTAAATGTTTGGCATAAATTACTGTCCGTAAAAAAAGAGTTCAAAAAGTTTTTATCATTCTCCTATTTTTAAGGATAAATTGAAAAAAAATTGCGTGTATAAAAATTTATTCTGGTAAATATAAATACAAGTCATAGCACCTGCTAACACTATTTGTAATAATCATTATCTTAAAACATATATATTTGTGATCAACCATATCAATATATTCCAACAGAGAGATGATGTCACTTCATTTTGAAACTTTCATGTTTTGGTGAGATCGCTTTGAGTATATTTTCAACGGTGAACGGAGCCTCTGAAAAAAAGTTTATTTTATTTTATTTGTGCATACAATAAAAATAGAAATTAGTACATTACATATACTACATTATTGCTTTGAAGTATTCGCCATTTGAGGGGTATATTAAGAATATAGTACCTACAGTTGAAATAGAAATGAAACATATTTTTTATTATTTTGAAGCATGTAACTGCTTGATGTTTAAATCTAAAGAAAATATAACTAGAAAAAATTCCACGCGGACCAGGCAGCAGACGGGACTCGAACCCGCACCGCATGAAAATAATAAAAACTATAATTGCTATTTCTTCTTTCAAATGTTTAATACTTGTAAAAGTATTTATTGTGGGTTACCTATAATGCGAAGAGATGGCGCTGCCTTGCAGCTTAAGAATGGCTAGAAGAATTTCGACGCGGTCCGTGAGGGCCGCGGTAGCATAATTGGTCAGTGCATTCGCCCGGATTGCGAAGGGTGCGGGTTCGAGTCCCGTCTGCTGCCTGGTCCGCGTGGAATTTTTTCTAGTTATATTTTCTTTACTTGTCCTTTATTTTTACAACTCTTCACTGATGATTTGAGGCCAATACCCTTAGCATGACCACAAAACGCGATATGATAAAGCGATTTATCGACAATGACTGTCAAAACTACAATGAAGTTTGACAGTCGAGTGTCGATAAAAAGCTTTATCACATCATATTGCGGTGACAGAGGGCAAAGGGTGTAATCTTAAAATAGATATTCTACATAGCCATGACATAATTGTCATGAACTTAAGACTTCGGCGCGGGAACACTACCTTAATCTATTGCGTAGTGCTTAATCTGAATCTGAATACTGTAATCCGACTGTGTGTATATGTGTTATATGTATGTATGTTTTGCGTGTATTAATTTATTATTCATTTATAAGCGGTAGCATAATTGGTCAGTGCATTCGCCCGGATTGCGATGGGTGCGGGTTCGAGTCCCGTCTGCTGCCTGGTCCGCGTGAATTTTTTTCTAGTAATATTTACTTTAGATAAATGAAACATGTTAAATTATCTATATACATATGAATAAATTAAATAAACAATAAATTACCGATGTCAAGCCATTGGTCATCCTTGTATCCGAATTCCTTCCGAGCGGCCAGTATAGCTTCCCTGAGCGAATGACACACGGTCACTGATAACGTTAGCGATGGCTCGCCGGTCGCTGCAAATAAATAAGAACATTTTTTTTTCAATTCAATTCAATTTATTGCACTCATGTGGTTACATCGATGGTTACAAAATGCTTTTAGTACCTAACATGAACCCTGTCAGGGTATCGCAATATACTGTACAGTTAAAAATGAAATTTACAAAAGAATTTAATTAATAAACAATTATGTATATCAGGAACCTAATTTGTATTAAATCACTTATATCTCAAATTATGCATAAATGTCATCTGATTCCATTAGTTTAACAATATAACTTACTCAATTGATCTTATTAACAGTAGAAATATAATAGAAATGGAAATTCATTTATAAAATTAAATTAAATTTGTCAGTCATTAAAATTAATAAATAGGTATTTCAATAAAAATAAAATAATATGTCAATTAACATGAGTATTATATACTAGGTTTGTATTTTAAAAAAATGGGTGCGTGTACTTATGTAGGCGCGTGAGAAGTTATCCTTCTTTGGTATCGTTTAAAATTAGTTTTTAATTGCATGCAAATAATTAATTACAATAAATTAATAAAAAGTCTGGAAAAGGACACAGTCAATAAAGTTCAGTTTTAATTTGAAAAAATAAATAAATAATCAAAATATTCAATTAAAATCGCTACTGAATATAATTTATTAGAACATACGTGATTTGCACTTGTATGAAACTCAAACACGTATTCCGAATATACAAACTAGAAACATGTGGATAAATATTATAAATATGAATACTTATAACTGTTACTTTATTACAAAAAATAAAGATGTGGTTTTTGGTTCTACTACACCAATGGTCAAGAGATGGAGCTGTAGTCTCCTGAATCGCGCTTTGGTTCCGTTGTTCCAGATTATTAAATACTTTTGATAGGCCTTCACAATGCAGTCGTTAGCACTCACTAAATAGAGATTCTATTACTATTTTGTTGGTAGATTTTCTTAATGTGCGGTAAACACAAAAGTAACTAATTTAAATTTTGTGTTACAGTGATGCGCGCGCATCTTAAAATTTCACTCTCATCACTTTTTCATAACGCGCCTAAAGAAGTATAACTTCAATAAATAGAAACATCTATATATTACACAAATAACCTCGTCACGTGCACTTCCGCTAGGGATGTCACCGGCTAGAATACTGGCCAAGTGAGCCATTGGCATCGTCATTAGCATTTTTTTTTAATGTTCGGTACATTTTATAAATAAGAGTCATGCGGTTCGGCGAAACGGCGATTTTCTGGCACTTTTTGGAGGTTTGGTCATCTTGTCATTGTAATGTTTGTATTATTGGGCTTCGCGTGTGGCAGATTTCACAACAATATCACATTTTTTATCAGAATGTTGAATAGGGGTGATGACGGGGTACAGTAAACGAAATTCTATTTAGTTCTTCAGTTAGATGATCAATCAACCAAAATATGACAAAGTTATAGCGCGTCAAAGTTTAGGATATCTCTGCAATGTTTATATTATGTGAAAAAAGAAAAAATACGTGTCCAATACTTTTTGATAATCTACCTGATACCCGAAGAAAAAAAATTATACATCATCCCTATTGTAGTTAATGAAAACACGATTTATGTTTTTTTAACATCTTTATAGAGACATGTTTCAATAATGATATTCTCTAGTTTGAGATAAAAATGTATTTTGTATTTATATTCGTTTAATATAGCTTATGATGAGTTGTTGTATATTCGCCACAAAGTAAATTCGTCACACGTTTCCATTTTTCTTTCAATGTATATAATATTGAAAGTTAATTCGTAACATACAATTTAGGTACATAATAAAAATAGAACTGTGACAAAATCGACAAACTTTTTTTTCGTGACAAATGGTAAGCTTTTCAGAAAGCTTTAGTGTGCTTTAGCTTTATTGTGTTGATTTTCTTTTCACTATAAATACATTAAATAAAGATGTGATTTTTAGTTCTACTACACCAATGGTCAAGAGATGGCGCTGTAGCCTCCTGAATCGCGCTTTGGTTCCGTTGTTCCAGATTAATAAATACTTTTGATAGGCCTTCACAATGCAGTCGTTAGCACCCACTAAATAGAGATTCTATTTCTATTTTGTTGGTAGATTTTCTTAATGTGCGGTAAACACAAAAGTAACGCATGAAGTTGGTCGCTAAAGCGATCAACTTCATGGTGTTAAAATTTTGTGTTACAATGATGCGCGCGCATCTTAAAATTTCACTCTCATAATTTTTTCATAACGCGCCTAAAGAAGTATAACTTCAAAAAATCGCCTCATTAATATTATTTTGCTGTAAAGTGTTCATTTATATATATTATTATTTAAAGAACGAAGATCTATAAAATTCAAAAAAAAAACAAAATTCAATATTGTTTATTCAGTCTAGGCTGTTACAAGCACTTGTGAATGTCGAAAAGCCACGCCATCGGTCCGCAAATCTACGACGGGAGACCTTGTACTGAGAAAAACCGGCAAGAAATTTAGCAATGGCTGCTTTTTTCTCCCTGTTTTATTTCATACAGTGTCGTCCAATTGAAAGTTGACATCAAACTTGCAAACATGTGTTGAGGTCAACTTCCATCACATAATGTCAAATATGTAACAATAGACAATCAACGAATTTACTAACAATAAGTGTAAAGAAAGTCCCAAAATAGGAAGAAACAATTTTCAAAACAAAATGAACAAGTATATGAAAGGGAGTAAGTGCAAGGTACTCTTCAAAACTCTTTCTAAGGCTGGGAGCCTTAGTTTTAATATAACTTTTGAAAAATTATCTACAGGTAAAATTACAACCATGCCGTTTTATCATTCAAATATTGATTGACAGTATAATATAATTTGACATTATCATCATTTTGACATGTATTCTGATTTGGCTAGTATAATTTTGTTTTGATTTATAGCAGTTATTTGCTTAAAAATAAATAATATAAGAACACATTTGTTTCTGAGGTTTTCACGCACACCACTCATTAAATAAAACCAAGTTTCAACGGCATAGATGCACTGATTGATTTATTTATGACGCTTCGCATCCTTTTCTTCATCATATTTCTGACGACGCAGCCTAAAAAGGGCGAAACATCATAAATAAATAAATCAGTGCATCTATACCGCTGACACTTCTTTTATTTTTATGTTATTTATAACGATCTCTGTGGCCAAGTGGTTTGCACACCGGGTTAAAGGTGTGGCCTACTCGAGGGGTCCCGGGTTCGAATCCCGGTGGGGGCAGATGTTTGTGTGATGAATACGAGCATTTGTACTCCAGTCATGGTTGTTTGATATCGATTTGTATATAAATATACTTATATATGTATCAGTATACGTATTGTATCCGTTACCCTAGTATCCCATAACTAAAGCCTACAGTGCTTACTTTGGGGCTAGGCTAATTGGTGTGAGTGTTGGAAATATGTATTATTTATTATTATTTCAATAAGAACATGTAATAAAACATAGCAAAATTCATAAAACAATGAACATATAACCTATCTAACCGCAGGTGGATAGGACGTTCGGCCTGCAATTGTGAAAGTTAAGCAACTTTCGCAATTGTCAGCCATTGGATGAGTTATCAAAAACGAATTATCTTAAGCTCCTGCGTGCTTCGGAAGGCACGTTTAGCCGCACTGGACCCGTGTGGTGAGTCATAGCCCAATCTCCCTATTCCATCCATAGGGAAAGCCTATGCCCCAGCAGTGGGGGTATAAAAGTAGGCTGGTAATGATGATATAATGTAACTAGTTATAGATAACAAAAAAATGGATGCGTGTAACTTATGTACGCGCGTGAGAAGTTATACTTCTTTAGCATCATTAAAAATATTTTTTAATTGCATGCAAATAATTAATAATTACAATAAAATAATAAAAGGACTGGAAAAGGATAGTTAACACAGTCAATTAAGTTCAGTTTTAATTTGAAAAATTAAATAAATATTCAAAATATTCAATTAAAATCACTACTGAATTTAAGTTATTAGTCCATATGTAATTAGCACTTGTAAGTAACTAAAACACGTTGTGTCTATATAGAAACTAGAAACATGTGGATAAATATTATAAATATGAAAACAGTGATCAGAGGCGACGAGCGTGCCAACATTGTTTTTGACAACGCGATCATCTTATGGAGCTCCGTGGATCGTTCAAAGTACCTTTCGAACAGATGTCTAATAATGGTGGATTATTAACCACTAAGTGGTTAATAATCCACCATTATTAGACACTAACATTCATAACGCGCCCGCGGCCAACTTCATGGTGTTACTATTGTGTTACAGTGATGCGCGCGCATCTCGAAATTTCACTCACATGATTTTTTCATAACGCGCCCGCGGCCAACTTCATGCTGTTACTTTTGGGTTACAGTGATGCGCGCGCATCTAAAAATTTCACTCTCATCATTTTTTCATAACGCGCCTAAAGAAGTATGACTTCAAAAATAACAAAGTATGTAAAAAATAATTCAATACTAGCGGCCGCCCGTGACTTCGTACGCGTGGAGTTAGTTAGAAATAAAGGTTCACTGCTCGATCCCCGTAGGTGATAGCGTGATAATATGTAGCCTATATGTTGACCCGACATCTTAATAATATTCGTGCCAAATTTTAAGTAAATCCATGCAGTACTTTTTGAGTTTATCCCGAACATACATACAGACAAACAGACAAAAATTCTTAGAAATTATTATTGGCTTCGGTATCGACTGTAGATCACACCCCAAGTATTCTTTTAAAAAAATATTCAATGTACAGTTATCACTCTCCTACCATTTTGTTATGATAGATTTATGGCGAAATGATTAGTGAAAGTTATAATTTCTTAGCATAATACCTTAGCCAAATAATTAAAAATTTCTAACTAACCTTTAGACCTCAGTACACCTGCGGGGTTGGGTGCATTTCTTCTGAAATTTACCCTAAAGTCGACAGGCACATCTCTGGCCCCAGGTACGTGGTACAGCCACGTATTATCCGTTAGTAATCGGCCGGAACTGTCGTAGATGAGATGCTCAGTGCACCACATGCCCAAACCCATTATGAAGGCGCCCTCTATCTATTAAAAATGGAGAAACCTTTATTTTAACATCATGCTAGCACTTGCCATGACATTCGGGTTTGCTATTTGTCATTTTGACTAAATAAAGTGTAGAATAATAAATAGATAATAAAAAAAGCGTCTGGACTTCATCATTATCATCAGCCTATTAATGTCCCCACTGCTGGGGCACAGGCCTTCCCTATGGATGGAATAGGGAGATTAGGCCATGACCCACGCGGGCCCAGTGCGGATTGGCGGGTGATAACGACTGCAGATGCAGCCGGGACCAACGGCTTAACGTGCATACCGAAGCACGGAGGAGATCGAGGTAGTAAATTTTTTGGTCACCCATCCAATGACCGACCACTGCGAAAGTTGCTTAACTTCAACGATCGCAGCCGAATGCGCTAACCACTTGCGCCATCGAGCTCCTCATCTGGACTTCACCGTCACTTAATATAAAGTAGGGTGGAGTCATTTGTTGGACCTAGCTATATAAAAAAATAAATAAATTTTAACATACTCTATAGAGAAAGAAAAGGACAGACTGTTCTCAAGTTTACGAATAGCCATGCGAAGTGCCGGCATTACCAATTTACAAATCGACAACACCTTGACTAATAATGCAATGTAAGTATATAAAACTTGTCTAACAGAAGCCAGTTCTATCCTAGAATGGCAAAAACTTATTAGATATTGTGAATGGAGTTAGACCCTGGTGATCTGGGGGCCATTTGTATAACGGAAATGCTTTGGAAAACACTAACGCATTCGATTTTATTTTGTTATTTCTGACCGCCGAAGGTTTTCAAATACCTTACGCTCATTATTTTAAATATTGTTATTACCAAAGCAAAAGAAAAAGAGCGCGAGGCATTTGAAAACCACAGGCGGCTAGAAATAACAAAATAAATCATAACGTTAGCGTTTTCCAAAGCATTTCCGTTAGGCGAATGGGCCCCTGGTGGTCTTAACTATTTATTGTCACAAACATACCTGTCCCACGTCTACTTCTGGGCTCAAACTATCGTCCACGTCTTCCAAGAATTCGACCCTGCTGACCTGATGGTCTTAACTATTTATTGTCACAAACATACCTGTCCCACGTTCACTTCTGGGCTCAAACTAACGCCCACGTCTTCCAGGAAGTCGACTCTGGTGACCTGGTGGTCTTAACTATTTATCAGATATGTTGAAGCGTTCATCTTCATTATCATCATCATCAGCCTTATATTGCCCCCACTGCTGGGGCACAGACCTTCCCAATGGATGGAATAGGGAATTTGGGTCATGACCCACCACGCGAGCCCATTGCGGATTGGTGGATGCTAACGAATGCAGATGCAGCCGGGATCAACGGCTTAATGTGCCTTCCGAAGCACGGAGGAACTCGAAGTAGTAAATTTTTGGTCACCCATCCAATGACCGACAACTACGAAAGTTGCTTCATGATATGTTGAAGCGTTAAGCAATCATATATGGTGAAATATGTCAAATACGGCAAGAAATTGTCACAATATACCTGTCCCACGTCTACTTCTGGGCTCAAACTATCGCAGACATCTTCCAGGAAGTTGACCCTGCTGACCTGATGGTCTTGTATTTATTGTCACAAACATACCTGTCCCACGTCCACTTCTGGGCTCAAACTAACACCCACATCTTCCAGGAAGTCGACCCTGGCGACCTGGTGTTGGCCAGTTAAAACATCCAACTCAGTCTCTGCAATACAAACGCCGTAAACGTCGTATTCTTTCAGATTGTCCACCTTTTGGGACATCATATAGGTGCTTTGGAGGTTGATGCCTGAAACAGAAGGTAGATTTAACATAAGGAAAATGAAGTAACGGAATTAAATCCACCCCGTAGGCATAGAGAATGGACAAATCTGTCAAATTAGTCATGAAACATTATGTGCAATTGATAATTGAAAAAAATTTTTTTGACGTGACAACGTCTTAAATTAGGTTGCGGCTGGGAGTCACTTATGAAAAAGTGTAACGCTCGGTAACGTTACGATGAGTTTAAGTTTACATGTACAATGTTTTAGTAAACAAAATATATTTCTATAGTTAAAATTTGTGCAATTCTTATTTTCATTCAATTCCTTGTTCCTATTGTGCAATTTAATTATATTCATATCAATAAATATTCTACCGAGAAAAAGACGTTGTCACGTAAAATCTTCGCCCGTAAAACCGACTTTACAGGCAACCATTTTTTTTTCTTTTATTGAGCTTTGGCTCCATGGCCATCAGCAAAAGAGAATTACTACAATGGTAGAGACTTACATAGGTAATATTACACATTATTCTATAAATTTACAGATTAAACACAATTAACATAACATCGAGAAATAAAAGAAAAAAAATATACATCACAAATAAACAAAAAAAAAATAATTTGACCAAAAGTATTTACAATAAAATTATAAATATGGTTAATACGTGTTAATATTGGCAAGTAATTTTTGGGCAGAGGTCGGGATATAATTTTTAAAAATTTCAGATAATTCTGTTATCAGTAATAAACGCTGTATTGAAAATTTTGGGCATACAAATAAAATATGGTCAATATCACAAAAAAGTGAACCACAGTGAGGACAACTGGCATGATTGAAATAAAGACCTTGTTATATTATAAAACAATTTATTATTATACTCTTTATTGCATTAAATAGTAAAACAGAAGGTCAAATACATAGCAAGCAAAGGCGGGCTTATCTCCAAAAGAGATTTTACCTGTTCCTAATAGTCTTACCGAGTAATCTTACCAGTTGAACTACAGGGAATTTCCTTCGCAAAAGTTTATTGCGAAGAAAATTCTCTGTAGTTCAACTAGTAGTAGACTTACCAGTAAAAGTAAATTACCAATAGTCTTTTGACAAGTGGTTAGTAATGCCCCTATACTCATATATTTAACTTTTTAAAATAATGAATATTTACATTGAACGCGACAAGGTTATTCAGAATGCCCAAATGCAATTAATTAATAGAGATATAAGCGTAAGCTCGATGGCACAAGTGGTTAGCGCGTTCGGCTGCGATCGTTGAAGTTAAGCAACTTTCGCAGTGGTCGGTCATATTGGATGGGTGACCAAAAATTTACTATCTCGAGCTCCTCCGTGCTTCGGAAGGCACGTTAAGCCGTTGGTCCCGGCTGCATCTGCAGTCGTTAGCACCCACCAATCCGCACTGGGCCCGCGTGGTGGGTCATGGCCAAATCTCCCTATTCCATCCATATGGAAGGCCTGTGCCCCAGCAGTGGGGACATTAATAGGCTGATGTTGAAACGTAAGCTATTTATTGGAATAGTTACCTATGTTGATGAAATAGATTATTATAATTTAACTAGCAAACCAGTGAACCAAATGTTCATCAAAACCTGATTAAAAAAAAAGAAAAAAATGTATTTAATTAATTGAGAACTTCGGAGATTTTGTGTGGTTTCGTTTGAAATTCGTGATTTCTCGAAAACCGGAAGTTCTACGTTACTCATATCCGGTTTGTAGTCTTATCAGACTATTCTTAACTTATAACTAAAACATTCTCTATATCAATCTCTTACGGTTTGGCCGCTGAAACAGCACCACGGACGGACGGACGGACGGACTTGTCTAATAGATAAGAGATACATCGTTTGTTTGTCATGTGGAAAAAAAGGCATTTTATTTTTTCTTTTATTCTCACTTTAAATTTAATAAAGCTATATTATATACTATACTGTCTATCAATTAAAAGATCTATGTGTTTAAAATTTGATGAAGTAAAACTGATGGGAAAAAATAAAACCAGCGAAGTCTTAGTAACAGTAGTCTATTGGGGAGGAAATTCCCAGTATTTCAACTGGTAAGACTATTGGAAGCAGTGAGAAATTGTATATATTATTATTAATCAGAAAAACAATAACAATACATAGATTATAGACATTCTGAAACCTTTTCTTATTTCCATATTAAGCATCAAACTATTTTATTTTATTTATCTATTTTCAGAAAATTTAACAAAATACATGTTAATGTAACAAGTATAATAACACCGAAGGCCATTTAAATGTTACCACTGATAGCAATATATCTAAAAATATTTTTTTCAATATCCTAGCCATTATTACCTTGATCATAAGCCTTCTTAAAGACTTCCTCCCACGGTAGATTCTGTCCATTCTTCAATGGATCTCTTAAAATTTTGCCCACGCCACTGTTGTACACACACACATACATACATGCACACACACACACATACACACACACACACACACATACATCCCCCAACTCAGTGGTACAGCCACTGTACCAGTTTAGTCAGCAGATCCTGGCAAGCCTTCAATGCAGCATAGGCTACACATTCGCTCGTAAAACTACCACTAGTGACCACTGAGTTGGGAGATGAAGAAGCTACCAATATCTTATACTAATCCTTACCTTGGTCATAAGCCTTCTTAACGACTTCCTCCCACGGTAGATTCTGTCCATTCCTCAATGGCTCCAGTTTCATCATCAGATCCTGGCAAGCTTTTAAAGCAGCGCAGGCGGCACATACACTAGTAAAACTCCCACTGGTGACCACTGAGTTGGAGGTTAAAGGTACCAATATCTTACAGTTCTTTCACTAATTCTTACCTTGGTCATAAGCCTTCTTAATGACTTCCTCCCATGGTAGATTCTGTCCATTCCTCAATGGCTCCAGTTTCGTCATCATATCCTGACAAGCTTTTAAAGCAGCGCAGGCGGCACATACTCTAGTAAAACTCCCACTGGTGACCACTGAGTTGGAGGTTAAAGGTACCAATATCTTACAGTTCTTTCACTAATTCTTACCTTGGTCATAAGCTTTCTTAATGACTTCCTCCCACGGTAGATTCTGTCCATTTTTCAATGGCTCCAGTTTCATCATCAGATCCTGGCAAGCCTTCAAGGCAGCATAGGCTGCACATTCGCTAGTAAAACTACCACTGGTGACCACTGAGTTTGGGGATATGAAACTATCCGTTTCTAGCATGGAAATTTTCTCCAGAGGTATTTTTAATGTGTAAGCGCACACCTGAAATGTAAAACAAAATATTAAATAAAGGAAAAGGTTTTTTTTTAAACTATATTTTGTTAGATTGAAACTGGTTAAAGAAGAACACTTTAAAAATTTACGGGCACACATGTTAAAAACCTTTGATCAATTTTCTTAACCAACCAGAAAGAAGATTTTTTATTAAGTTTTTCGTAACTGGTAAAGAAATAAAAATAATAAACTATCTTTTTTCTATTTTCATTAAACTGTTTATATTATTTTTAGTTAATAAATCGAGCAATAAAACTAAATTAAATAACTACGAACATTAGATAGCAGGATTGACATCAGCATCCTTCAATAACAAGCAACCATACACACATCAATCATACTCAGTAAAGTTTTGGGAGGTACTGTTTCCTTACACAACACACGACACCAACACATACAAATCACGCAATAAATACAATCACAAAACACACCACATCTATCAATCACGCCCAACACATCTCATACGCCGGACACACCACAGCCACTGCAGATGCACACTAGTTCTCTCATAATGAGGGCTACCGTTTTCTGTCTCACCAGATGGCGCCACTGTTGAGTGAGGTCCTAAATTGTAACTTTTAAAGTTTATTAATACGCACATGAAATCAAAGCTTACATTTAGATCGTATTTTAACACAAAAGAACCATATCCTAAACATAATAGGCCATGCCACAGTGACGCCCAGTTCCGTTTTATTCGGAAAAAATGGGGACAAAATCATTTTTCTAAGCTCAAATTTTTAATAACTGACAGTCATTGCCACATAACTCATATTTGCCATAATTAAGCCGCATTGTTACCAATTATTCACAACATTATTTTAATAAGAAATAAACCCGCGTAGTCAACCAACAAGCAATAACATTTGACATTTCGGAGACCTCACGCTACACTAGCGCCTCTAGCGGCAGATTCATACGCAATAGCCCTCATTAATCATATTTATGTTACAGTTCATTATATATTTAATACATCAAACTAAACTACATAATCATAGACAATAGTAGACATATTGGGGAATAGGACGGGGTATTTATTAAAACCGACAACATGTCGAGATGGTGAAGTCAAACAATCATTAATATATGTATAATAATAATATATAATTAAAAAAAATATATTATTGTAATATTAAATGATTCGAACTGTGAATTAAAACAGAAAAACTTTAAAAACATCATGTCACAGTCATCATGCAGTCTCTAAAGTACAAAACGTAACAAAAAACATAAAATACAATTATGTGATTTAGAAACCATCTTCATGTGTGCTGTCATTGTAATCAGTCATGCATGCGTGGCATTTAAATCATTCATCATTTCAATCATATATTTCTTAGAATAAGTATTTTTTCCTATTTCTGAGATGTACATAGAACTAGTCTAAATTGTGTGGTGTTTTTATATCTTAACTCACCTGAGCCACTTTAGTATGAATCCCCTGTCCCATTTCTATCCCTCCATGAGACACTGCCACGGTTCCATCCCCATGATACACAGACACAGTCACGGGTATATTAAATCCATATTTAACAGGGAAACACATTATAGCCAACTTTAAACCTTTCTTCTTCCACGCATTGTCTTTATTAAACACGGTAATTTGAGCCTTACGCTCATTGTAATTAGTGTCTTTTACGAATTCATAGATCATGTCTTTTATGCCATTGTGCTTGGGGGATAAGTTTGAGATTCGCACGTCGATTGGGTCCTTTTTAGTGGCGAAGGATATTCGGTCCATTATATGTTCCATTATGGCTGTAGCTTCGGTAGTTCCTGGAGGGTATGAAGTTAGTTAATAAGAAGAAATAAAGAAAAGGTTCTTCATTAACCTTATACACAATAATTAAAGAAAAGCCGTAAGTAAACGTAATAAATAATAAATAAGAATTAACCAGTACCCCTAGCACGAACCATAATCGAATTCGTATCGTTTGCGCGTTCGAAATGTCATTATCAAATGTGTACTGATTTTTAGTTCTCGTTACGTACTTTGTGCCGCTGCTGTTCAAGTTTCCATACAAAATTTGACATTGACATTTCGGTTTGCAAACTATTCGAATTCGATAATGGTTCGTGCTAGGGGTGCAGAACCCTGCCCCAGCACAAACTGGGGCGGCGATTATTAAACTAAATTTAATTAACTGACCATTTATTAATTCCATTTTTTATGTGTAACATCTTTCCTCTCGCTTTCCTGCAATTTGTGGGAGTGATTTCGTGAAATGGGACGGATGTGTGTAACAGGAAGTCGAGGAAGCGCGTGCTATTTGATTTGATTTTAGAACGTAATGTTCAAATGGCTTATTTCTTTTGCAGTAGTTTTTTTTACTAATGTAAGGTGAGGTTACAAATGTTACACATCATACACGACTAGAGTCTGTGCGAAAAGAGAATGAGATTTAGATTGGAGGGCGCTGTAGTGCTTTTCTACAGTATTTGTAAGGTTTTACCCCTTTTAGACATGATTAAATACAAAAAACCGCAAGAAATCACAACAACAAACAAATCCGTATCAATACAAAACTTTGACGTTTTACAGATTACTGGGTTTGATTGCCAAATAAAAATCTTAATGTTAGTTCCGTTTTCCGCCACGCCCACTCTCTTTCCGCACAGACTCTAAGCGATTTTTTTCAATTTTTTGTGATATAAAAGATCTTAAGGCTTAAAAAGGGATTAAAATCATCTCACCTGGTGATCTACACCAAGTATTGGGTGGTTTATCAGTAAGCACGCTGTACCCTCGTATTGTCCATGTATCACTGGCATATAGGTTAATAAGAGTAGATGCTATTTCAGCACATGAAGTGTCGTTGTAGTTACTACCGCAGTCCGTGTAGTAAACTACATTCATGTATTGGATCACACCGTTGTCGTCTACGCCCACCTGATGGAGATTTATTCAATTAATTTGGTGGTACTTGTATTATCATTGTATTTATATGTGAAGGGAATTCTTTCTTATGCACTCTCTGTCAGAACTTTTCTGCTCATGGAGGCGTGTAAGAATTCGCTTGATAAAATTTTATACGGAAGAGTACAGAAAAGATAATATTTTGTTTAAAATAAGTAATGCATTTCATATTTCCGATTTGTTTTTCTTTAATCAGATAAGATTTCATGGTGACCTCGACTCGAGAGGTCCCCGGGTTCGAATCCCGGTGGGGGTAGAAATGCTTGTATTCATCACACAAACGTGTGATGAATACAAGCATTTGTACTCCGGTCATGGATGATTAATATGTATTTCTATATAAACATACTTATATATGTATTCTATATCCGTTACCCTAGTATCCCATAACACAAGCCTTACAATGCTTACTTTGGGGCTAGGCTATTTGGACTGACTTTAATAATCTCTTATCTATTAGACAAGTCCGTCCGTCCGTCCGTGGTGCTGTTTCAGCGGCCAAACCGTAAGAGATAGATATAGAGAATGTTTAAGTTATAAGTTAAGAATAGTCTGATAAGACAAACAAACCGGATGTGAGTTCTATTTCAAACGAAACCACACAAAATCTTCGAAGTTCTCAATTAATTAATTTTTTTTTTGGTGAACATTTGGTTCACTGGTTTGCTAGTATATATATATATATATATATATATATATATATATATATATATATATATATATATATAAACACATTCGCTATTGACTGGGCTATTATAGAAGAACTACGCTTTAACAGAACAACTGAAAAGGGTGACAGCTAGTATTTAAACACAAAATGACTAACAATTAATTTTCGCACTAGATATACTCGTACCTAATGCGATCGTTGAAGTAAGCCACTTTCGCCATGGTCGGTTATTGGATGGGTGACCAAAAATTTACTATCTCGAGTTCCTGTTCCTCCGTGCATCGGTAGGCACGTTAAGCCGTTGGTCCCGGCTGTATGTATTGCCGGTGTAGTCGTTAGCATCCACCAATACTAACTGGGCCCGCGTGGTGGGTCATGGTCCAATCTCTCTATTCCATCCACAGGCACCATAAGGATAGGCCTGTGCCCCAGCAGTGGGATCATTAATGTGCTGATGAAAAAATGCATTTTATAACTTTTTAACTTTAAAAACATCTAAGAGACATTCTTTGTTTTTACTCTGACCTCGTAATGGGTGCAGCATTGCACCCGCTTCTCTAGGTCAATGAAGCACGATAGCCGCGAGTCGTTGTAAGGAGATTGCGATCTTATCATACTTTAGCCGCCCTCTATACTGACCTCGTAATCGGCGCAGCATTGCATCGGTTTCCCTACGCCTATGAAGCCCTATGGCCACGGGTCCTTGTTAGGAGAGTGCGACCCTTTCGTACAAAAGCCGCCCTCTATACTGACCTCGTAATCGGCGCGGCATTGCACCCGTTTCCCTAGGTCAGTGAAGCACTATAGCCGCGAGTCGTTGTAAGGAGATTGCGATCTTATCATACTTTAACCGCCCTCTATACTGACCTCGTAATCGGCGCAGCATTGCATCCGTATCCCTAGGTCAGTGAAGCACTATAGCCACGAGTCGTTGTTAGGAGAGTGCGACCCTTTCGTACCATAGACGCCCTCTATACTGACCTCGTAATCGGCGCAGCATTGCATCGGTTTTCCTAGGCCTATGAAGCCCTATGGCCACGGGTCCTTGTTAGGAGAGTGCGACCCTTTCGTACCATAGACGCCCTCTATACTGACCTCGTAATCGGCGCGGCATTGCATCCATTTCCCTAGGTCAGTGACGCACTATGGCCGTGGGTCGTTGTAAAAGGATTGCGATCTTTTCGTACTAAAGCCGCCCTCTATACTGACCTCGTAATCGGCGCGGCATTGCATCCGTTTCCCATAGACGCGCATATTGTGCGTCAACGGCAGCACTATGGCCGCGGGTCGCTGCAGCACGCGCGTTACCAATGCGCATGCGCAGGCGGCTAGTGAAGATTGCGATCCTTTCGCACCATAGCCTCCCCCAATACGATTCACTACTACGCGAACCCTGGAAATTTTGTCAAAGATTAAAACTAACAATGGTGTCGATTCTGGCACGATTCTCTATATCTAAACTTAAATTTGACAACAGTCTATTCTTGTTATTCTCTATACAGAATGAAAAAGAGAGACTGATGTTAAATTTAGTTTTAAGTTTAGAGAATCACTCAATTGATAGTCTAATAAATAACCAACTATTGAAATTTATGTTTTAATAGCTGTTTGTATGTTTTCCTACAATAAATGAATCCTTCTAATATTATAAAATTTGTATGAAAGAGAAAGAGAATCAAAGCGAGATAAATAGAGAGAAATAGAATAAAGAGAAACAGTGAGGGAAAGAAACAGACCACAATAGTCTTTATTACATAATAATTCAAAACAGAAGCTATCAGTAAAAGTCCTGGACTTTATAACCACTCATCAAAATGTGGAATAGAGTCACTTGCGTGCCTAATTAATAACAATCTCCCATAAATTACTTAGTTATTATAAAAAAAATCACCTATTCTGATCAATCCCAAGCACTTTATCTACGGCGAGGTTGACTAAATCCGGCCATTGGGTAGCAGATCTGACCACCAGGATATCCTCGTTGTATGAAAGACAAAGAAGGGAGATAGAGGGAGAAAGAGTGAGAAATAAATGGAGAGAGAATGTGAGACAAAGAGAGAGGAAGCGAGACAAAGCTATACAATAAAAGTCCTCCCCTTTTAGAGGAGAAGAAGGGAGATAGAAGAAAATTTAAAAAGTATATTAATTCAAAAGCAGATCATTATCTGTGATTTAGAGTAGATTTGAAGACCTATATAGTAATGATCCTCATTATCTGTATGCTGTATAGTACTTACCGTCGGGGGAGTAGAGTCACATAGGCGAGTAACTAAATTAATAATAGACTAATAAATCAGTAGGTAATTGAAATAGTCACCTATTCTGATCAATCCCAAGTACTTTACCCACGGCGATGTGGACCAAGTCTGGTCATTGGGTGGCAGATCTGACTACAAGGATATCCTCGTTGTACGAAACATGGCAACTCTGTGTTTCCATAGTGAAGTGGTACTGAGATGGGATGTAGTAACTGTCCTTTATAACGTGGGTGGTGACGACATTTTCTGTACCGGGATTTGAACCTAGGGCCTCAGAGTATAGAAACGTTTGCTACTTTGTAATTTGAAATCAGGGCTTCACAGAAAGAGAGAAAGAAAAATTAAGAGACAAAGAAGGGAGATAGAGGGAGAAAGAGTGAGAAATAAATGGAGAGAGAATGTGAGACAAAGAGAGAGGAAGCGAGACAAAGCTATACAATAAAAGTCCTCCCCTTTTAGAGGAGAAGAAGGGAGATAGAAGAAAATTTAAAAAGTATATTAATTAAAAAGTTTGTCAGATCATTATCTGTGATTTTGAGTTGATTGCTGGCCGAGTAATGATCCTCATTATCTGTGTACTGTGTAGTACTTACCGTCGAACGGGGGAGTAGAGTCACATAGGCGAGTCACTAAATTAATAATAGACTAATAATTCAGTAGGTAATTGAAATAGTCACCTATTCTGATCAATCCCAAGCATTTTACCCACGGCGATGTGGACCAAGTCTGGCCATTGGGTAGCAGATCTGACCACAAGGATATCCTCGTTGTACGAAACATGACAACTCTGTGTTTCCATAGTGAAGTGGTACTGAGATGGGATGTAGTAACTGCCCTTTATAACGTGGGTTGTGTCGTCGCCTTTGTCTTTCGGTTGTATGTTAGCGTCTTCTCGAAGCTGGGAAGATAGATGTTATACTTAATGAAATACATGAAAATTTAATGGGCAACTTTGAAACTACGTTGTGATATTGGCATGCCTGTTAAAATTTTTGGTCAAACTAGAAGCAATAAGATGAATATTAATTTATTATTTATTAAGTTCATTACGCTTTCTTACGACCACACTCAGAAATGTGAATTAAGTTTTAAGAGTGATTAAACAAGTGTCTTTATCTTCGCGATAAAATTAGAATAAGATTGTGATTTAAAATTACATTAGATTTATTCGACATCTCTGAGTAAGGCTATTAGTTCTTAACTAAGCAGATAGTGTACTATGAAAACTAGATATCGTAAATAATACATAGGTATTATGTTACTATGAAGAGATCGATGGCGCAAGTGGTTAGCGCGTTCGGCTGCGATTGTAGAAGTAAAGCAACTTCCGCAATGGTCGGTCATTGGATGGGTGGCCAAAACATACAGTCTCGGGCTTCTCGGTTATTCGGAAGGCATGTTAAGCCGTTGGTCTCGGCTGCATCTGCAGTCGTTAGCGCCCACCAATCCGCACTGGGCCCGCGTGTTGGGTCGTGGCCCAGTCTCCCTATTCCATCTATAGGGAAGGCCTGTGCCCCACCAGTGGGGACCGTAATAGGCTGGTGATGATGATGATTAATTGGGAACAAAATATTTGTCCCCGTTCCATTATTGATGATGTTGTTTTTTTTTTGTAAATAAATTTAATGTTAATTTATTGTTTGGTTTTGTACGGTTGATATGGGCTGCTGTTATCCGAAATAAATATGTTTTTTTTTATATAAATAAAGTGCCCTTACCGTGTCTCCGTGTCTCAGAAAGCACTTTCAGAATTAAGTCCCAGTTACAATTGCAGATTTTTTTTTATTTCTCGCCAATCAGCCTAGCCCCAAAGTAAGCACTGTAGTCTTGTGTTATGGGATACTAGCGTAACGGACAGAATATATATATACTGATACATATATAAGTGTATTTATAAAGAAAAACATATTGAACATCCATGACTGGAGTACAAATGCCCGTATTCATCACACAAACATATGCCTCCACCGGGATTCGAACCCGGGATCTCTCGAGTTGGCAACAACTCGGCACTAGGCCACGGAGCTCGTCAAATTAACACCCACCAATCCTCACTGGATCCGCATTCTGTCTCAAAGCCCGTTTACCCTAATATAATTATGTTCCAGCAGCAGAAACATTAATCCTACTTCTATATACATATATATAACTCAAAGGTGACTGACTGACATAGTGATCTATCAACGCACAGCCCAAACCACTGGACGGATCGCGCTGAAATTTGGTATGCAGGTAGAGGTTATGACATAGGCATCCGCTAAGAAAGGATTTTCATCAATTCTACCCCGAAGTGAAGCGAGGGCTGGCCACTAGATTATTATAAATGTGGAAGTTTATTTATTTGTATGTTTATACCTAAATCGGCTGAACGGATTTGGATGAAATTTGGCACACATACTGTTAGACAAGATGAGAGATTTTTAACCCGAAAAAAAATTATGTTCCTGTGGTATTTCCAAAAAAGAAAATACTTTAACGCGGACGGAGTCGCGGGCAGAAGCTAGTATACTTTTTTTGTTCTTTATGTATTTAGAAGCTTTCATTCTACGAATATGCCAGCCTCATCGTACACTAACCAAGCTAGTAAATGTATAAGATAAAAAAAAACGACGGATTGCACTCCGGGAGTGCCGGCAGAAGTGAAAACTTGAATATTAACGTTGTGCATTTTTGATATTTTGGAATGGTTAGGGAATAATTTTGTACGAATTGCTTTAATGATCAGTATAAGAGTACTATCATGTATGTGGTAGAATACAATATTTATTTTTTGCGCTATCGTACACAAACATGACAATTTATATTACATTAAAAAAGTTTATCTCTCAGAAAATCAAATTACATGAATCACATTTAAGCGCACCTAACGACATCTATTGTAAAAAAAATCAATTTTCTTCGCAATAAAGCTGCCACGTTGCCGTCCTAGATAGAAACTTATTATTATAATACGATAAAATAAAAAATATTACTATGTTTCGTCCAATATATTGAAAGTCAACAACCTTTCCAATTTTATTGTGTGTCATGATGCGATCAGCCCACGTGTTTAACCTGGCGCGAGTTTAACATTTATACCCATACAAAAAAAGTGTATAACGTCGCTTAAGTTTTCACTTCAAAAATTAAACTTACCCGTTCATCCCGATCTGGTGCCACCAAAGCTTCTTTTATACTCAAAACTGGTTTAACTTCGCTCTTTCTATACGTAACTTTCACAAGATCGGCCGCGGATATCGCTAGTGTTTGCGTATTAGCTGCGATTAAAGCTATCGGTTGTCCGTAGTAAGATATTTTCTTTGTAGCCAGCAATTCTACTTGGAATTCGTACCAGGGAGCATTGCTTGGTATGTAACTGTTCTCCCCTGGTATATCTTTGGCCGTTAAGAAGCCTACTACTCCAGGGGTTTTCTGTAAGAGCATTGGAAGATTTTCATAACTAATATTACAAAGTGGAATAATATTTATACTAATATATATTATAAAGGTGAAAGTTAATTCGTTTGTTATGCTTTCACTCCTAAAACAGTGAACCGAATATGCTGAAATTTGGTATAAAGATAAATGGGACCCTGGAAAAATCGGTTATAGCCTACTATTTGTCGTGAAAATACAACTTGAAGCGGATGCATCAGGGGGTTTCTGTTATGAAAATAGATTCTAAATTTTTAAAATATTTGGAATATATTTCGAGATCATACGCAGATATCGCTAGTTAAGTATTAGCTGCGATTAAAGCTATCGGTTGTCTGTAGTACGATATTTTCTTGGTAGCCAGTATTTCTACTTGGAATTCGAACCAAGGGGCATTGCTTGATATGTAACTGGTCTCCCTTGGTATATCTTTGGCCGTTAAGAAACCTTCTACTCCAGGGGTTTCATGTAAGACCGTTAGGATATTATTTATATTAATACTGTATATGCGAAATTTTGTATGTCTGCTACCCCTATAACACTTCAACCGATGAATCAGTTTAGATGGATTTCCGTATAGAGATAGTTTGAGTTCCGGGAAAGGATAAAGAATAGTTTTTATCCCAGAAAACATAAACTGCGGGCAACCATTAGGAACATATAAAAGTATTTTTTTTAGTTATCATTTTTATACAATAAAAATATACAATCCAACTAGAGTATTAATACATTATGTTATTTATAATAATAGTATTGCTGATTCAATAGTTGATTGTTGATTAAACGCTATTGTATCAATACTTTAACTAAAAAGGGGCATACTAGGGAAAATTAATTTTCACACAAACATAATTTGCCAATCCCAACAAATGGTCAGTTTTATTTCGGTTACTTTTCAAATTAATAGTACATTACGATACGCGTGACCTACCTCTTCCTCGCTCCGCTCGGGCACTAACTTCACGCCGTGCAGTAATAGACAACTTAGGCCACAAGTATCGTATACTATTTTATAGCAAGTGTGACATAAACCCGCCCCGGACGCAGGCAAGAGGGGGGGGGGGGGGGGGGGGGGGGTGCGATTAGTGTTTTGAAAGTAAAATTCATGTATTGTAATCACAAAGAATTGCAATACAGACTGCAAGTCAAACTCTGAAATGAAAGAATTCCGGTTCAGATTACCAATTTGAAAGTATATTTCAAAAGGAAAAAATCAAATATTTTTTTACAACAAAATAGAATTTCAATGTATCCATGAACGTTTATTCCTTGATTGGCATAGTAAAGTTAAGTTACGCGTATCGTAATGTACTAATTCTACATGAGTGAAGTTGGTCAATTCATTTACACACCGTGCAGAAATAGGCAACTTAGGTCACGGAAAAGCGTGCGTAAAGTGCGGGTTTAGTTCACACTGTGCTATAAAAGTATTATTGGAGTTACTATTCTAATATACTAGTTAAAATTTATATAAAAACATTTAAAGATAAACTAATTCTATCGGGGTTAGGTAATCAATAACAGCAAATAAAGGTCAAATTCTCTCACCAAAGCTTCGCTGGCGTCGATATGGTCGATTTCGCCGAGACATATCGTGGAGAGTACAAAAGCGACGTGCACTTCCTTCCGGGACGGAACTACGTCACAAGCGTATGCCACTTCACCGGAACACTGTAAATATATCATCATTATCAACCTATTAATGTCTCCACTGCTGGGGCACAGGCCTTCCCTATGGATGGAATAGGGACACTGGGCCGTGACCCACGTGGGCCCAGTACGGATTGGTGGGTGCTAACGATTGCAGATGCAATGCGATGCCGGGACCAACGGTAAAAAGTGCCTACAGAGCACGGATTTGAAAGGTTGAATTTCGGCCAATTGACTACCGTTAGAATAATATCGAAATTCTTCTAGTATTTCTTAGGTTTGAAGAGATGGCGCTGCCTTGCAGCCTAAGAAATACTAGAAGAACTTCGATACGGCTATTAGTGGCGCGGTAGCATAGGTCAGCGCATCCGTACACGCCGCTTACGCCCGGAAGAGATCCGAGACCCGTTTGCAGACTGGACCGCGTGGTAGTTTATTTAGTATTTTTTTTAAACTACTAACAGTTACATACTATAAAAATATAAATTATGCAGAATCTTAACATATTTCGTAGCATTAAGTACTGTAGTTTGTCAAAAATTTAGTTGCACAAGCGCCTCTAGCTTAAGCCCTGGTTTGTTGATTGACCACAGTGTTAAGTGTCAAAATTATCTCCTCGATTTTCGACCTTAGCTCAAAACAGATTGCAGAATCTTAACATATTTGGTAACATTAAGTACTGTAGTTTGTCAAAAATTTAGTTGCGCAAGCGCCTCTAGCTAAAGCCCTGGTTTGTTGAGTGGCCACAGTGTTAAGTGTCAAAATTATCTCCTCGATTTTCGAACTTAATGGAAGTTCAAAACAGATTGCAAATTCTTTCATACCTGGTTAAATTAACAAGTACTATCGCGGAATTTTGCGCTCTGTCACTTGGCGAACAAAATGCTTTGAACGGTTTTCTACAGTAGTTTTTACTACGCCACGCCTTCGCGTCGGACGCGCCAATCCGGGCCGCCGCACAAAAGTAAGACAGAGAGCATTTTATTGATTGAATAATGAATTGAATTGCATTTGTTTTAGTTGCCATTTGTCACCCGCATCGTGATCGCGACAGCGCTATACGAAAAAGTAAGACAGCGATAATTACATGTCTATGAATGAATTTTTACTACGCCGCTACCGCAAGCGATTATGGCATTATGGGTGACAGAGCGGGTCTTTCCCCGAGTGTACCTCAGTACTTATACAGATAGAATTTTGCACCTATTTCAAAGAACGAATTTTCGACAGCTCCGTAACGTATCGCACCGAGAAAGTTTCGATGAAAGCTAAGCAGCGCCCCTATCGGACATAAGAACAAACTAGCTTTTTCCATACAAAATTTAACGATGACGATACTTTACAGATATGTAAAAATTCATGTTTGGGCCTCAGAAAGATCGTGAGAACAATGCAAAAGTCATCAATTTACCTGCGCAAGCGCCTCCAGCTTCGGCATTGGTTTGTTGAGTGGCCACAGCGTTTTATCAGTGTCGAAGGTTTGAGTACCGCGCGATACTTCGCGATATATCGCGGAGGCACCCGATGTGTACCGAGAGTTCAATGATTCCGATGGATTCAGAGATAAGATTGCCTGTTGAAAGAAACATATTTGTCTATAATAATAATATTTATTTGTACTCTTCTCACATACTGAAATTTTAAAAAAGTAGTATAGGTAATTTATACAATACAATCAGTAAAGTATCAGCCATCATTAATATATCAAAACTATGTATATATATGAAGTGTGAGAAGTAGGTGCCTGAATACCTACGCATTAAAAGCCTGTAGTACAGGTCGCCAGAATAGTAATAAAATTAATGTAATTAAATCTAAAGAAAGTATAACTAGAAAAAATTCCACGCGGACCAGGCAGCAGATGGGACTCGAACCCGCACCCTTCGCTATCCGGGCAAATGCACTGACCAATTATGCTACCGCGGCCCTGATCATCATCATCAACAGCCTATCATAGTCCACTGCTGGACATAGGCCTCTCCAAATGCACACCACTCAGATCGATCTTGGGCTACTCGCATCCAGCTCCTGCTGGATGCTGCTACACTACGTTTGCCTAGACGCGGTCTCCACTCCAGAACTCGTCTACCCCAACGGTTATCGGTTCTTCGGCAAATATGGCCAGCCCACTGCCACTTCAACTTGCTAATCCGGTGGGCTATGTCGATAACTCTGGTTCTCTGTCGGATTACCTCATTTCTGATGCGATCTTTCAGAGAAACGCCGAGCATAGCCCTTTCCATAGCGCGTTGAGCGACTTTGAACCTGTGGATCAGCCGTGCCGTCAGTGTCCACGTCTCGGCTCCGTATGTCATCACAGGTAGGACGCACTGATTGAAGACTTTCGTCTTTAGGCACTGTGGGATCGACGATGTCAGGACTTGACGTAGCTTCCCAAACGCTGCCCAACCTAGCTGAACTCTTCTATTCACCTCGTCCTCAAAGTTGTTTCTACCTAACTGCAATGTCTGCCCGAGGTATACATATTTTTGAACAACTTCGAGAACGGCACCGTGTATTGCAATCGGTTCCGGTAGAACATGTTCATTGAACATGACCTTGGTTTTATCCAAGTTCATCCGTAGGCCTATGCGTATAGAAGAGTCAGCCAGGTCATTCAGCATCTGTTGTAGGTCCTGCAGGGTTTCTGCCATGATGACGATGTCGTCTGCAAATCGCAAGTGAGAGATGCGTTCGCCATTTATGTTGATGCCATGTCGTTTCCAGTTCAGCGTCTTGAACATATCCTCCATTGCATTAGTGAACAATTTCGGGGAAATAACGTCCCCTTGTCTCACTCCACGATGCAACGGTATGGGACTTGTTTGCTGATTCTGTACTTGGACAGACATGGTGGCGGCTTCGTAGAGACATCTTATCACTTGGATGTATCGCCAGTCGACTTGGCAACGCTGCAGGGACTCCAGGACAGACCAGATTTCAATCGAGTCAAAGGCCTTCTCATAGTCCACAAATGCTAGGCACAGGGGCTGATTGTACTCCTCAGTCTTCTGTATAATCTGCCGCACTGTGTGGATGTGGTCTATGGTGCCGTATCCGCTCCGAAACCCAGCCTGTTCCGGTGGTTGGAAGTCATCAAATCTTCGCGCAAGACGGTTCGCGATCACTCTTGAGAACAGCTTATAGACGTGGCTTAGAAGGGATATGGGTCGATAGTTCTTAAGTAGGGTCTTGTCCCCCTTTTTAAAGAACAAGACGACCACACTCCTACTCCACGCCTCAGGAGTTCTCCCTTCGAACAAGACAGTGTTAAAAAGCTTTTGGAGCTCCCTCAGTACGGGTTTACCTCCAGCCTTCAAGAGTTCTGTTGTAACACCATCCTCTCCAGGGGCTTTTCCATTTTTAAGCTGTCCAAGAGCAATCTCAATTTCGCCAATACTGACTTCTGGCAGGTCTTCGGTGAAGTGGCGTGTTAATGTGGCTCTAGAATCCTCATTTCCGGGATCAGGTCGAGATGCATGTGATGCGTATAACTGGCTGTAGAAGTCTTCCACTTCCGAAAGGACTGCCGGCTTTGAAGCAACAACTTCTCCACTTGCTGTGGTCAACTTCGTCAGATGGCTTCTTCCAAGAGATTGTACGAACACTTTGGACCCTCGATTCTGCTCGATCGCTCTCTCGATCGAGAGAGTATTGGAGCATCGGAGGTCGTGTCGTACGTGCTTACTGATCTCTTGGTTTAGAGTCCGCTTTGCCGACGAAGTAACGGGTGGGTTTTCACGTCGTTCCTTCATTAGCCCTAAAGTCTCTTCCGAAAGCTTTGACTTCCTGCCCTTACGCTGCGTTGCACATAGTTTCGTACCCTCTTCCCTGAGAATTCGAACCACATTTTCGAGGTTTTGGTTTACGTCTGATGTGGTTTCCACGGCAGCAAATCGGTTCTCCAGATTTGACTGGAACGTTTCAGATCCTGTTATAGATTGGAGCAAAGTAGGTTGGAGCCTGGATTTCATTAAACGGACGCGCTCGGCCTTAAAGTTGATATTCAGAGAGCCCCGGACGAGTCGGTGATCACTACCGGTATTGAACCTGTTGATAACGGAGACGTCTCTGAATATGTACCTCTTGTCCGTCATGATGAAATCGATCTCATTTTTAGTCATAGTGTCGGGGCTCTGCCATGTCCACTTCCTTTGGGGCTGTTTCTTGAAAAAAGAGTTCATCAAGAAGAGCCCCTGCTGTTCGAGGAAGTTGACGAGCATTTGCCCCCTATGATTTCTGCTTCCAAATCCATGGGATCCTACTACCGATTCGCTGCAATTCTGTACTCCCACTTTAGCGTTGAAGTCCCCCATAACAACGTTGTAGTGGGTCTTAGTAGTGGAGTGGAGGGCCCTCGATATCTCATCGAACATATCCTCCACTTCGTCGTCCGAGTGTGTCGAGGTCGGTGCGTACACTTGCACCACCTTGAGGCTATACCTCTCGGTGAGCTTTATAATAAGGTACACTACCCTGTTCGACACGCTGGACATTTCCACAACGTTATCGGCAAGGGACTTATTTACCAAAAACCCAACGCCACCTTGGGACTGTTGGTCTCCCCCGCGGAAGTACATTAGGTGGCCCGATTCGAGGGTTATGGTGTCCTCCCCCTCTCTTCGGACTTCACTTAACCCTAAAATGTGCCACCTAATCTTTCCAAGTTCCACCTCGAGTTGCGCCAGATGCGAGTCAAGCCGTAGCGTGCGTCCGTTGTACGTCCCCAGGGTCAGTCTTTTGTGGTGGCCTCCCGTAGCCCGGAGATTCTTGGCACCCCCCGCCCCACCGTTACCGTGGTCGCCACCGTGACCAGGAATAGCGGGGCTGCCGGGAACTGGGGGCCGTGGCTTGAGTTTCTTGTGCATGAAGGTTTTGCCCATAATCGCCACGCTGGGCAGGCGGGTTGGCGATCGCAGAGCGTAGGTTTATTTACTGATGACGCTGCTGCCCGTCACCAGTGACATTTTCTTCCCCTACGTCATTGGATGGTTATACCGCTATCGGTCGGTTTGCCAGAGCCTCGTCTGTTGGTCAACAGGGTGCACCACGTGAAGGTGAGGTTGGCTTGGGTTCTTGCAGGTGTATTTAGAACCCCTTACACCCCCAGAACCCCTTACGCCCTGATGGCCGCGTCGAAATTCCTCTAGCCATTCTTAAGCTGCAAGGCAGCGCCATCTCTTCGCATTGTAGGTAACCCACAATGTCAAATGAATACTTTTACAAGTATTAAACATTTGAAAGAAGAAATAGCAATTATAGTTATAATTTTTATTTTTTAAGCATGTAAAAATGTTTAAATCTAAAGAAAATATAACTAGAAAAAATTCCACACGGACCAGGGGCCCAATTCTCGCGGCGTAGATATTATATCGGCTTCGAGATAATATCGAAAGGAGGGATATCTATTGAAAATATCTACTGATGGTAAAAAATGCTATTCTCGTGGATTTTCGATATTCCAATGATATTATATCTATCGTAGATATTCTGTCACTGCCGAATGCGTTCCGTTTTTCTCGATTAAGTTAACATCATAGTCTATATAAAATAATAATAAATTAGAGCAGAATTTTACAAGCAACAAAATGATATTTTATGAATTCCATTCATATTAAATATGAGTATACATTTTTTGAGTATAAGAAATCTCAACTTTACCTAAATTGTATGCGTGTATAATTTCAACGTTATGTATAATGAAACGTCAATATTATTTAAGATTCTCCCTTTTTAGGGAAGGCAAAGGGAACAATGCCCATACAGCCTAGTCTTTAGTTATATTAATCTTCTTTTTTTACATTAGAATGTCGGTGTGACGCATTCTAATGTTTCTTTGAGTGTTTGGCACGAAATTTATGGAGTTGGCTTTTTCTCTAAGCTTCTGTGAGGTAGTCAACACTACAATAAAATTCTCGCGTCCACTTGACCGGAATAGCGTATATATTAAAGATTCCACTAATTCTTCAGTTGCGCAGACGGTTGTAACACCAAATCACACCAATTTTATTTCACAATAGCCACTATGAACGAATTTTAGAATAATTAAAATAAGACGCCAACCGCACTCGCAGAAATCCCGCCAAAAACTCCGTATCGTCAATAAGAAAATGGTGTCGATTCTGGCATGATTCTCTAAACCTAAACGTAAATTTGACAACAGTGTATCCTTGTCATTCTCCATACAGAATGAAAAGGAGAGACTGATGTTAAATTTAGTTTTAAGTTTAGAGAATCATGTCAGAATCGATACCAATGTCATTCATAACTTTATAGATTTATAACCAAATTTTTGTTTAAACGTAATTTTTTTATGAAGTCGGCGCCCCTCATTTCAAATGGGCCCTCTTGCTCTCACAACGGCGGCGCCTTAGCACAGCAGCAGCAATCACTAAATCATTGATGAAAACATGAATCAACTCATCCATCGTTAATATAAACTGGTGTCGATTCTGGCACGATTCTCTAAATCTAAACTTAAACTTGAAAACAGTGTTTCCTTGTCATTCTCTATACAGAATGAAAAAAAGAGACTGATGTTAAATTTAGGATTAAGTTTAGAGAAGCTGAACGCACAAACTGTGCATGCCATAAAAAAAAGAAAAAGAAGAAGTTTAGAGAATCACGCCAGAATCGACACCATTGTTTACCTACTTCTTTATTTCCTAATTATTTATGAAGGCAGTTAACAACATCTGGAGGTAACAATAATTGGCAATGACACACGACAACACAACAAATAATAGGTAAAAAAAGTGGAAATAACAAGATTGACATGCCAAGATCCATAGATATTTATATATCGAAGGCTCTTTACCAGTCGATGTATGTCTACTGATCATCCGTAGATAAATATCTATTGCGACATGGTGAGAATAGGGCAAAAAGGTTTTCCTTCGATAAAAGGCAGATCATTCGATATATATCGAAGGTGATATAATATCTATGCCGCGAGAATTGGACCCCAGGCAGCAAACGAGACTTAATTAAATATTTATAACACTCACACCAATTAGCCTAGTCAAAAGTAACAAAATAATATTGGGACTATAAAATGAAAATATGTTCTGAATGGGTGGTAGGAAAAAATATTGGACGATTGAAAGTTCTTTTCCTCTCAATAAGTGAATTCTCTGTCTTCCTTTTAGCAAAAGTGACAAGATCAGACCAGTGCCCTTAGCACGAACCATTATCGAATTCGAATAGTTGAATTCGATCTAGATATACGTGAAATGTGTACTGATATTCTCTTTACTTCCATTGTGGCGCTGCTGTTCAAGTTCCCATACGATATTTGATATTGACATTTCGCGCTCGCAAACTATTCGAATTCGATATTGGTTCGAGCAGGTACAGGTTTAACGTTAGTCCACGTTTTGTGAAAAAGGGGAATGTGTTTAAAATATCTGTTTAACTATTACTTACCCTATAAAACAGTCCTAAAGCGATATTCTTCCTACACAAAGGCGACATACTCGTCGGATTATCCGCCGGTATCAATTCCTCATTTAAACTCCTCAAACCTATCTGTAACGTCTTCTCATTGGTCAAATCCTGGCCGACTAAGGCGTTCTCCGTCTCTCTCGCACGTACGAAGGTAGGCGAGATGGCGCCATACACTATACGAGCTTCCTCTACTTTGTTATCACGGTTTAATTTAAAGAAGAACCCTGCATTCACTATGGCTAGAGCGTTCTGAGCCCGTGGCATGATCTGCAATTTATTTATTAGTTATACTGGGTATATTGCAGGAGGAGCTCGATGGCGTGGGTAGTTGGCGCGTTCGGCTGCGATCGTTGAAATTAAGCAACTTCCGCAGTGGTCAGTCATTGGATGGGTGACCAAAAATCTTCTATCCTCCGTGCTTCGGAAGGCACGCTAAGCCGTTGGTGGCTGCATCTGCAGTCGTTAGCCCCCGCCAATCCGCACTGGACCGCGTGGTGGGTCATGGCCCAATCTCCCTATTCCATCCATAGGGAAGGCCTGTGCCCCAACAGTGGGGTCATTAACAGGCTGATGATGATGATGATATTAAAAAAAAAACAAAAACAGCAAATGGCGGACACAATGTCATAAGGAATATTGAAGACTAAGTACTTTTTTTTCTTCGTTTATCAAGTAGATTATCAAAAAGTATTGGACACGTATTTTTTCTTTTTTCACATAATATAAGTATTGCAGAGATATACTGATTTGAAAAGTCGCATGACGTCACGTTTGAGTACACTTTTAAGCGAATATTCACTCAAAAGTGACGTCACGAGCCCCTACTCCCAAACTTTGACGCGCTATAACTTTGTAATTTTTTGGTTGATTGCCCAAAGAAAAGATACGTGTCCATTATTTTTTGATCATCTAACTGACGAACTAAAAGAATTTCGTTTACTGTACCTCGTCATCACCCCTATTACATTTTTTTAATTATGTTATTAACATGCGGGATAAAAATATAAAAGTAATTTTAGCACTAGCACCCATCTGCAGCGCCACCTACCGTTGCTTATCCTGACTCCATCCCCTGGAACTTTGGAACTACATTTAGCCAAATCGTGTTATGGTTAAAACACAAGACAAATGAGTGATGCCATTGTATATATACATTTGTCGTTTTTCCATTGATGATTTTTTTTTAACTCACCTTGTAACTCCGAGTCACGCAACGCGACGAAACAGGCGGTAGTTTTATATGAGTTATAATTTTATTTTTCAAATCAGTCTTCATGAAGTCTTGCATACTCAATGTAGTCTCTTTAAGATCATTGCTTACTGAAAACCGGTGAGTGAATGTAACTATATTAAAATAATTTTATTTCACATAGAAAATTTCATTCAATTTTTGATTATCATGTAAAAAGGAACTTATTATATTTTAGGGCTATTATCTTTGATAAAAAATATAGATACTGAACAAAGGCTATCCCTTGTACAGAAATTTTCACACAACTCTTATCCTGCCTATATAATCAGAATAAATACAAGTGTGTTAAGTGACGTAACACCCACGTATGCAGTCATAACACTATTATATTTTGGGTCTACCTTATAACGCAGCACTTGTAATGTCATAATATTATTATGCATATCTGCGGATGGCATAAACTTCATTTTACAGAAAATCATATGGCATTTACTCGTTTAGCAGACATTCAAACGCATAATTTTGTAAGACAGAATCATTTTTAGGCATAAATTAGATATCTACTGTAATTAAAAACCAGAACCATCATATCGCAGAAAGTTTAAAGTCAGAATAGTCTTTTAGCATTAAAATAATCTTTTCCTTGTTTTTTAATCTATTTTCTATGGTGACTGGCGCTTCGCCGGCCGCTGCCATGGCACGCTCGCTTCGTTCGCTTGGCTCGCGCTAAGATTAGGTCACAACACTTGCCTAACCCACTGACCACAAACACCGATTATGCTTAGCGAAATCATGCAGTCATTTTTTTTCCAAAGGTTAAAATTATGCTTAATAAAATTCTGCCATCAAATGTATGCTATTGAGAATCCGGTCAATAAAAACCCATACTTAATAAAAAATATGCTTTTTTTGTTCGTTGAAAGAAGATAATGAATTTCGGAGCACCAAGATTTTGCCAGATAGAGGGAACCATTATATTTTCTACTCTTTGATTTCGTTTCCTTTCTGTTAAAATTTTTACGTGAATTTATATCGCACATACCTAATGTGACCATAGCTTGGATGAGTTCCAGCAACAGATAAATATCCGAAGGGAACTGTATGTTTTCATGTTTCAAAGCCAAATTGCCGCCGATGGTGCCAATCTGAAACATAATAGAAACTGTAAAGAATTTCGTCAAAATCCTAAAAAATTATCACATCTTTGTCAGACTGTCTTTGCGATAGCAATAGTAAATGAGTACAGGCTAGTTGACTCATGTCAAATTGCACTATACAAATGTTTATTTCTTATAATTTTTGGTATGAGGGACCTAAATACATCGATTTCACTTCATAAAATTAGAAGATGGCTGTAGTAATTTAATTTGAAAAATATTTTTTTAGTCTATGCTTTTTAAACACTAAAAACGCTATCCACCATGATTGTGACGTCAACATAATAGCAAAACAACTAAACGTCATTGTCATGTTACTGTGGTTTCTTTCGTCCGACTAAAATAAAAAACTCTTATATCTTGAAGAAAAGTTTCCGTTTATTGGTTTTCTTAACTAAATTAATGCTGGACGCCGGATTTGTGAAAGCATAAACGTCAAATTCTTTGACTTAGCAGGTACATTCATAACCTTAAAAATTGAAACCACAACATTTCTGGAGTTTTTAACGATGTGTTTCTTTATTCTCGTATAATACAATCATGATAATTACTATATTTATCATGAAATCTATTAGAAATCGTGGTTATGTAATGTAAATTCAGATAGGTTATTATATCCTACGTGCTTGCGAGTGTTTGTTTACTATTGTTCCCGTCATACTATAGATAATCTATAGACTAAAATGGCCGACAGCGTTTTTGTATGTCCATGAAAAATCTATTATAAATTAAAATTTGTAGCTGTCTAGCTAAAAAAAAATACAATACATTTTTTTTCGGTCTAATTGAACAATTATTAACAATTTAAAACATATTTGTTTCTTAGGTTTTCACGCACATCACTCATTAAATAAAACTAGTTTTTACGGGTTAATGCACGAAACTTTATTTATTTATTGACGTTTCGCAGCCTTTTCAGGTCTGCATCGTCAGAATAATGATTTTTAACGTCAATAAATAAATAAAGTTTCGTGCATTAACCCGTAAAAACTAGTTTTATTTAATTTAAAACATATTTCCAAAAAGTGTCAACTAGCCTATTCCTCGGAGATATCTGTAAACCGCAATCTTTCTTTTTATCTGCTCCATTATTAAATGGTTATAAAGGGCAGCTTCTAAGGTTAGGATTATTATTCGATCTTTATGATTTGTAATCAGAGGGTTCTCTATCTCTCTAGTTTTCTCCTTCAAAAGAGCCTATGTAAGATATATCTGTGGTGGTCGCGGCCTAATCTCCCACCCATAAATAAATAAATATTTCCAACACTCACACCAATTAGCCTAGCCCCAAAGTAAGCACTGTAAGGCTTGTGTTATGGGATACTAGGGTAACGGATAGAATACATATACTGTACATATATAAGTATATTTATAAAGAAATACATATTAAACACCCATAACTGGAGTACAAATGCTCGTATTCATCACACAAACATCTGCCCCCACCGGGATTCGAACCCGGGACCTCTCGAGTCGGCGACACCATGAAACCCGGCGTACAAACTACTCGACCACGGAGGTCGTCAAGTAGGTCGAGGCCCATAGTGAAGGCCTGTGCCCCAGCAGTGGTAACGTTAATAGGCTGATGATGAAAAATATCTGGAATAGCCCTAACATCCGTATTCAGAAACATCAAATAAATTAAAAGTACATTTAGTTACGATTTGTCTTATAGCTATTAATGGGATTGTTACCGTGTACCTTGTTTTTTATGAGTCTCCGATATTTCGGCACTGTTGCAAGCGCCATGATCACGGAGTAACTGAAGTAATTGCGGGTAAATGTTATTGGCAGACATATCGGACTACCCTCTGACGTCGTCTTTTACTGCGCTCGATACCCCTACCACTGGTCACATTCTCACTATTCACTCGCACCTGTTCCCGACACACAGTATCAGATAGTGGAACGACACCTTTTTGATTTTTGCGATTTTTGCGCATACGAACAACCACTCGATTCTCTGGACTCATAAAAAGCAAAGTACATGGTAACAATCCCGTTAAAAGCTAATAATGAAATGAAATGAAATATATTTTATTGGAACAAAAACAGTGAATACAATAAATGTGCACGATAATAATTGCATTAGTTATAAAAACTGTGTCGCAACTATTAACGCCCAACTCTGAAGGTACATTGGAGTTCCTTAACATACAACAAACAAACAATAAATATTATGAATGACTTAAATTTAATTTAACGTACTTAAATTAACAAAACATTTAAATGTTAGTTAGTGACCATGAAAGTTTAAAACAATATATGATTTGTCTTATTCTAATGCCATCGCATATGAAGTGGTGATCAGAATCTCTTATCTATTAGACAAGTCCGTCCGTCCGTCCGTCCGTCTGTCTGTGGTGCTGTTTCAGCGGCCAAACCGTAAGAGATAGATAAAGAGAATGTTTAAGTTATAAGTTAAGAATAGTCTGATAAGACTACAAACCGGATTTGAGTAACGTAGTACTTCCGGTTTTCGAGAAATCACGAATTTCAAACGAAACCACACAAAATCTCCGAAGTTCTCAATTAATTAAATACATTTTTTTTTTATTGGTGAACATTTGGTTCACTGGTTTGCTAGTTAAATATTAATTGAAGTATAAGAAATAAAAACTGCTCCTTACGTTTCTAACTGGAGTATGAGCCACCAGATCCAAATGGTCGTAGAAACCCTTCAAGTAATTGAAGTCGTCTCGTTTTCCGATAGTCTTGCATATGTCCATAAATTCTGTAAGTGTCACTCCGGCCCCAATCACAAGGTTCACGTCGACGTAGTAATCCTTGATAGCCTCGATAGAGGAGATGTCTAAGAACACGCGTGGTGGCCGAGACCAATACGGATTGAAAACTCCTGTGGAAATTGAACTTTATGTCCTATCATAATAATATTCGAATTCCGAAAGCAAGCTGTGTGTCGGTTAAAACTATAAATAACTAGCAAACCCGGCGAACTCCGTTTCGCCATCAGATGGCTTCGTTTTATGTAATATTTCGTTTGGTGATTAAAAGAAGATTTTCTTTTTAATTTTTCCTGAGTTTTCTTTGCTATAAACCTCACGGAGCCCGAGACCTTTCCAACGAATGCAAAACCGTGGAAATCGGTACGTGCGTTCTGGAGTTATAGCGTCAGGAAGGAAAACCCGACTTATTTTTATATAGTAGATAAATAAATAAATACACACATCAAAAGTGTCTAGGGATCAAGCATTTTTATGCGGATTTCTTGAGATTGAGATGTGGCTTTGTAATAAATTTATGATTTTATAAATTTATATGGATCCTTTTTGGTGCATTTCATAATTTGAATCAGGAACTGTGAATCAAATTCGAGTAAAAGATGAAAATCAGCTGTCAATATTTTCCCTATAAAAACATACAACGCATTGAAGACATTATTAGTGCTACTGTTTCCCTACTACTGATTAAAACCAACGTTATTATGGAGCGGCGACGTCATTTAAGCAGGGAAGAAATGCTCAGAGCCGTGGGAATGATAGAAGCTGGTTCCCGGCAACGTACTGTGGCTTTAGCTCTGAATACAAGTCAGAGTGTTATCAGTCGACTTTGGACACGATACCGAAGCACTGGTACCGTGGCTGAGCGCCATGGAGGACGGTATCGCTGCACCACACGGAGACAAGACCGATACATTCAAATCTTAACTCGAAGAGCTCCAACAATAACCGCCATGATGTTAGCCGTGAGGCTTCATCACTCTTCAGGGAACTTAATTAGCGACCAAACAGTCAGAAACCGCTTGCATGAAGTGAACCTTCATTCCCGAAGACCGCTACGGGTACCACCTATAGCAATGCACAATCGTAGGATTCGATATCAATGGGCTCTTGAACACAGAAATTGGGCAGAAGAACAATGGCGTTTCGTGTGCTTTTCTGATGAGTCTCGTTTTGGTATGAGACCGGATACAAGACGTATACGACACTGGAGAACCCCTGGACGCCAACAGTGATTAAAATCCTGCCAGGAAGTCCATCCTTATAGTGGTGGAACCATCATGGTATGGGCGGGTATTTGGATCGGCGGAAGAACTGAGTTGATTTGGATCAGAGGCAACCTCAACGCTCAAATTTATGCTGAGACGATTGTATCAGACGTCATCGTTCCTCTACAAGTGCAAATCGGTCCCTTATTTCAGTTAATGCATGATAATGCACGACCGCACACCGCAAGAGTTGTAAGACAGACTCTCGCCGCAGCTAACATCAATGTCCTGCCCTGGCCTGCTCAGTCGCCAGACTTGAACCCGATTGAGCATGCATGGGATATGCTACAGAGAAGAGCTCTGCCGAATATGGAGGGTATCCAGTCGCAAGAAGACCTTTTTTTGTTGTTGCAACGAACATGGGCGGCCATTCCACAGCGTGATTTGGATGAACTCATTTTGAGTATGCCAAACCGATGTTCTTGTGTTGTTAGTGTTCGCGGTAGAAATACGGATTATTAATTGTTTAAGTTACCCAATAAAATTTTAGAGAAAACTGTTATTTCAGTCTTTTTTTCGAACTTTTGTGTTAGTGGTTCAAATGTCAAAAATCCCTTTATTAGGAAAATGGCAAATTTCTTTATTAATGCAAAGGTGACTTGGTTTATCGTTACTGTGACAAACGAAAACACTTTATTTGATGAATCCTTAAAGAAAATTTTAATTAATATCAATCAGGAGAAAAGTTATTGCAAAAATATATGTTGATCCCTAGACACTTTTGATGTGTGTATTTCCAACACTCACAACAATTAGCCTAGCCCCAAAGTAAGCACTATAAGGCTTGTGTTATGGGATGCTAGGGTAACGGACAGAATACATATACTGTACATATATAAGTATATTTATATAGAAATAGATATTAAACATCCATGACTGGAGTGCAAATGCTCGTATTCATCACACAAACGTCTGCCCCCACCGAGATTCGAACCCAGGACCTCTCGAGTCGGCGACACCATGAAACCCGGTGTACAAACCACTCGGCCATGGAGGTCGTTAAATGAATTTCTATTGCATTTTTTTTAATACTAGCAACCGCCAACGGCTTTGTCCGCATTAGCTTTAGTTTTTAGAGATGCTGACAAGAACCTATTTTTATCCGGGATAAAAATATCATAAACTATATGCGTACCAAATTTCATCCAAATCTATTCAGTACCTTTTTGCATGAAAACGTAACAAACTTACTTTTTTATTTATAATATTAAGTTAGGATAAGTATCCCACTATAAATGTTATAACCCCCCCCCCCCCCTCTCGTTTGTCTGTCTATAAGATCTCAAAAACTGCTGAAGCGAATTTAATACGGTTTTCACCATCAGTTACATATTTTTTTTTACTGAAGATTCATATAATAAAATAATCATGCCCGAGAACAAAAACAATAGTTTATAGGAAAGGCAAAGCAAGGTGGGTTCACTAGTATAATATAAATTAATGACACGTTACCTACTCCAGTATTGCCAGATATCAATTTATAGCTATCCAATCCTTCTTTACTTAGTACCTGGAAATGGGATGAAAATATTATTCCTACTTGGATAGCGCGTTGGCTGCGATCGTTGAAGTTAAGCAACTTTCGCAATGGTCGGTCATTGGATGGGTGGCCAAAAATTTACTATCTCGAGCTCCTCCGTGCTTCGGACGGCATGTTAAGCCGTTGGTCCTGTATCTGCAATCGTTAGCACCCACCAATCCGCAATCGGCCCGCGTGCTGGATCATAGCCCAATCTCCCTATTCCATCCATAAGGAAGGCCTGTGCCCCAGCAGTGGGGACATTAATAGGTTGGTTGGTTTAACTGAATAAAATCCTTATTAACAATATATTAAAAACCAGCCAAGTAAGTGTTGTGCTGCGCGCAATGTATGGTTTCGTAGTATTTTTGTAATCTTAAAGTATTAAACAGACAAATTTTTCGTTTAATTCCAGTCTCTTTTTCTAATAATAATAATAATATTTATTGTCTTTTTTTTTACATGTTACAACAAATATTTAAATAAAATTCCATTAAAAATAAGACAATAGGGAATGGCTCAGCCAATGTTGGTCAAGCCTAGACCTGAACCAACGCTGTTTTTCAGCCACCCCATAACAAATTTTACTTAATATTAATAATATAGAGAGCCTCGAATTATCCATTATCTCTTATCTATTAGACAAGTCCGTCCGTCTGTCTGTCTGTGGTGCTGTTTCAGCGGCCAAACCGTAAGAGATAGATAAAGAGAATGTTTAAGTTATAAGTTAAGAATAGTCTGATAAGACTACAAACCGGATTTGAGTAACGTAGCACTTCCGGTTTTCGAGAAATCACGAATTTCAAACGAAACCACACAAAATCTCCGAAGTTCTCAATTAAGTTTTGGTGAACATTTGGTTCACTGGTTTGCTAGTTTTATTATAATTAATATTGAAATATGTTTCGTGCATAAACGTATACGCCTACTTGCTATAGATGTACTCGCCCTACTCCTTTAATTGTCATATTTTTATGTACACAAATTAATATATTCTCATAAATCATATACTGTCCTGCTTATGTTAAGATGTTACGCCGATGTGATGTTACCAGCACTACACTTGGATATTCGTAAATGTTATTTGTAAACGTGAAATGTTTCTCCATTTCACTCTTTATTGTGTGTGATAAGGACAATCTGCTGTCAAAATGACAAATAGCAAACACGAATATCTAAGCGAAGTGCCGGCCTCAATCATCAATGCATCTGTTTAAAACCTTCTGTTGCAGAACCATGCTCCATAAAATATATTTGCATTTTTGATATTTTTTTTTACAATTGTCAATTTATACAGGGTGTTACAAAAATACAAATAAAGCTTGAAGGGCGTTGAAATACATCATATAACGAGTCTTCTCTAATTTTCTTAAAATATTTGCATGAAGTTTTAACTTTTCATAAAAACAGTTATTTTTAATGATCCTGGAACTAGTGACATATCTTAAAATGATCTATATTTTTATTAATCATTAAAAATAACTGTTTTTATAAAAAGTTAAAACTTCATGCAAATATTTTAAGAAAATTAGAGAAGACTCCTTATATGATGTACTTCAACGCCCTCCAAGTTTATTTGTATTTTTGTAACACCCTGTACAATCCAAATGAATCTTTAATTCATTTTCACCTTATTTGACATACCTTGAATACATCCGGTATCGTAAACGCTTTGTACCATCGGCTTTTCGGTCCACCGACTTCCATCAACTGCTCCCGTTTATTGTGTAGTACGCACCAATCTTCATCGACTACACTACATCGTTTCTCGCATTTCTTTAGACATTTCACAACGTGTAAATCTTCTACATCCTACGAGAAAAACCTTTATTAATAAGTATTTTAAATTTAGGTTAGGAAATATATTTCGATAAAATAGTCAGTATTGGGTTACTATTCAAATTCAGTGAAATATCTATATACATATACTAGCTGACCCAGCGAACTTCGTACCGCCATAAAAAAATAGAGGTTGGTGGTAGAAAGTTGAAAATTTAGGGATGTATGTATTTTAGTATGATGTATCATAAAAAAATAAAAAAAAATTATCTAAAATTGAAAAAAAAATTAGGGGTGGATTACCCTTAACATTTAGGGGGATGAAAAATAGATGTTGTCCGATTCTCAGACCTACCCAATATGCACACAAAATTTCATGAGAATCGGGAAAGCCGTTTCGGAGGAGTTTAACCACAAACACCGCGACGCAAGAATTTTATATATTAGATATAAAACTCAAAGGTGACTGACATAGTGATCTATCAACGCACAGCCCAAAGCACTGGACGGATCGGGCTGAAATTTGGCATGCAGGTAGATGTTATGACGTAGGCATCCGCTAAGAAAGGATTTTGATGAATTCTACCCCCAAGGGGATAAAATAGGGAATGAAAGTTTGTATGAAACTTTGTCAATTTTAAACCGATCGGGCTGAGACTTTGCATGCAGGTATAAGAAGAATCATAGATGAATGTCATTGCGTATAATACAAGCCTGAGAACAAAAACTGTAGTCTAAACTTCAGTTCTACACCGAAGCAAAGCGAGGGCGGGCCGCTAGTACTGGTATAAAATTATTGTTAAATTATTTTATATCGGAGAAATTATTCCTATTGGTGTTTTGGTATATTTATTATTATTATATAGCTTATCAAGCGAGTGACCACTACAATTTCAAACATACAAACATAGTCATATATATATAAAATATGCATAAATCAAGATGTTCTCTTTGTTTTTCAAATTAAAATACTTCTGCTAACTTAAATTGATTACTTAGGACGCTTGCCTGTTCATATACAGGGTGAAATTGAATGTTTCTATGAAACTTCGTGAGATTGTTGGGTTACATGTATAGAGTATGCCTGATTTTTTTCGGATTTTTTAAAATGAAATTTTTCGTTTTTTAATTTTTTATTTGGTTATTTTTTTGTCATTTCTTCCTTATGAGTAATTATTCATTTTAAACACGTCTACATAGAAGTTATAAAGCAACTTAAAATAAGCACTACTTACTAAAAAACGGAAACTTAATGAATGCCTTCATTATGCCTCCAGTCGAGATCAGCGCCGGTCGGGGCGACGACCGGCGGTCGCCTGTATAGGTACCTACTACACGCGCAGATGACTCGGCGCTTACCTACTCGCCGCTTTGATCCACACTATTCAAAAACATTACAATAAAATAGTCTTAGATGCTATATTATAATTATTTATTCACTGATACACAATACCTTTGTATATTATTTCATAAAGCACAGGTAATTAATCAATAAAATAAATCTTCTGTTAGAGCAATTAAAAATCCTTTAAAGTTAATATGACTGTCACGATTTTAAATAGGTAAAGCCTGTCTGTTAGTGTAAGAACTTCTTTTTTATTGTTAATGTTAGTTGCCTCGTTTAATTAAAACTTAAGCACAAACGGCTTAAAATTGTGAAAAATCATACAGATCAAATCGGTATAACTTACGAGCTTAGTGAAGGAAGGAACTCTTCGTATCTGATTTGCCCACGTCATGAAATTCCCAACACATGTAATCTGGCAACTAGCGCCGGTTGCGGCGTCTTTGATGATGTGAATTCCGCCCACCTCCCCTCATCCCCGCACGCGGTGGTTTGCTTTGATTGCATGCAAAACGCAGTCGCAAGTATATCAATCGCACGTGGGCGTGCGCATCTTTTGACTTAGTGACATACACTGTGATAATTTCATTATGCCTCGGTATACGAACCAAGAATATTTAGAGATGGTGTACTGCTATCGCGAGTGTGACGAAGTAGGTTTGGTTTACGAATGAGTCCCCAAACCATAGAAGTTGCATTTTGTGCAGTGAGCAGTGATAGGGACACTTTAAAAAAGGTGAAAAGACACGTCCGCAAACATGCCTACCTTTGTTTGCAGCAAAATGGTGGTTTAGAGCAACAATTTTGCAGATAATAATTTAAGTCTCTTTTTATTGCTAGTGTAAATACTTTTTGATTAGAAACAACTAATTGTGTACTACCAGTGTGATTGATTTGATAAAAAGTTCTAGTGAAAAAAATGAATATGTTCCTCGTTCCTCGTTGTACCTACCTACATCGCCAGTCTCGTAAGTACTTTTGAATACCTGGTTATAAATTTCATTCTGACCCAAGTATTGAACTGCAATAAGTATTTCTTTTTGTTTAACATTTGCCTATTTCCAATCGTGACAAAATTATTATTAACTTTTAAAGTTTTTCTCTGCTTAAGAGAAGATGACATTTGTGCTTATTATTTCAATTTCAATAAAGGCATCTAAGACGATTTTATTGTATTGTGTGGAATCAAACGAGTCAGCTGAGCTCTGTGTAGAGCTAGGTACCTATTCACTCAACGGCTGGCGGGCGCGGTCGGTCGTTGACCCGCGGTGGAATTTTAATGTTTTTCCGTTTTTTAGAAGTGCTTATTTATTAGTTGTTTTTCACTGGATATGTAAGTTTGTTTGTTTAAAATGAATAACTACTCAAAAGGAGGAAAGGACATAAAAATACACAAATTATAAATAAATACATGAAAAAAATATACTTCAAAAAAATCCGAAAAAAAACAGGCATACTCTATACACATAACCCAACAATCTCACGAAGTTTCATAGAAACATTCAATTTCACCCTATATGATCCTTACTCGTACGCCTGGTCCTTCGAGCAGGATTTGGAATTACCGCCGGTAAATCATTTTTTCTATAGCCTAAGTAATTCAAATTTATGTTGGGCAATGCAACCATCTTACTCTTTTTAGTAAATATAAACATCGATATTTAACTGATTCCACACATATAAAATTTCAATCTTCAGAAAATATGCAGGAATTAGGTTTTTCAGATGCGCATAGTAAATAGAAGAACACATGCAGTGCAGTGATGAAAATTGATGAGCAATCCTTAAAATGAGCAGGTTAATTAGAGGAAATTAGGAACCAGCACCAGTGACAGAAAGACCGACAAGCAATCGACTACAGTATAGCCTGTGATGTCATATAAGCACTAAACGTTACACTTCTATAACACCTAATGGAAGCGTTTTTTCAGATAATACTAATATAACACAGATACCAGTAAGCAGGCTTTTTAGTCATTTTACACCACACCAGAGTTGATGTACGAGAAATGAATATTTATTCCAGAAATCCCCACTGATATATCCCCACCAGTGGGAATTCTTACTGTTCTTCCAGACATAGCCAGTTGGGATTTCTGGAAAAAATTAACAATCTCCACTGATAGGGATATATCAGTGGGGATTTCTGGATTAAACGGAAATAAAGACTGAAGAATAGAAGAAATAGATAAAAGGTACAAGCGCCAAAAGTGGAAACTATAATAATGCAGCTGCTGATACCTGCAACTTGTCTTTCAATTCTGGATCAAAGTCATTCGCGAAGCTTTTGAAAGCATCTAAAATGGGCCTGTAGCCGGTGCAACGGCACAGGTTGCCGCCGAAAGATTTTTCCACCTCCTGGACTGATAGCTTAGTGTTGAAGCTTTGATATAGACTGGAAATAGATAGATAAATCATTTACCCCTCAATACAGCACACAAATTCAAGTAAACAAATAGAACAAGGTATGTAACTGTGTGCCGCAACGACAGAAAAAGGCAAAAACTCAGCGATACCTTTGCTCTGAGAGCAAAGCACTGGTTTTCAGTTCTGCCTAGAAAGCGCGTAACGCGAAACGACATCGACGTGACGTGATTAATTTAATATTAAGAAAATTAATTTTAATTATATTATTATTAAATTAAATTATTATTGTTAAATTATTATAATATAACTATACATATTATTATCATTCACCAAAAAATATTAATTAATACTGTTATTATTACTTTTTTAGTGTTTAGATTAATATTGAATTTTTGAATTAATATTTACCCATCAGCATTTAACACACACAAATTGTGACACACCTATTAGAAACCATACGACCACATGTGGTTATTCCTAACCTTTGCATTTCTAGTAATATTAATTTTAAATGTTTTTTAAATGTTTGGCGAGATATGATCCTCCTTAGTGGAGGTGGAATGTTGTTCCAGCACCTGGTCGCCTGATAGCGGAAACTGCCCTTACATTGAAATACGAATGTAAAGAGTAAATTTGTGTTTTTTTATTAAAACAAGCACTTTGCTAGATATTAATATTACTTTCTTGGGACCTTGATTAATATTTAACATCAAAATAATAATTATTATTGATGATACATTAAAGAAAGGATTTAATAGTACTGTGGATTCTTTAATAAGTGCAAATTATTGATCTGTTAAAAATTTTAGATACTGAAGAACAATCTTATGGAAAATGTATTCAGAGGTTGAGAAAATGTCTGGTATTCTGCATTCTCAGGTAAGTAATTCGACTCGAGCAGCAAATTCTATAGTGTTAGCAAATAAAATGTCATGAAATTCAGTCCGCCTGAACCCTTTTATAACAATAAACTAATTTGGAATGAACATTCTTGAGAATTTGAACGATTCATTATACATTCTCATTATTTAAGAGCTTAGCTATGGGCACATTTGGGTCATTCAACGAACACAGACAAAACATGGATTAACTAATCCAAGCTTATTCTGCGTTTATTAATAAGGGTTTTAGAGTTTTCTTGCCAAAATATTTTTATTATAAAGATTATAATAACATTTTTTGCTAATTAACAGAACCAGATTATCCTTACCGTTTAACGGAGTTTAAATATTAAAACTGGCCAGTTGGACGCGACCAGCCTCGTCTGTATGGCGTGGTAGCCATCCTTGCGGTTACCTACATCTTCCAACGTGATAATGTCCTATTGATGGCACGTATATAACTAGATACATTGCCAGCCGGCCATAATCTCACCTGTACATAGTCAGGACCCAGCCAGGCGTGCAATACCCGCACTGGGTCCCGAAGAACGCGGCCAGCCTCGTCTGTATGGCGTGGTAGCCGTCCTTGCGGTTACCTACATCTTCCAACGTGATTATGTCCTAATGATGGCACGTATATACCTAGATATATTGCCAGCCGGCCATAGTCTCACCTGTAAATAGTCAAGACCCAGCCAGGCGTGCAGTACCCGCACTGGGTCCCGTTGAACGCGGCCAGCCTCGTCTGTATGGCGTGGTAGCCGCCCTTGCGGGTACCTACATCTCCCAACGTGGTTATGTCCTATTGTTGGCACGTAATATAACTAGATACATTGACAGCCGGCCATAGTCTCACCTGTACATAGTCAGGACCCAGCCAGGCGTGCAGTAGCCGCACTGGGTCCCGTTGAACGCGGCCAGCCTCGTCTGTATGGCGTGGTAGCTGTCCTTGCGGTTACCTACATCTTTCAACGTGATTATGTCCTAATGATGGCACGTATATAACTAGATACATTGCCAGCCGGCCATAGTCTCACCTGTACATAGTCAGGACCCAGCCAGGCGTGCAGTAGCCGCACTGGGTCCCGTTGAACGCGGCCAGCCTCGTCTGTATGGCGTGGTAGCCGTCCTTGCGGTTACCCACTCCTTCCACTGTGGTTATGTCCCATTGGTGACACGATAGTATGTGGACCACGCACTGTAGGTCATCAATAGACTAAGATTACTTTGAAGTATAAAGGAAAACAGGTAAGTGTATTATCTCTGCTTACTCCCCCCCCCCCCCCCCCCATATGATATCAATATGTTTCCGTAATAGCTTCAATTCTTCAATGAAATTCAAAAGACTGCCGATTTGGCCATGGCCAATAAACCATTTTCTTTGGTCGTGTCTAAATCGTACCGCTTTTAAAATAATTCCTAAAATTGCCACAAGGTGTAGTTGTCTCACACGCGTGCGCTACGAGGGCTTACGCACCCACTGGGCAGACTCATATTAATACAATAGCAATTATTTTTTGGTTTTCATAATGTAGAAAGCAAAGAGAATGCAGCATCACATCAAGGAGTCATCCATAAAGTACGTCACACGTTAAGGAGGAGGGAGGAAGAGGGAACGAAGTGTGTGTATGACAAGGGGTGGGAGGGTTCTTAAGTTTCGTGACGTCACATTTCGAAATCTAATACTTTTGAACTATTATCAAAATACTTTAAAATATTAAGAACGCCATATGTATGGGATTTAATTTCTATTGTTATCTACTTTTCGGAATTAACTTCGGAACTGCTGTTTTATAGATGCAAAACAACGAAATATGTGACTATATATCAGGCCTTAAGAACCTTAGACCTAACTAAGGTCCTCATGGAAAAAATCATAAACTCAATATTGTAAAAAAAATGTTACAATATTGAGTTTATGATTTTTTCCAGTTCAAATTGATCATTTTGATACAACGAATATTCACTAGATGGCGGCATAATCGTTGTTACGGTTTTAAGTCTGTGATCTAAATTTGAGGTGCCATACTGGCCTTAGTAAGATAAGCCACAATAGTTAAAAGATGAGTTAGGCCACTATGGTTCTTATGTCCTCATATCACTCTAGGAAGAGGGGGGAGGAGGGCTCACAAATGTAACCAACAGTGACAAGCAAGGGCGGATCCAGAGGGGGGGTCATGGGGGTCATGACCCCCCCCTGGGCTGGGTCTATCTGTACCCACTTCACAATCTGTACTTCACAATCTATACCTATTATGACTTGACCACGACTATATGACCCCCCCCCTCTGGCGCCAAAGCTGGATCCGCCCTTGGTGACAAGAATGGGGGAGGGGGAAAATCACGATATTAGTATGACGTACTTTAAGGATGACTCCTAATTCAAAGGCAAGTAATAGCTTTTATTCAGGCGATGGTGACGATGACGTGACCACGGTAATATTATCTATACAGTATTGTGACTCGGCCCAGGTCCTTAAATTAACTGCCTAGGGCCGAGCGGGGCGTGGACACGCGGTAGGGCTGCCCGCCTACAGTATTTTAATTTCATCTACATAATTGAGTTTCTGTCAAGTTTTGTGATTGTAAATATTTTATTTCACATGTTAAAAAATTGTTGTGAATTAATTAGGAGGTGTTACATAAAAGACATGTTATTTTAAGTGTAATATGCAATAAAAAATATATATAAATTTGAGACAGAAAAATATTTATGCCTCGACTGAGACGTACGAAAAGCTTTATTATTAAATTTAATAGTATAATAAATACGCATTTGTATAAAAAGTTTAATTATTGAAGAGTTCAAGCAACCAAAAACACCACAATATCGACTATTGCTCTTAACTTAATTCAATCAAATATTCACAATACAAACGTTTGAGCACGGCTAACTGCTTAAAATACAATTGACACCGTTCAGTCGTCGCTGCGGCGCATTCGCGACTGGATGCCCACCGAGTGCCGCGCGAACTCGAGTGGCGTAGGTATGACACACTTTCCGACCGTTTGTATAAAGATAGAATACTTTATAGATAATATTACCGTGACGTGACGGTATCTTACCGAGTTGACAGCGATGGTTTCCTTCTCTTTGGTGACGGGATGGGTCCGAGTAACAGACACGATGCAAGCGCCACAGCCGCCCTCGTGGCACATCGCTTTAGTGCCAAACAGTTGCAGGTAATTATGGAGGTAGTCGTATAGCGACGTCAGGGGACTGACCTCGGAACCCGCTAAAATTATCATATTTAATCATCAGTAAGCGAGAGGAGCTCGATGGCGCAGGTGGTTAGAGCTTTCAGTTGCGATCATTGAAGTTAAGCAAATCTCGGAGTGGTCGGTCATTGGATGGGTGACCAAAAATCTTTTATCTCGAATTCCTCCGTGCTTCGAAAGGCACGTTAAGCCGTTGGTCCCGGCTGCATCTGCAGTCGTTAGCAACCGCCATTCTGCACTGGGCCCGCGTGGTGGGTCATGGCCCAATCTCCCTATTCCATCCATAGGGAAGGCCTGTGCCCCAGCAGGGGGGACATTGATAGGCTGATGACGATGAAGAGGCTTTGGCTTTGGTACTAAATGTGCTAAAATTAGCGTTCAAACTTTGAATCAATTATGCTTCTTCAGCTGCACATACAAATTAATCGTCTTCCACAACCTCTTTTATGCGTGTAAAATTATCGCCAATCAAGCTATCGTTTCCATGCAGCCCGCTAATCATTATGATAGAACTACAGTCAAAACCGAATATATCGACATCGTTTATAACGACTTGTCGCTTATTACGACCAATTGGCAAGGTCCCGACCGAAACCCTCTATAAACCCTTAAGAAAAAAAACCGCCTATAACAACACCGGATATAGCGAAATACCGCTTAAAACAACTTATCAATATATAAATAAATACCAAAGAATATTGATAAATTTCATATCGATATTCATCGGATATAATAACTAACCATTTCACTTGTTCCACCAAAACAAAATATACTGTAGGTACTTCCATTTTTTCATAGTAAACTTATTACTTCTTTTTCGATATTTTATACGAAAACAAGCATATATTCATTATCTATAACCATACTACATACATACATATGAGAATAATATGATTCTTTTTGTATATTGCTTTTAATAACTACCGGACATAATGTCCGAAGTTATATGGTCCCTTCAATGTCGCTATATCCGGTTTCCACTGTGATTCAAATTATTATCATTTAGCTTCCAATTAATAAATAATTAAAATGACGAACTCTAATTTTAGCGCATTTAGTACAAAAGCGCAGGTGTGGGAGAAACATAAGAAGTACTAGAATAAATTCGGCCATTAGGGTCTCAGTACCATAGTAATACGTCAGTTGGTAGGTCCACCCAGATGGTGAAAATAAATCTTTATCTTGTCTGATGCCTGTGGGATGTTTTCAATTAAAATTTTCTTTAGTTTTTTAAATACTAAAGTTAAATGTCTTTGGATTCTATGCAAAAAGTAGGTAACCTCATGGAGAAAAGCAGCTCAGAACAGTTTAATTTCTGTCACGCAATCATTGACGGTTTTGTTTACAGGCATTCCCACAGTTTCAAACAGCATTTATTTGCAACTAACGACTTTGTTTTGAGGTAACAATAAAATGAATGGTGAGAGCCATCTATCAGGCTACTACACTATTTTGTGAGAACGCTGGAAATAAATCACTATAGACCTTTAAATGTCCTCACTGTTGAGGATAAGGAGATAATTATACAATCTCTAATGTTTTGGTACATATCTCAGAAAGTAAAAGGTAACGGATACATGACTCCTGTAGAATCATTTCAGATTTTTTTGCATTAGGCATGAACCACAATCAAGGGCATATTTTTATATTATGTGCCTTGGGCCGTGTATAGTTATTTATTGATACCATATAAATAGCCCTAGTGCGGTAGGACCACTGGTACATTGTCGTATACTGTGGTCCTACCTGTAGGACAAACCGGTAGGACTACTTTTAACTTAACTATGTACCTTGCCAGCTGTGGTTAGATGTGTTTGTGTTTATTTTAAGTAGTTAATTACATAAAATTTTATTAAAATATACCATTGCAGCAGACGGGACTCGAACCCGCACCCTTCGCAATCCGGGCGAATGCACTGACCAATTATGCTACAGCGGCCCTCACGGACCGCATCGAAATTCTTTCTAGCTATTCTTAAGCTGCAAGGCAGCGCCATCTCTTCGCATTATAGGTAAACCCACAATGTCAAATGAATACTTTTCTAGTTTTTTCTAGTTATATTTTCTTTAGATTTAAACATCAAGCAGTTACATGCTTTAAAATAATAAAAATTAAAAATATACCATTATTCATTTATTACCAAAAAATACTTACAAAGAGAATAATGCTCTCCATTTACTGTAAAATATATTTTATCCATCTTGGGAGATAGGATTCACTTCATCAGTTAGAATATTTCTAAAACAATGAATAGCACATATTAAAGGGTATATTAAAATTCACAAAAAATAACATTGATTTTAGAGCAGTGGAGAAACAAGGGAACCAAACTATGTACCTCTCACTATTTGGTTGCAGGTAGGGCAAGTGACAGTAAAGTCAAATTAGTCAAGTAACTATTTTTTTGGTGGCTGCACCCTGCACTTCATATGTGGTCAGGTGCGGTCGCAACTGGAAATTTTGGAGGGGGTCACTCACTACACTAATAAAAAATAGGTATCTGGAATAAAATAAACATTATTCCACAAGACACTTTTTGACACAAGATTTTTCAATTTGACCTTAGATTTTGGGTGGGTCATGTCCCCTGTGACCCTTTCGGACCGCGCCTGTATGTGGTTACAATTTTACTTTGTTTTCTTTCTGTTGAAACAATTTTTTTAGACAGTACTTGTTCTCTTATTGGTCTGTGGACAGTACCCACTTGGCAGACCCACAGGTGCAAGGAGAAACATGATTTTGATTTTGTTTATTTTCAACTTTGTGAGTGTTCCATGACATGTTTTTTTTTCCTATTATTAAAGTCTTTGAAAATTATTAATTATAAATTATTCCTTTCTCTATATTGTTAAGCAAGAAATAACCAAAACATCTGAGCCACACAATTACGAATTATTAGTGAGTCTAAATTAGTATTGATTTCTGATAGATAAATTATTTAATTCTTAAAACTTCTGTACCCCAAGTAAGAGATATTAAATCCTGCATATAACTTGGACATTATGGCTTTGAAATCATTAGTTGGTTAATATTATAAGGTTGGTGTATTATGACTAGTTTTATGTATTACCAAATTGTGATCGATAGGTACTCACCACGATAAAATTTGATTTTTAATCAACTTAAGTAGCTAATTACTGAAATATCTTTTTCTTCAAAGAAGCCCTATTCTGTTTTCTAATGAGTGTACTGTTATGAACTTGGTAGTTTCAACACATTCTCTGGTATCGGTCAAATTGAGAGCTTCTTTTATTTTTTTACTCTAAAAATTAATTAAAAACTTGCTTTAAAACTTTCAGAGGTCATTGAACTTGGCGCTGAAAAACGACAACAAAAACTCAGTGTGACCAGATTATATGTTTACGAAAATACCGAGATACCTCAAAAAAATATTGAAGTCATAATATACTGACCTCATAAGACAGACAGAGCAAATCATAATAAATATTTATGTATGATGAGTGAAATCAAAACACGAATATGGGTGTGTGGTGGATTTGAATTACATTTTTCACTTTTAACCTCAGAATCCGCGGTGTGATTTTAAATTCGTATCATCATCAGCCTATTAATGTCCCCACTGCTGGGGCACAGGCCTTCCCTATGGATAGAATAGGGAGATTGGGCCATGACCCACCACGCGGGCCCAGTGCGGATTGGTGGGTGCTAACGACTGCAGATGCAACCGGGACCAACGGCTTAACGTGCCTTCCGAAGCACGGAGTGTTGAGGAAGTGGATCGTAGAAAGGAAAGACAATCAGCTCGTAATATTTAGTTTATGTAGTCCCAATCACATTACATTTTATTATAGGTATAGACCGTTGACGTATTTAGCGAAGTCCTAGAATGAAGTAACGGTGACATAGAGAACAGGCCATCGAGTCGCCCTAACAAGAAGGTTTTACATAAAATCATATCTTCAACACACCTCCTTGATTTTATAGAAAACAACAAAAAAACAACTTAATACCAATATAACAATTTAAAATAATAATAAAAGGACTTAACAAAAACATAAGACTATCTGTCATTAACATTTCATTTGACGTTTGCTAGTTCTCTAAGTTTTATAAATTTATTTTTTCCTAATGCCTTGGTCAATATATCCGCTAATTGTTTTTCTGTATGAACCTTTACTATATTAATAATACCCTTTTTTTCATAGTCATATACGAAGTGGTAGCTTATGTCAATATGCTTAGAATTTTTACAAAACTTTCCGTTCTTTGACAACGCAATAGCCCCGCTGTTGTCTTCGTAAATTTTTACTGGATCCCTAATCTCAACGCCTAAATCGCATAACACACCTATTAACGGAAGTACTTCTTCAACACAGTCTGCCAAAGCATAATACTCGGCATGAGTTGATGCTCTTGACACTATTTTCTGTTTATGTGACTTCCACATGATCGGATTATTAAAAACTCTTATAAGGATTCCTGTCGTCGACTTCCTATCCGATTTATCTGCGGCCCAATCAGCATCTACATAAGCGTCCAATTGTTCTTCGTAGTCGGCGTCATAATTCATCTTTAAATGTCTCGTACAGTAAAGATATTTGAGAACTCGCAAGGCATATTTGAAATGAGTATCACTATAAGCATTTTGGAAACGACTCAAATAGTTAACGCTATAAGATACGTCTGGACGTGTTCCACTCGCAACATACAGAAGAGCTCCAATCAAGTTTCTATACTTTAACGTTGCACTGACATCTTGACTTGGATCAATGCTTAAATTCATTTCCATTGGTGTCTCAAAGTTCTTTGATTCGATTACGTTATACTTTTCAGCTAAACTTACAATGTATTTTTCCTGGCTTAAAGTCATTCTGCCTTCTTTTGGTTCAAAAACTACATCTATTCCAAGATACTGTTTCACCTTTCCCAGATCTTTCATTCGGAATCTATTGTTCAATAGCCGTTTAACTTCGTCAATTGCCTCATTTTTCTCCCCACAAATCAAAATATCATCCACATACAGACATAGATATATATTTACATTATTTACACACCCTGTATACAAACAATAGTCATAGTCTGACCTATTGAAATTAATGCTTGACATGAATTCGTGAAAGCATTCATACCAATCACGTGGGCTTTCTCGCAATCCATAAAGAGCTTTTTGTAGTTTGCACACTTTATTATTCTCTGTACAATATCCATCAGGTGGGTAAATATAAACTTCAGACTTAATACTCCCATTCAAGAATGCTGTCTCAACGTCCATTTGTTCAATGTTCCATCCTCTTACACATGCAATTGATAATAAAGCTTTCATTGTCGTCATTCGCGCTACTGGTGAATAAATTTCCTCGTTTTCTTCATACATCTGTTGGAAACCTCGTGCGACTACTCTTGCCTTATACTTTCCATTCGACTTGATCCTAAAGATCCATTTAACATCTATTATTTTCTTATTTTCAGGTCTCTCAACTAAAATCCACGTTTCGTTCTTTTCCAAACTGTTCAATTCCTCTTTCATTGCATCTTTCCATTTATTTACATCCGGACTTTTTATTGCTTCATCATACGTATCTGGTACCAGTGCATCACTAAAATTTATATATACAACATGATCTTTATATTTCTCTGGCATTTTTCTATCTCTTTTTGGTCGGATATCCGTCACCTCCTCAGTCACAGCTCTACTTGATTTTTCCTTTGAGTCATCAACACTATCATAAAATTCTTCGTTTTCATCAGTTTCATCTTCAGTATTTACTATCTTTATTATCTGTTCTTCTTTCGTACCTATAAATGTAACGTGACGACTAATGACTATTTTTTCATTTATTAATACTCTGTATCCCGTATCTGTGTATCCTACTAATATACCTTTTGTAGCCTTTGGGTTAAGTTTTGATGTGCGTAATTCGTCTGGAATTTGTACATAACACTGTGATCCGAAAATTTTTAAATTACTTACATTTGGCTTCCTCCCCATAAAAATTTCGTACGGTGTTTTTTTCTCATACGTATTTGTTAATATTCTATTACCTAGATATGCTGCAGTCATAACGCATTCAGGCCAATATTTCTTATTTATCTTTGCTTCTGTAAGCAGACACCTCGCTCTCTCCATTATGGTTCGGTTAAATCTTTCAGCTACACCGTTCAACTCGTGTGTATAAGCTGGCCCTGGTTTTAAATAAATACCTTTTTGCTTTGTGTAAGTGTAGAAATCGTTGTTAATATATTCTCCGCCATTGTCACATCTGATTTCTTTCACTCTCTTACCTGTTTGATTTTCCACCATATTTACATAATCTCTAAAACAATTAAAAACATCACTCTTGTTATTAATTAAGCATAGATAAGCTAACCTACTATAGTCATCTATGAATGACACAAAGTATCGTTGCCCCTTATATCCAGTGGGCGTAATCGGGCCTGCCACATCCGTGTGGATAATCTCTAACAAGTCTGTTGCCCGTCGTCTTTGATTTCCAAAAGGTAGATTTGTCATTTTGTTCATCAAACAAACTTCACATTGCACGTAACCCTCGCCTAAAGTGATAGGTAACCCATCTACAACCCTATGCCTGCACATTTCATTTAGTTTCTTAAAGTTAGGGTGCCCAAGTATTCTATGCCATTTTTCTTTTTCTGACATAATGTTACCACTTGTGTATGCTACTGTACCTGCACCTAAATTAACTCTGCCATCTAATTCGTACAATTTATTTTTCTTGCGTGCGACGGCCATTAAACCTATATGTACATTATATATATTTGCTATTTCTCCTCTAAATTGAATTGTATTATTTCTATTTACAATGCATGAAACGCTTAATAAGTTCTTTTTCATATTTGGAACATAATATACATTTGAAACATCAATTTTATTTGACTTACCTCCTGCTTTACAGTACATTGTTACATTTCCCATTTTCTCCGACTTAAGACAAAATCCATCACCTACCTTAATATTCACAGGTGTTTCTAAAATTTTATAATCACGAAAGAATTTATCGTCATTTACGATGTGATCGCTACATCCGCTGTCCAATAACCATGTTATATCCGCTTTCGTTTCGGTAGCTCCTGTCATCGCTTCTACTTCTACGTTGAATCCAAATCCATCACTGGTGCTGCTACTTTGTCCTGTATTCACGCTTCTATTGTTGTATCCTCCTCTATATCCTCTGTGAGTTCCTCGTCGTCCGCCTCCATATCCGCGTCCTCTACCACGACCATGACCACGACGTGCTAACTTAGGACAATCCCTCCTGTAGTGTCCTAGGCGGTTGCATTCAAAGCAGTTATCATTATTCCTGGACCCATCTTGGTGTTGATTTGATCGAGAACTGAACGTATGAACTTCTTGTTCGTTCTGTTTTCTTTTCATTTCAAGTAGTAATTTGGACTTCACGTACTCCACTGTCCGATCCTTTGTCGGCATCGCATCAACAATATTTACAATATGTGCAAAACTCTCAGGTAATGCAAGCAATAAATAGTTCAGTCTATCCTCTTCCGACACGACTTCTCCAGCATTTTTCAATTCATTGATTTGTTTTTCAAATGTTTGTATGAATTCTAGTATATCGTCGCCATCTTTGAATTTTGTTTCTAGTAATTTCCTTTTAATCAATAGTTTATTAGCACTGCCTTTTACTAAATACATCTCGTCAAATTTTTTAATCATCCCGTAAGCCGTAGTTTCATTCATTATTATATCGAGCTGAGTATTATTTACGCTATTCACTATAATATTTCTTGCCTTTAAATCAATTTTTCTCCATTCCGTGTCCGTCATACCTTCATGTTTCATATCATTTTCCACAGCTTCTTGGCATTCTTTCATTTGTAACAACAACTTTAATCTAAATTTCCATTTTTCATAATTTGCACCATCAAATATCTGAATGCCCACTTCTCCTATCTTTACTTCCATTTTCGGTACCTTACGTCTTCAATTGTTTCGGTACTGACCTTGTCAAATAATTTCCACTTATCTTCCTCTTTCTATTTATTTTATTCAACCACGCTCCTTTGCTACCATGTTGAGGAAGTGGATCGTAGAAAGGAAAGACAATCAGCTCGTAATATTTAGTTTATGTAGTCCCAATCACATTACATTTTATTATAGGTATAGACCGTTGACGTATTTAGCGAAGTCCTAGAATGAAGTAACGGTGACATAGAGAACAGGCCATCGAGTCGCCCTAACAAGAAGGTTTTACATAAAATCATATCTTCAACACGGAGGAGCTCAAAATAGTAAATTTTTGGTCACCCATCCAATGACCGACCACTGCGAAAGTTGCTTAACTTCAACGATCGCAACCGGACGCGCTAGCCAGTTGCGCCATCGAGCTCCTCAAATTCGTATTCTTATTTCAAATTTGAAATGTCAAGTTGCCGCGGTGAAAATTGAACAGCCAAAAAAGTCAAAAGTCAAAGAGTTTGTTTTTACAGAATAGCACTAATGATCGAACAATATACCTACTTGAAGTTCACAAAATTTTATATACCTATTTATAAAATATTAGTGACGTTGTAATCACTACAATGCACTAAAAAATTATAAAATAATGTTTCTGGTCACACTACAAAAAAAATGACAGCGCATTTTTTTTCTATTCTGTTCTCTCCGTTCATTAAACGGAAAAGGCAAAGCTGACAAAATGGGCCATACAGCCAAGATTACAAGTTCTTTTCTTCAAGTCTTCTTGTAGAATCAGTTGAAATCCAAGTTAAAATGTCTTTTATAGTACTCTTGATGTAGTTGTACAGTGCAAATAACATTGTGATTTTTGAAGAAGTACAAGTAAGGAACGCGGGATGTTCTCGGCTGAATTGTAAATTTCAAGCAAACTATTACTGACAAATATTCGTTGAAGAGCAAATGATGAAGCGATTGATTTGAGATGCTGCAGAACGAGCATGCAAACTTTTGTTTGTAAAGTTTCATGCCAATGATCTAACTAGGCCTTTTTTATTTTGTCTTTAAGAATTTCTATACAATTAGAATCAGGAATCTTTATGTTTTTCACAGGGATATTTTCAGACATCTTAGTTATAACCTTTGCCAGTGTATCTACTTCTTCATTACCGTAAACGCCTATATGTGATGGAGTCAGGGGTGGCGATCTAAGATCGATTGATCAAATAATCAATTTTAGGAGCTAAAAAATCGATTTTATAAATCGATATGTAGTACTGAATCGATTCAGTGAATCGATATTTCACCCTTAATAATCGAGATTCGATTTTATTTTGTTTTTTGGTATAAACCAAAATTATTACAAGTATTTACAATTAATTGAATGTACCCGTATTATGAGAGTGCTGCCGGTTGAAGGGTTAATTATTTAAATAATGGCTGTATGTATGGATTCCTTCGCCCCTCTTTAATAAAAAAAGTTACGTTTGTTTGTAATCTTTGATTAAAATAATTTTTTATCATTGAAATACCTGATTTTACTGATAAGAGATCGTTAAATTATAATATGTATCTTGTTTTTAATAAAATAGATTTATATTACAGAATAAAAAAAAACTTGAAAAAAGATCGATTTTCGAATCGATCTTATTGGCCTCGATTTTATGTGGATAGATTCATTAGGTCAAGATTCGAATCGATTTAAAAATCGATCTTTTCCGGAAAGAATCGCCATCCCTAGATGGAGTCCAAAATAAAATAATGTCTTTTCCGTTTGTGGTTAGTTGATAATATTTTTCTCTGATCTCGTGTATAGTGTAAGATATTTTTCCATTCTTGACGACAAAGGTAACTAAGCTCATACAGCCATTCTCATTCATTTAAGATGTTTTATGATGAATGAAACAGAATGACAACTTTGTTTTCATTTAATTCATCACATTATTCATATTTCACTTTTTATTATTTTATTTTCATTCATAAATCACATCTTACATGGGGTTAATCTAGTTGTAAGATAAAGTCTATGCTAAAACTTAATTGCGGACATATAATTTCGCCTGTCGTATTGTAACGTGACGCATCAGAGAGGTATTGGTAATTCGGTATCATATAATCATTTAAGCTTCACTCACACACAGCGAATACTCGGTGCGAATGCCTAGTCGCTGTGTGTGACAGGTTTACTCGCAGCGACTAGCCATTCCGCTCAAGCGCGCTTCAGTCACACACATTTTTTTTTTGTTTCCTCCCAGGCGGGGGAGAGGGTGAGAAATCCTCATGGATACCCTACAGCCGGCTGTAAGGTTATGTCAGACTCTTACTGACTAAAAAACACCCTTTATTCATGCTTATGGCCAGAAGGGCCTTACAAGCTTCATCTGAAGCGATCAACCCCCGAGAGGGGGATGATGCGGCGCTGCGTTAGTTTAAACTAGTGCATAGTTTAAAATAACGCAAAATGCGCTTAGAGGACAAGTGCACTCAGATGTGCACTTGAAACGGGAGGGGACTGAGAGGAATCGAACCTCTCTGTGTCGGGGGGGAGTCACACACAGCGAATACTCGCTGTAAATACTCGTTGCGAGCGCATTCGCTACCACCAGTCGCAGCGACAACTGCTGCCTGCCTGTCACACACAGCGAGTGCTGCACGCACATTTCGTTCGACAGTCTGTAAGTGTGTTTTTTTTAAATGCTATAGTATTAAAATGCTGTATAGAGCAGCACGCTGAGCGGGTTAGCTATTCATTGTTGTCATCTGCTAAACCATAAAATCAGAAGCACGGAGTGTAAAAATCTTATGCTTGAATTTAAGTCCAATAAACCTGCGATAGGTAGTTTAATGAATAATTAGTTATTATGAAAAAGAAAAAGTAGATTCATAAAAAATCTGTATAGAAACAGATAAATCTGTATATATGGCAACACTTTAGCTACTCGCTGCGAGTAAAATTAAACATGTTCAATTTAACTCGCAAAGTGAATTCGATAGATAGATAGATTCACAGCGAATACCCTGTCACATACAGCGAATAGTCGCGGCGAGTAGCGCCTCTATTCGCAGCAAATACACTCGCAGCAAGTATTCACTGTGTGTGTCTGTGGCTTTAGTACGGTTATAATTAAATTCGTGTGACGACACAACACGACAGACAAATATATTTCCGGTTTAATATAGAAAAAACTCAAAAAGGCTTGTCTATCCATCGTATTTGCATAATTTAACACGGGAGCGGCGCCAATGGCCGTGTCGAATTTCGTCTAGTTTTTCTTAAGCTGCAAGGCGTGCTATCTCTTTGCATTGTAGGTAAACCACAATGTCAAATGAATACCCTAACAAGTATTAACAAGTATGAACATTTGAAAGAAGAAATATCAATTGTAGTTATATTTATTCTTTATGCATTTAACTGCTAGATGTTTAAATCTTAAGAAAATTTTACTAGAAATATATTTCACCCAGGCAGCAGACCGGACTCGAACCCGCACCCTTCGCTATCCGGGCGTATGCACTAACCATTATGCTACCGCGGCCCTGATGGCCATGTCGATTTTTCTCTAGTAGTTCTTAGGCTGCAAGGCAGCGCCATTTCTTCGTTACAAGTATTATACATTTGAAAGAAATAATAGCAATTTAATCAATCAAAAATTGCTTATAATATTATTAAGGTGTTATTATTAGGTAAGTAGTGCACTTCATTGTTAATTGTTTGACAAAAAACTTATTTTTAAAAAACTTGAATTTTTATATTCCCGTCTTTTTTTAAAACAATTATTGTTAATTAATAAAACGGGGATAAAATAAATTCTAGTTTTTTGTCAAACAATTTACAATTAAGTGCATTACATGAATCGATGTCATAAAAGTTTGGAGTCGGTGTCTGACTACCAGCCTCTATACATATTTGAACCGTGTCCTTTGACAACAGTGTGCCCTTGTCATTTTATATACCGAATGAAAGAGAGAGACTGATGCTAAATTTAGTTTTAAGTTTAGAGAATCATGCCAGAATCGACACCAATATGAATTCTTTCTAAAAGGCCTTCTACACGGTCGGGATCGACCGCCGACCATCGTGGTCTTGGTCGGTGGATATAAAAATGGACAGTGTAGAAAACAGTCGACTCGACCAATATTTGGTTGATGGCAACGGCCTTGGTCGCGAGCGCATCTCTTGCGACAGACTGCGTTCGTGGTCGGTCCTGACTATGTTCCGACTGTCTGGAACGCTGTCGGCCGACAAGAGCGCTTCAGTTTGCGCTTGTCAGTCGTCACGGGACCATGCCATCACGTGTTGCAATGGATTCGCAAAACGAACGCCACGAACGAGAGGTTCTGACCGAATTTATATCTTTATATATTGATTTGCCATGTCTTTGGGACATTGGATCCGATTTATACAAAGCTAAGAACCAAAAAACTGAATTTTGGAAAGCAATTGAATTGATGTAACTGTACTGAATCTGAGATCTTTATAACTTCTTCCCGTAGCCAGAAATCTTAATGTAGCTATTACCGTTCTTCAGCAGACACAGGCTGACGCATAATTGTATTTTTCTTTGTAATCATTGGACGCACCATTTGAAGTAATTCATTAAAAGTGTCTTGATCCATTCTTAGAAAATTCAGAAAGTCATCAGAATCATGAATCCGTAAAATATTAAGGTGGTTCAAAGTAATTAGCTCTTTGAGCCACTGTTTCGTTCATTTTCTTTTCGTTCTTTTTTTTTCTTCTTCACAAGCATAAAAAAGTTATTGCCAAGCCTGTTTTCTGTTGCTCTGAAAAGCATGGATACCATCGCTTCAAATACCAGATAGGAACTGACAAGTTGAGTCAACCACCAACCGTGTAGAATGCATACAAAAGTTGGTTGACCCGACCAAGACCACGATGGTCGGCGGTCGATCCCGACCGTGTAGAAGGCTTTTAAGGCCCATTGTTTTAGAAAACTTATACTTAGCCAACGTAGGGTATGCAGTATGAATTTTTTGCAAGGGCCATTGTAAGAAAATCAATACGTCGCCTCGCCTACGTTAGTATACAGTATAAATAATTTCAAGGCCTTTGTAAGAAAATCAAAGCCTAGCCAAAATAGATATTTGGTATGAATGTTTGGTAAGGCCTCTGAAAGAAACATATCGTTGACCCTGCAAAGAGGGCTAACGTTATTCCTACGGTTGGCACAACTATTTTTTGGGATGACAAGCCTAACTGTTGTCCAACCAATTCAGGGGCAGAGGCCCAGCTAACAGCCAACTCAAATTTCTACTAGGGAAGTCGCAAGAATGTAGGTTACCATCTAGATCTTGGGGTTGCGAATGAGGGACTTGGTGTCTGCTTTAGTCCGACACTTCGCTTGTTGTTTGCATTATGTAAACTTGACATCACCCTGTCGTGACAAATCGGTTTCTTACATTTATTTTGGGTTAGAGAGAGAAAGAGGTTAGAGCATCGACACAATACGTTAATATGCTTCCGGCTTTGTAAAACAAATATACTGTCGTCAAGTTTGCAAATAGCAAATAGTCAAGCCAAGTAAAGCGCCGGCATACACTATCACAAAGTCCAGGTAATTGTACAATAAAATTTTCTTTCAGTA